GAATTTTAGATGTGATAGGAATACTATTGCCTTCCTAAATTATCTCTTGAAATTAAAATTGTGTTTTTCTGACATCTCCAATTCCAAAAAGTTCCAAGAGGGAAACAAGGTTGGAGCAGACTGACATGAAGCATATAACCGTGCATAATATTTATATTAGTTATGTGAACTTTTCAGCGGTATGAAAATGATTCCAAGTGTGAATAAGTAGTAAGAGTCTGTCAGCTTCCTGAGTAGACCAGACAGGAACATGACAAGAGGAGCTAATTCTACTTTATTGTAAGGCTACATTAACAGAATCTTCCAAGTCAGAAATTACAAATCTCTCACCTTCTCTCTCTAGGCAGCATCTCTTCCCTTTATCTCTGAAGGTCATTCTCACATAATGTTATGGAGTCTGATCACAGTTACTATTAGCTTGTTTGTATTTATTGAGCTCCTAGGTGAGTCAAGGGCATGAAAAACTGTGTTTTATTTCTAAGTATCAGATTCATACTTTATTGTTTGTGTGTATGTATACTCTGGATGGATTGGTAAATGAACTAATTAGTTTTGTTAAGTTTCTTTTAGCCCAGAAAAAAATAAGATGGGGAAAAAGATTTATCTAGCCGTGTCTGGAGATGATGTTGGACAAATGTGGACATGAATGGGGGAAGAGATGGTGCTACTTACATTTTTAGCATTAGATTGCTTTTTTTTTTTGTGTGTGTTTTTTTTTTATTGAAAAATTTTTAAACTTTACAAAAACAAAACAATTTTCCCCCAAGCCTCCCCAACCCTCCCATTCCCTCCCCCGACCTTCCCAGAGCTGAATATAGGCTTAATTAAAGTTTCTTCGAAAAATCTTAAAAAAGATATAAACCATAAATAAATCTAAATACATTACTTAAGAAAATTATAAGATAATTAACAATAGTGTGTATATAAAAAACATAAATACAAAAAATAAATGTTTAGAAAAAAAAAGAATGAAAAGGAAAAAAGAAGAAAGATAAAAAATATCATTAGATTGCTTATAATCCAGTTGAATATGCTTCTGTGTCCTGAATTTTAAAACAACATTGCCCTTTTTACTCTTAATCTTGCTATCCTTATATGCTTCCCTCTGTATCACTTATGGAGGGGTGTGCGCGCGCCTTTGTCCTTTTCTTTTTCTTCTTTGAAAATGAACCTGTCATCGGTGCAACTGAGTCTACATAATGAAAAGAATTTCTAATTTGAATGACACATCATCTTCCTATTAAATCGTAATTTTTGACTCTACACCATTTTATTCTGAAAGGTCATCCAAACGATGTATAAAATTATAGAGTTGCTCTTTTTTTAGGCTTACCATTATTCCATATTTTGTGCCTCTTCTGTTTAAAATGCAGTAAACAAGAGAGATTGACAAAGCCAAGTCAGTCTCAGTTCTTAGATTGCCATAGTAACATTCTTAACATCAGAAGAGAAATGTGTGCAGAATTCTAAAGTATGCTTATGGTTCACCAGGAGACAAACGTTTAGTGCTTGAATGCCTCTCAGTCCTGATTACCATTACTTCTGAAATCAAACTGCTAGAAACGGTATCAGAACTGAAGATCGGTTGATTTAGACTTCTGCACTAAGATGGTTGCACTGACCCATTCATAACTTGGATTCCCAACTCCCCTATGTCAAGAATATTAACAGGAGATATAATGATTGAACCGGGAACCTTATGCATGTAAATAAACTGTTGGCTGTAGCCTTATTCTGCTGGCAATGAGAGTACACCTTGCCATAGACTGGAGTTATCTTTAACATTTTGGGGTGCCTATTTTGGGTATACTGATAATGCAAAGTGGGCATGAGCAGAATTTGGGGCAAGAGGAATCATGCTTTTTGGAAAACAATTTGGGGAATGCCTTTGTTCTTTTCCCTACATACATTTGCTGCAGGAGTTCATTCACTTTCCACAAATATTCTTATAGACTTAACAAATTAAATAACTAAGGGTATGTCATACATTTTTTCTTATCCCTTGATCTATGTTCAATTGTTTGCTAAGCATTCAGTTTATTTTCTTCTAGGTTTTGCTTTTTGGGATATGCAAAACACTTTGTGCATGAACCATCTGCACAGAGTAGTTGTTTTTCATTGACAAATGTTCAAAATGAAACATGCAGGTTTCAAGCAGAAATATTTGGGGTTCTATCCCAAGGAAAAAGCCATGATTATTAGCAGTGGCAAGTAGTAATTAAAGGTGTTATTGAAAGAAAAACTCTGGGAAAAATGAGGAAGAGGGGAGCAGGCTAGTTAGATATATCTTGCTTATAATCAAATTGGCTGCTGCTGCTGCAACTGCTACTGTCCTTGCTTCAAGTGCAACATATCCAGCTGCCTGTACCCCCCTCCCCCACCAAAATTTCTGGCATCTGCCTTTTCCTACCTCCTTTCAGCTGTTGCCACCAATATCTATATACCAAATTGATTTTTCCAACATTGTAAGTTGACCACCCATCTCAGTAAAGTCATAGTTTATTGAGGTAAATTACTTAAGTATTATATACCCCAAATTTATGAAGAACTATTGCTTATTACTGTTTTTCTACACTTTGCAAAATGCTATTCAATCCAAAAAAGAATATTGTGATTGATATGCATGTCTATGTTCTAGGCTTATTTTAGAACCAATTTATCATTCCTCATTTCAAAATATCAAGAAACTCTGCCATTAGATAGATTTAGAACTGATAGATTTCTCCCAGGTAGGCTAGATTGGAAAAAATAACAAGCCCACAGTAATTCAAGAACGTCTAATAATGAATTTGAAGAACTAAGACGACTTTATGAAATAATTCCACTGATTGTAGTGTATCAAAAGCAGCTCCTATATAGGATGAATTCAGGATTCATTTGTCGCACTTCTTTGTGTCCGCAGTATGCAAAATGCTAGATGCCCCCTTTTCTTTGAGTGGGAGGCCAAGCTATCCATCTGTCTTTTGCTGTGATGGTCAGATCTGATTCCCAGTTTTTCCCATGAGTAAGTGAGAATCAGCTCTCCAAAAGTCACAAAAAAGCATCATGGCTGCATGTTCCCAAGAACTTCAATTCTGTCTTAGATTCCTGATGTGGAAGTCTTGGTGTTACTTTTCTATATGTTTTCAAATGAAATGTTCTCTTAGGGCAGTGGTTCTCAACCTGTGGGTCGGGACCCCATTTGGGGTCGAACGACCATTTCACGGGGGTCGCCAAACAAGGCTGTCCGCCATTTTTCCCCCTTTTCTTTGGCCACGCCCCTGGCACCCGGTGATGTATAAGTGGTTGGGGGTCACCACAACATGGGGAACTGTATTATGGGGTCGCGGCATTAGAAAGGTTGAGAACCACTGTCTTAGGGAGAGAAAAAAGATCATATGTTGCTGGGGCATTGATAGGGCTTGCATTGGCTGATCTGAGAGTTGTATTCTAGCATCTTTTGTAACATTCCAAAGGCACCTCACAGATAATCAGCATCCCTACAAAAAATTGCAGTAGATAATTCAACACTTGTCTTGTAGTACCTAATCCTAGATGTAATAGACCAACACATTTAAAAGGTACTTTCATTCATTCTGACTTGAGAGCTGTTTTCTCCCCATCAATCAAAAGAACTGAACACAAGTAATATCGATTTAGTAAGTTAGTAAGTATTCTTCATTTCAATTAAGTAACTGAAATATTCTTTTGAAATGATACAACATAGGGATAGGAAGCTGGCAGTCCTCCCTTAGTAATTCAGCAATGCCCACAGGGCAACCTGTTCTCTACTTCTGTTACCAAAAAAGGCATTGGAGCCTCACAATAAAAAAGGGAGGAATTATTAAAGGAGTAAGGCACTTATTATACCTTGTCTTTGTCTTCTATGGAATAAGTTTCACAGATAGCTAGCCAATCACAGATGTGTACATTATGAGACATTCCAGAAGATGATAAAAAATGGATGGGATACTTGACCACTTGTGATCTCTGATATGGAAAAGCCAGTTAAATGTTATTATGTCTCAATTTTTCTAGTGCCTTATTTTTTTTTCCTATTACTTTTTCAGTAAAAGTGTGGAAGAAATTATCCCAGATATATCAACAAATTAAACAGTGATCTTGTGACCTTTCATTAGAATATAATTAATCTAATAATTGTTAGATTTATTATATTACAAGATCACCTGTAGTTGAATATGTTACTTGAAAATGTTTTAATCCAACATAAATGGTTTATGTTGGCAGCTGATAAACCTTTCCTCATTTGGCATGGTTACCATAATGATATTAATCTATTTGACCTTGTAGACCAATCTAGAGAATCAGTTTATATTCAGAGTTACATATTTCTGCTTCAGTCTATTGACTTCGTACACATACCTAACTTTTGATATAATAAAGATTCGTTTTAGATTATTTGCTATTTAAATTGTATGCGCAAATTGTATTCACTGTTGTAAATTTTGTGTATGTCTGCAGGGAAGTAATATATTTATAATGACAGCTACTTAGATTTTTCCTTTCGGGAGAAAACTTACTGAAGGAAAGGTTTGAGAATAAAAATATTTGAAGGTATTTATTTTGCATTTTTTTTTAGTAAAAACGTGTTGCTTTTTCTCCCATTACTTCATGAATACAATATCTGACATTTGTTAGGAAACTTAGAGCACCATTTTTTGACAGGTCTGTCTAAGAGAGAAGAGATTTATCTTAAAAAAAATTGTAGATATGCAAAAATGTTGTACTTAGATGTTTTGTTTGCATATTTGTAACTTGATTTTGCAATGCCAAGTCATGATGCACCTAGCCAGTTCACAGATTACTAAACAATTCTTCGTGATGAACCTGAACTTTTCTTGAGGGACCTGGGGTGTTAACTTTCTAGGAAGTACAGGTAAAAAATGTTTCTAAAATTCATGGATTGGATAGTTTTATGAATTTGGATACTTCTCTTTATTGAATCTAGAAGTGATGTTTACTAATTCCTTGTATAATGTTTCTACTCTGCTTCTTCCTAGCTATCATTAATCCAAAGCAACCCAAAGAGACACCCAAAAGTTTCAGCTTCGACTATTCCTACTGGTCTCACACAACTGTAAGTAGATATTAGGGCACAAAGGAGGGGGTTGGTTGGTTGTGGGATTCCTTTGTGTAGGCTTCAAAAACGAAAACTTAGATTTTTTAAAAAAATCTTTCCAATTAAAGTGAATCTTGGAAAAAATATGTAAATGTGAATTGAACTTTGTTGGGTCGTTCTGTTAACATGGGACCTCAGATTGGCTAGAAAAATGTATCCCTACAGGAAAGGCAGTTGGCAGCAGCTTAAAAAGTTAGCAACTACTCAATTTTCAACTTCCTCTTTCTAATGTGACCAAGAGCATATGTATTGCAGGTTGTGTTCACACTGCAAAAATATATACATTGCTGGTAAAAGGACTAGAAAGCATTCCAGAAGCAAAGCTCCTTTTACCTATAGCCTGGAGATTTGAGCTCTGTTCCTGCATCCTGCCAAAGGCATTCCCTTCTATGTGGAGAGGGAAGTTGACATTCTCCCATGGGGTGTAAAAGTGGAGCTTAAATCCTGATGATTTATGCTCCATTTCTGCACCCTGTGGAAGAAGTTCCTTTCTGCTTACAGCAGAGCTGATGTCCTTCAGCAGGCAGCTCTTTCAGGCAGCTCCTAGAGATGAGAGAGCTGAAATCCAAGCAGGATTTTCAGTTCCTGAGCAGAAAGGCAACACAGTAAGGTGATGAATGTAGGATGTTTCAGGCAGATGTGGGAGGCCCTGCGAGGACTTGAGCAAGCTGTGCATAAGGATCTCTTCCTCAGGGGATGAGAATCCTGCTTGAATCTCAGAAGAGAGTATTTTCAGCTCCTGAGCTGAGCCTCTCATGGTTTTCCTTCCCACCGAGGCACCCCACACTCCTTACCTGGGACTGTGTCTGCTTAAGGAGCTGTGGTAGTAGAGTGGTTAGAATGCAGTATTGCAGCCTAACTATGCCTATAACCAGGAGTTTTAATCCTGAATGGCTCAAGATTGAGTCAGCCTTTCATTCTTCCACCGTCAGTACAGTGAAGACTCAGTGAAGACTCAAATTGCAATATGCTGACTCTGTAAACCCCTCAGACAGGGCTGTAAAGCACTATGAAGCAGTATGAGTGCTATTGCTCTTAATGACCTCCATGATTCCTTAATGACTACAACTGGGAATGCCAGGATTGCAGTTGTTGAGTAAAGCAGTCATGTGGGCAGTCATGCCATCTTAACAACCACTTTGCTCAACAACTGATGTTCTGGTTTCAGTTGTGGTAATTAAATGAAGATTAAATGGAGTAAAACAATTAAGCTTTAACATGAAGTCTATCACAGCATTCCTACTACGACCAATTATTCATAGTAATTTTATTTTATTTTTTATTTATTTACTGACAGAATTTATATTGCTGTCTATCTCATATGAATAAGCAGCTCACAATTTCATTAAAAATATTGCTAAAAACAAGAGTGCCCTTTACTTCTGGCAGCAGACTGTCATCCTCACAGCTCAACCTTTATCCTAGCCTAGTGCTTGGGGGAAGAGCCAGGAATTCATAGACCCTGAAGGCTAAAAGGGTAGAGATAGAGATCCTGTCAAATGACAATATTTAAGGGACAGGACCGGGATAGCATCCCTCATACAAACAGACATGCACACAACTTTTCCTTTTTCTTAGAGAGAGCCACTTTAAATTATTGGTAATTATGAAAGTTATTTTTCCCAAAAATTATTAGGAAAAAAGTATGCATGTATATATTCCTAGACTTACAACCACAATTGGGACTGGAATTTTGGTCGCTAAGCAATGTGGTCATTAAGCAAATCATCATGCGATTGTACCCAATTTTATGACCATTTTTACCACAGTCATTAAACAAACCACTACAGCCATTAAGCAAATCACTTGGTTGTTAAGCAAATCCAGTTTCCCTAATTGATTTTGCTTATCTGAAGCCAGCTGGGAAAGTAGCATATTGTGATCAAGATGCTGCAACAGGCATAAATGTGAGCCAATTTCCAACCACTTGAATCGTGACCACATGACTGCAGAGTTGATGCTATGGTCTTTTGAGGACAGTTTGTAAGACACTTTTTCCAGGGCCATTTTAAATATTGTTAGACAAACGGATGCAAGTTAAGTATATAATGAATTTAGAATAGTTCCTATCAAGGAGACGTATTATTGCCCTCCAAGTGTTTGGATAGCAACAGTCATCTGTCCCAGTCAGAATGGCCAGTGATCAAGGTTTGTGAGGATTGGACTAGAACATTTGGGGGCTTCAAATTGACTATATTGTGCAGAGGGAGAAAATATTTTTTCCCTTTGTCTTCTCTCAAATCATTTCCAGTTCTCCTCAGTGATCTCTGTTTTTCTTTTTTCTGAGCAGCCTGAAGACATAAACTATGCTTCTCAAAAACAAGTGTATCTGGACATTGGAGAGGAGATGCTGCAACATGCTTTTGAAGGTTATAATGTCTGCATTTTTGCCTATGGCCAGACTGGGGCTGGCAAGTCATATACAATGATGGGTAAACAAGAGAAAGACCAACAAGGCATAATTCCCCAGGTAATTATGACAATGGGAAATAGCTCAAAGTAAGAAACAAATCCAAGAAAATAATGTTTGGGACAGGAAGCCTATGAAGCAGTTCGGTTAACAAGTGACAATCAAGAAAGGGGTGGAAATATAAAATCCCGTGACATCTTCAGAAAATAGAAAGATGTGGCATGAATAGAATTGAACAATGGTAGATGGAAACAAAAGAAGGATTTATCCCTGATTATTAAAAATTCAAGAAAGGGAAGCAGTAGAACGAATAGAATTGGTTTACTTAGTCTCAACTAAACGTTCTATCATAGAAGGAGACCTCTGAATAAATCACTGAGTTGGTCACTGTTGGCATATGAGTTCAACAACTTGTATGCTTGTACAGAAGTGTAGCTTAGAAAACAATAGAAATTTTTGAGTTGCGAGATGTTGTCATTGGGAATAGTTCTTTCTACAATATTGCATATCTCTATTAAAAAGAAAAATTCATGATTTGGTTGGAATTTATATTTTTATCCAGATCACTTTTTTCAATTAATTAAGAGCCTTTCCCCAAATATTATTTATGGAAAATATTTATTTTTACAAACAATTTGAAAACTTAAATGATGTAAAATAGTACTGTTGTTACAGAATTGTAACTTTTTTTTGTCTTTCTCATGCTATGAAGCTGTGCGAGGATCTCTTCTCTCGAATCAATGACACCACAAATGACAATATGTCCTACTCAGTGGAGGTACAGTTGGCAACTTTCCAATACTCAATATCATTTTTATAGGTAGTTTCAAGCAGCAAAAGAAACTTTATTATGCTGAGGTTGCAGAAATATATAAAGTTGAAGAAAAAAGTGTTTGCCAAAAAAAGCTCTCTAATAATATATTTCTGAATCCTCAGATTTGTTTTGTAACATGTGTGGACAATTGTTTTATAGTCAAGGATAATTATTAAGTAGTTTGTCATTATTATTATTGTTATTGTTATGATTATGGAGAGGATCATTGATGCAATAATCATTCAGTGAAATTACCAGAGGATGGGATCAAGATTTTCACCCCCTTTAATATTTTCCTATTTTTGAAAGTATAAAATAAGATTACTAAGCATATTGGGAAGTAAACTTGTCCTTTTCTGACCTTGGGAGGAAATTGTACAGACACTACTTAGTGGTTTGGTGGTTTATTAGAGATGAAAAAAAAAGACAAGAATGAGGTGATAGGATGAGGAAGAACTCCTACAAATCGTCAGGGCTGCAATGGAAGGATATCTTTTGTGCAATCGGAAATACCCTCCAATTGTGTCAGAAATAAATTACATTTAGCGGCAAAATATAGACAACCAGCACAATGGCACATAAAACTAGAGCTGTTTTGTTAGCCTGTGTGGAAGTGCCTTATATACTGATTAATACCAATTAACTATGGATATAGTGTACTTGTTAATTAGAACTGCAACATGGAAAAAGAAAGCTTAATAAGTTGTAAATATCCCATCAGCTTTCAGTGTTAATCTCCCTATCTATTGATCAGGCTGACTTGGTGATTCTTCAGAATTCCTGGATGCCTATCCTATTGGTTGATCAGGTTATCTTCCTAAGTTCAATATATTCTACTTGTAAGCTGAAAAATAAGATCACATATTACAAAATATCTGTATTCTCTGGCTGTATTCATACAGTGGACTTAGCCGTATGGCTGCTAATGTAGCTTATTCGAACTGGCTTCATGTAGTTCTGCCAATCACCTCAAGGTTTATCATTTTGAGTAATAAACAGTAAAATGGAGCAACTTATGGGCTAGCAGGCAGGACTTGAATAAATGAATCCTCATTCATTTCCTCAAGTCTTGCCTGCTGGGCCATGAGCTGTTGCATTGGGAGAGTACTGGAAGAACTTCATTACTGTGTGCAACAGTGACAATTCTCTACTGGCAGGAAGACAGCAGTGGGAATGGCCTTGTAAATTACCCAATCAATATTTGGGAGATGTGTTTTGTGGCTGGAAGACCTTTGTAATGGAATAGTTGACATTATTTAGCTACTCAATATTTTCATTTCATTTTCTTGGAGAACTGAAAACAATGCAAGGCCATCAGCCAAAAATTACTAGGTTTTCAGACTTGCAAAATATGGATTGACTTGGGAAAGCCCTTTCACAATTGGCTCATGTTCTTATGGTTCATAGAGACAGAAAGGGTAATTCAGAAAAAAAAATGGTAGAAAAAAGAGCTATTATATGCATTTTACCTGGAAGAAATTTCCACTATCTTTATTCAGTCTTGCTCCTCCTCTGTGTGAATAGGATTGCCATTGAAAATGCTTATCTGCATAGCTAAATACCTTTTATTTGTTTACAGACTTTATTTCTGAAATCTGCTCACATTTATAAAACACAATGTTGTATTCTTCTTTGCTGGAACCTGTGAATTTTTGTTCTGGGTTGAAGATGTGAAATGCAGCTTGTACATATCAGTCAGTGCCCACAAGATATTTAGTGTCCTTCTCTGCTTCTCTTGCCCTAATGTTTTTTAAATATACCATTCTCAGAATAAGTGCAATTTGTCCTGCAGGTGAGTTACATGGAAATATATTGTGAGCGTGTGCGTGACCTCCTCAATCCCAAGAATAAAGGAAACCTGAGGGTCAGAGAGCATCCTCTCCTTGGACCATATGTTGAAGATCTCTCAAAACTAGCTGTTACTTCATACAATGATATTCAGGATTTAATGGACTCTGGGAACAAAGCAAGGTAAAAAGAACAAGGAAAATATATCTCATTCTAGCATTCCTATGAAATCATTCAGAATTAATATTTTTAGTCAAGTCCTTCACAGGAATTTTACTGTGATAAAAATATCAGAGAATATGTTGATAGTTCTGACAGAGGGCACTAACCTTAACTTAAATAATTCAAACAAGAATGGCATAGAGTATGGTCTCATGACTGGCCTTATGAAAATATTGCTAGATGGACTGAAGTCCAAGTTCTTTTGTGAGTTTCAGAATTTCAATACTTTACCCTATTAGACATGCACATTAGCAGCAATCTCTCCATAGCTAGAGCAAAAAAGAAGGAGTGAATTACATTGAAGTGGAATCATAAAGAAGATGAGAAACCAAGGATTCCCATCTCTAGAGAGTTTTCACCTTTATATAGATCTTGTAAGGATTACATTTTTACTCTTTTCCCCCCAATTTTTCCTGCTATAAAAAACACTATACTTTTTTTATTTTTTTTTACTCATTTATATACAAGTACTATAATTTATATACCACTCAATAAAGTAAGGCTTAAACTGCCCAGCATCAGTTGTTGTTTAGTTCTCCATGATATCTTCTAGTTTGAGAAGCCCATAGAAAACTTACAGAATATTGTTTAGCTACATAGGTGGAGAGATGTTGAAGAAAAGAGGGGAAAGATTTTCCAGCAAAAACTGGACATATTTGTGCTTCCTGTTAGTAGTGAGATGGTAATGTGGGATGGGTAGATATGGAACATCTTATAGTCTTCTAGAATTGAAAAAAAACTTTTAACTTTGCAAGCTTTGAGTCAGCATGTCATGCATCTTGTTTACTGATTTTTTTTCCTCATTATTGATTGCTTTTTTACCTGCCTATTGGCCTCTAGACATAAAGGCCTACAATTTAAATAAATTCTCCATAGCTTGGTGAATAGTGATGGGAGTTCAATAGGTACCGAGGACACTCAGTTGGAGAAGACCATTGTTCGGGATTAAGCTGTTTCAAATATTAAAATTGAAGTGCTCCACTCTTCAAGTCTTCAAGGCATTCCAATTCTCATGATGTGGCATGGCTGCTTTGAGGGCTTTCCCAGGTTACCTGTGCATGCATGTATATGTGCAGACAATACTTTCTCTGAGATTGAGGGTGAAGCAGTGCAGCTGTTTATGTACATGTACATCAAGATAAGTGATAAATTCCTTGAAGCTGCTATACCAAGTGTAGAGCAGGGCTTTTCAACTGGTGGTACGCATACCACCAGTGGTACTTTGACACATGGCAGGTGGTATACAACCCTCCTAGACAAGTATAGCAGGGGAAGGAAATGAACAGAAGCAAGCCAAGCCTGAGGGAGAAGCAGCTGGATTGCAGGACTGTCGAGGCTCAGCAGAAGCCCCAGGAGCACCACAGGGTTCCAGCTGATTGGTGCTTCCGGAAGCAGTGCGTAGCTGGAGGTGAACCAAAGAGAAAAGGGGGGGGGAGGAAAGGATAAAAAAGAAGGTGATTTTGGTGGGAAAGAGGACGGAGAAGAAGCTGTGAAAGGAGAGCTCAGCAGGCAGAGAGGAAAAAGAGACAGGGAAGAAGAATCTGTTGCTGGAAGAAAAGGTCCCCTGGTTCGTTTTCTCCAGCCAAGAGAATGTAATCAGTGCTGATGAAATGAAAAGCCAGGAGACAAACTTGTCAGAAAGAAGTTTGGTTTATTTCAGAAGCCAGTGGGTTCCTGGTCAACTGGCAGCTTGATTGGGTTACCATAAGGATTTCATACAGTTTTTACAGCGTTTAGTAATTCAGAGGCTCGTTTTGTGTGCTTTGGTTATTGGAATATTTTAGTCTGTTTCACAAGGGCTAGTCTAAAGTGTTGGCTTCCGTAGGTTTAATCCCTTTAAACAAATGTAATTAGTTTTATCCCCATATCTTACGCATTTTCTTTGCAGGTAAACAGGCTTAATTTAAGATTATCACTTTTTGTAATTGTCGGAGCCTTTTAGGCTCCGGTTACAACCTGTGACACGCCTGAGGCAGCTTAAAGAAAAAAACATGGAGTTTATTGTTTCTTTATTCTGGGAGGCTTTTGTGAGCCTTTCTTGGTTTGCGCTTGATTCCTGTGTCTTTAGGGGTACAGTGAAGGGACTGGGGTGTATGTGCATTCTTACTACACTGTGGAAGGAGAGCTCAGAAAGCAGGGAGGAAGAAGAGAAGAGGGAGAGGGGAAGAATGGCTGACCAGCCAGCTGATAGTGGTGCATATTAATAAATATGGATAAATTCATCATACATTTGTCAGTGCAAAGGGAAAGTGATTCAGCAAAGGAACTGCCATCGAAGAAATTAAAACTGGTACTTTTTTCCTTTTTTTCTACAGTTTGTAACATTTTATTAGATTATAGAATAAAATACAACAGCAAATAGTAGGACACAGTGAGGAAAAAGGGGAAAAAATGAGGGGGAGAAGGGAAAAAGAAAAGAAAAGGCATTGACTTCCGACTTCCTCTGTTGCAGTAGAAGGAAGCGTTAACATTGAACCTCAACTTTTTACTTTTTCATAATACTATAAGCTAGCCATTTCTATAACAACAAATGAATCTAATCAGTAAAACCCAAAATCCCCCCCCCTTTTTTTTAGTCATCACGTTTTTGACACCTTGCTAAGCACTGGTGGTATTCAAATATTGTCATGTCCTAAAAGTGGTACAATCTGTGAAAAGCCCTGTTCTAGGGGATGCAGCTGTCTGAACACTTTGAGAGAGATGCTTTACTTTATGTAATTGTAATAAGCAAAACATTCATTTGAATGTTTTCTAAACACACACATTTGACCTGGTACCAACCAGATGTATTGAAATTACATTTCACAGCCACTGTGGCAGTTTTTCATGACAATTATGAATTCTGAGAAATACAGTAATATATCTGAAAGCTTCTAAACCAAGGAAAGATATTTTAAACATCTGTATATTATTAGTATTTGCTTGTTTTTATCAACTTTACTTTCCTGACAACAAATATAAATAAATTCCCTGTTACTCTTCTTCAATAGGACAGTGGCAGCCACTAATATGAATGAAACGAGCAGCCGCTCGCATGCAGTTTTCAATATTATCTTCACCCAGAAGAGACATGATGCAGAGACAGACATCACCACTGAGAAGGTGAACTAAAAAATTAGTATGCATTGATTTTCTGGTCAAGAGCACTCATGCGTGCAGTCTGATACCATCTCACTTGTAATAGTACTGTCCAGCCACCACAAAGACTCTGGGCTCAGCTGTCAGTTGGACTAAGTTGGTGATATAATGAAGAGAGTGGTAAAAAGCATCAGTGCACAGGGAGCAAATGGAAGGTAGCTTTTCCCCCCTTCAATTTCGGTCACATATCTATAGACAATCTTTCTCTGCATTGAGAAAAGATAGGAGACTTTGAGGGAAACTTTGGAGCCAACACTTTAAAACAGAAAGAGAAAGAACTTTTTGAGGCTTGATGCGATACCAATTATGTGATAATAGATTAATCCTGGGAACCAAATTTAAAGGTAAAGCTAAATCTCATTTTGGATGGGGTTGCAATGCCTCAGAGAGATCCTGTGCACAATTTGGGGGTCCTCCTGAACTCCTTGCTCCTGCTTAAAGAGGTGCTGTCCAGATTCTTGGAAATATTATGGTTGCTAAGAATTTGGGCAGTTCAAATCCCAACGCAACACCTATTCTCCAATATCATTTGAGTCTATTCCACCATATAAGTATCCAAGCATCCTTGTTTCATTTCTTATACATTGCCTTATAATTTTTCTTCATTAAAGTCAATTTAGAAAAATCTGGGATCATCCCAGAGATGGCTGTTTTCTGAATTGTGTGGTTGCTAAAACACTCACTTCATATTTTGTTTTTCCCAATGGTTAGACTTCCTTTATTAATAACAAATACTCCATCATGCCTAAGTGCTAGAGAATAATCTGAGAGGTAGATACTGTGTTGGATATAAAGCAATATTTAATCTGTTTGCTCATTTCAGGTCAGCAAAATCAGCTTGGTGGATCTTGCAGGAAGTGAACGGGCTGACTCCACTGGAGCAAAAGGCACCAGACTTAAGGTAAGGAAAAAAATAACCTGGACTAAGGGAGATATTTATGTACATGTCTTTGCACATTAAGTTTTAAAACTGTTGAATGAGATTATCCTTTGAAAAGCTATTGATTTATCCTGATAGAAAACCTGTAGTACTATAAATCAAAATATATTGTGTAGCTTTTACATCTTTTCCTTCTTAGTGTTGTTTGCTTGCCCTTCTATGGTTAGGAAAATAAAAATGAAAGAAGCACTCAGAAAACAAAGGAAGGCTATGCATGAAAAAATATTGCCTAAGATCATCCTTCCTGTTATATAATTATGTGGATGAGGCAAGAATTCTGCATGATGAAAGACTTGCCAGAAGTATGAGAAGGGCAAACCAATTGTGATAAAATTCCCTACAACAATTGCTGTTCATCTACCATTTATGTTGTCTGTATTTACACATTCTATTATTTTCTATTTGGAACACACTTCCTAAACTTGATTGGCTTGCCTCAGTCTTCCCCAACCTGATTCCTTCAGATGTGCTGGGAATTCAGTTTTTAGAATCCATAGCCAGCAATACTGGCTAGAAATTCTGGGAGTTGCAATCCTAAAATATCTGAAGATTTTATGGTTTTAGAAGATGGAACTCTTCAGTGACATCTTAGATTGGTATACATACATATGTAGTAGCTCTTTTATGATAAGAAAGAATGGCAAAGTTAAATAAAGAGACACTTGAATGTGTAATATAACTCTAAATCCTGGTGGTTCTGGCGAGTTAGTGATTCAGCACCTTAAATATGTTTCTGTGCAAAAAATTTATCAAAATTCAATGCCCCACACTGATTGGGTATCCTTATTTTCACAGGAAGGAGCAAACATCAATAAATCACTAACAACCTTAGGAAAGGTTATCTCTGCTCTAGCTGAGATGGTAAGGCTTCTTTTGATATAAGCTGAGGAGAACATTTTCTTACAACTAAAGTGCAAAATTTTATTTTCCTAATTCGTTTCACAGATGCTTCAATAAAAATATGACTCAACCATTTGATTTCTGGAAAAAAAGCCATATTTAGTTTTGCTCCTGAATTCAAAAATCACTAACCTGCTAATGGAAAAGAAACCTTATACAGAATTCCAGCTTCTTTTGTTGTAAATGTCTGAAAACTCAGATTAAAATATTCAAGGACTCCATCCTGAGAATTAATATTAAAATAATATTAAAATAATCAAGGACTGTTTTGAAGGTTACCTATCACTGTCTTGACACTTACATTAATTTCTGTTTTTTGCCTAAGGAGGTACATACAACTGTATGAATTTAATACCTGCAGATTTGAATTTACATCTATAGACATGAATTCACAGGTTTACTACTTTAGAAAGAATTAAGACATTTCAAAGTACTTTGATATATGTGCCTGTGAATAAGGAAAAATAATTGCAAACATTTATTTACATTATAGATATAGTACTGTTGGTATTTATGCACTTCTATATGTATGAAGATGTTCTGCAGTATTAAGTGGCTAAGGGACTACATGTTTTGTCCCTGCCATCAACCCTGTTTCCTTTGCTTTGTTCCCTAATTTCACTATGTTAGGTGAAGATCTAAAGGAGGAACCTGGTATATTTGTGGAGATCTCTTCAGTTGGTCAGCAATTGTGCTTCCACATGTCCAGATAATTATTTCCTTAGGCTTAATTCAGTGCACCAAAATCAGGATGGACAGCAAACCTCTTTTAATTAAACAGGAGCCCTTCATGCAAATAATACAAGAAGGCTACTGATGAGAACACCCAACCAATATTCTGTGACAAACATTCTAGCATATCTTCTGTTCCCCTGAATAATCTTTGTATTTTGTCTATTCTGCAAATGAGCAGGGAAGATATTATGGCATTACAGCAATGTCGGATAATAGGATATGTAGAAAATCAGGGGCTGAATGAAGATATGGATTCTGCTCTCTTGATTCAATTCTGTCTGCTTTTGCTCTACTATTCTAAATTAGTAAAATGAACACTGGTTTGGATTATGTTATATGTTTTCATTGGGAGAAGATATACAATTGATATAAAGTCACAGTTTAGTTTTCAGATCCAATCTTATTAAAACCTGCCTTGATAACATAAAATTGTGAAATTTTAATTGGTATTTGCTTTATTTTCAGGATTCAGGACCAAATAAGGTAAATATGTATGCTGGGCAATTAATGATAGGCCTGAGTGAAGCTGTTTTATCTGGAAATTATCCATGTCCAAACATTTCACATGAAGTGTTATGATTTTTTTAAAAGTTTATATATCATAACAGAGAAGGACCCTTATAAAATCACATCGTCTTGTAGATAGCTTCCCAATTCTGTCATTTTGTATTTTAAATTCTATTGCATGATGATCTGACTATTAGATATACCTCCACCCAAAATGACCTTCCCAAGGCTGGTGCCCTCCAGATATTTTTTAGATTAAAATCTTGAAATTATAGAATAGGGGGGATTATAAGCAGACACATGCTGAGGAAGAAACTCTAACCAAAATTCAATTTGAAGGGTTTAATAAAAGTTGGAGACAGATTAACAAACCTCTGATTATGGAAGAAGAAATAGAACACTTGCTTAGACACAGCTTGAAATCTGGCTGGATTTATCACTGAAATCAAGAAAGAACATTATCACTGATAAAAAAAATTATTATTAATGCACAGTTAGAAATAATTACAAGAAATTTTTTGAGGAGTTTATTTTGGTTTCTTATGTGACTTTTGGGAGTAGATCATGGGGAAAATGTGCAAGTTTTACCAAACAGAAAACTCAATATCATTCATTTTTGTGATGACTGGTAGCTATGTGATAACAATTCTAGCCCGGCTAAATTTATTTTGAAGGGTCAAATTTGTTATTTGAAGAGCAGTGTATAGTCATAGACTCAGTATGAACCACCTTATGTAAGTTGTACTAATTTTGTTCCTATGAGAATCATGCTAAATAGAATGCAAGGCTTCCTGAGCTCTGAAAATCTTAAGTATTTTCATGATTGTTATGAGATGATAGTGACTTAGAATGTATATTCTTTCTCTAGAAAATTACAAAAGAAGCTTTTTGGGTTATGTACATAGTTGGATTTAGAGAAGGAAATTAATCCTATTTTTAAAAGGTTGATTGCTTTTTCTTCCTTTGTATTAGGGTTAAAGAATTGTGATTCATTCAGACATTAGAAGTATCAGTTCATTGTTGCATTCTCTCTTTCTTGTAGAATAAGAAGAAAAAAAAGACAGATTTTGTTCCATATCGAGATTCAGTACTTACTTGGTTGCTCCGAGAAAATCTAGGTATGTTATTTTCTCAACGTATCATCTACATTCTATATTATTTCTCAGCCAAAGTCTAAATAATGAATCTCCCAAGTCTTCTGCTTTTGAGTTTTGAAACCTTCTTTTTATGGTTTTCTTTATTCAGCTCCTGTTTCTAGCAGTGATGAAGGTAGTTGGGTTGTCTGAAATCTAATAGTAACATTTGCAATTCCTTAAAGTGCTTGCCAATATCCTGCACATAAATATGGGATGAATGTTCAGAGTCTTCTCAATTTGGGAGATCTGGATAAATGAACAGACAATGCATAGGAAGAAAAAGAAGATGAACACAGCTCAGAAAGTGGATATTTAATTTTAGGTTTTATCAGTCATTGTGTTGTGTGTTTTCTGGCAGGTGGTAACTCCCGGACTGCTATGGTTGCTGCTCTCAGCCCTGCTGATATTAATTATGATGAGACTCTCAGCACCCTAAGGTAGAAGCTTTATAAAAGATTTCTCATTCTTTTAATTATGAACTAGACTAAGCTTTGTGAAATAGAATTGAATTCATTGCATTATCCTTGTTTTTTCTTGAAATTTTCTTGGAGGGAAAACGTGCTTTCATATATACAGTATGTTATCCCCTATGCATGTCAAAAATATATATTCTATACAAAGAGCCCAGAACAACTTCATTTGTTATCTATTGCTTGGCAGTGCATAGGGGATAAAAGTTGTGTCATGGGGAAATTTTTTCTCTCAAGTTGGATTGAGGTTCTGATTGAGTTGAAAGACTGAGGAAAAAGGGAGACTAAATATGGTTTCCTAACCAGTGCCTGGATGGTCTCTCTATGGAAGAGGGTTTTTTTTTATGTTCAGGCTTAGAAACAGATATTGGCAGCTTGAAAGGCTAGTGTTAAAGTCCTCAGTGTTCTCTGATCCAGATTTTAACTGGGAAATGGAAGAGATTGGTGAGAGAAAGAAATACCCTCTAACCATGGGCCAGTTTTGACTGAGATGTATAGGATGTGACTTGTTTACTTACTTGATTGATCGAGAATATTTCCTGCATTTCAGGAGAAATACCTTAGTTTTCTATACCTGGGTAAAAGAGATAATCTTAACATTCTCTTATATATTTCACATTCTATATGGCATTTTCAGCAGACCTTACTTTGTTTAGAATGTGTATTTTCCCCACAGATATGCAGATCGTGCTAAGCAAATCAGATGCAATGCTGTCATTAATGAGGATCCCAACAACAAGCTGATCAGAGAACTTAAAGATGAAGTGGCTCGCCTGAGAGACCTGTTGTATGCCCAAGGCCTGGGAGATATCATAGATAGTATGTTGAGTATCAGTGCTTTGGTTTGGGCTAAGGCTGATCTGTGTCAACATCTGTCTTTCTTGGTTTATTTCTTCTAGTTGCAGATCCAACCTCAACATGGTTCCTGCTTTCAGTTCATAGTCTCAAAGCCCACTAGCTCACCATGAAGTGACAATAACAATTTCACACGTTATAGTGACTGTGTTAAGGTTCATAAAGCTAATATACCCCAATTCTAAAGGACATGTTGAATAAGAATTCTAGCAGTTTGTTTTTGTAAGATATTTTGAAAGTTTTACCAAGTGTTCAGTGGTGTACAACCACAGGCTCTTTTAATCATAATCTTCATTATCCCTCTATTTCTCTACTTCTGAGCAATTATGATTATCCATCCATAGTAATATAACATTATTTAAAATATTTAGTAATCAATGATAGGAAATATTTAAATCCTTCAGCATCCTAATCAGAAAATTGTTTCTCCTTTACAGTCTACAGCAGGCATGTCAAACTTGTGACGTCATGTGACGTGTCGTGACGTATTGGGACTTTTCCCCCATTGCTGGCAATGGTGTGGGTGCGGTTTTGGTGTGACACATCTGGCCTGGGGGCCAGCAGTTTGACATGCCTGGTCTACAGCATTGTACACTTCCTTAGCTGTGAATAAGGAAGGAATTGTTTGATAATGAAGGATATGCATCTCATGGCCTTTCCAGTCAATTCCTTACTGGGGCAATAAGCACCTTGAACACCTTGTTGCTTTGTTATACCAAGAGATCCAAATTTTGTTGTAGGATTGATTTATTTTTGCATATGACTCTTAAGCACATCCTTTTTATGGCTAAGAAGATGTGTTCATCCCAACTAAATCAACTGGCATGAAAATTAGCTAAATGAATGGAATGACTCTTTATGGGATAATAGCCATGTTATCACTGGAAATGAGTGTAGTTGTTTCCTCCCCTTCTCATGAACTTGTTACCTCTTTTACCAATTATCCACATTTGTTTGCTTGTACTTTATGTGGTAACTCTTTACAATATGGGATCACACATCTCTTCATGTAAAATAAAATCAGGGAAAGGAGACTGCACTACATAAAAAAGAGTGAGCTAGGAATAAGCCTCAAGGTTTCTGGATTTGCAGAAAGGCCCTCAGGTGCTGTTTCTTTATTCCTACAAGATAAACCTACTCTTGTTTTCTTTGTCTTCCCATTCCCTTCTCCTATCTCTCTTAGCTAATCCTGTTCCAGGAGGACCTAAATGTGTGTATTTCCCATGTCTGGTATTTTGTGTGCTGCAATGCTTTTGATAAACTCAGTCAAAGCAAAGGAACAGAAGTACAGCATGAGAAATGAATTCAATAGCAAATATTGAGAAAACCTTTTCTTTTTAGGGCAGGTGTTGAGATGGTTTATATATACCTTCTCCAAAGGGCAGAGGTGGGCTTTTACAGGAATCCAACCATATTACTAAATAGAAACAATTCATAGAAACTGCTGCACAGAGTTGTGGCAAGATACTGGTTTGTTGAGTTTTAGTGTTTGTATTAGAATACTAAATACTTCTTCCACAAAAATGGCATTTCTCTCCTTCATAATGTCCAAGGACACCCACATGTCCTTCTGGAATATGCTTTAGAGAGATTTTTTTTTTCCTGGACCTGTTGTATACATAGAAAAAAATCGATTTAATATCCAAATATATTCCAGGCCCTGTTGTGTTTGAATAGAGGCACTGCAGCATTCCATTTTAGCCGAGTAGTTTTTCATTATCTGGTGATCTATAAACTCTACTCCATCTCCTTAATTTCAGAAACGTTTCCATTTGAGTTTGCTCTTGAGATTCCTTCCTCTGTGCTGTATCTGTGTCCTGCTGCTTGTGCTATTGCTATTCTGCTGCTGCTTCTGCTGGAGCTGGATCAAATGAATTTGTTCTGCTAGGGGAAAGGAAACACCCAGCCCCAAAGCACTAAAATATCTGCTTTAGCCATTATTGGCTTAAGTATTACTAGCGATCCTGTTTGGCCCTTCTACTAGCAGTTGTACCTACTAGGAATGCTGTGGGAATAGTTCAGTTGCTGACTGCATTTGATAAAGTAATCTGGCTTTTGCTGGCATGTTAGAAGGCCTGGAGCCTCTGCCTCTATTTTGAGCAGTTCAGCCTACGCTCTGATCAAATTGGCTAACAGAACTTTCCAGTTGCCCACATCCAGGCCTATCTTCCCGGTGGAACCACATAGGATCTGCCCTTTCCCACTTTAATCTGCTGAATATAGCTGAAGATAACAAATACAACATCAAATATAAATTAGATATATGATGTATGAAATTGAAATTTTATACTTTGCAGATGCTTATCACTTGTCTGGGTCTCTGTTATTTTAACTCATTAGTCCTGGTCAGAGATCTAAAGTTTTTCTATATCCATTCCCAATAAATTGATATCTGTTTTATTCTTCAGTCTTACCCCTCTGTGCGTCAAGATGGGTTGGAATTGCAATATCTAGTTGAACAAAAAGGGTTGTCTGAAAAGTCTGAGTCTATCATCTATCTATCTATCTATCTATCTATCTATCTATCTATCTATCTATCTATCTATCTATAATCTATCTTCTATCATATATCATCTCTCGCTCTCTCTTTCTCTCTCTCATCTCTTTCTCATCTATATCATATGTCTATCTACATACACTCACGCATATATGCACTTATTCATTCTCATTCCCATGCGCGCGCGCGCGCACACACACACACACACATTCATACTTAACAGGTGGCAGCAGCACCTACTTAATCTTAGCTGATTTGAAAGCTAATCAGGGTTTAGTGAGGATTTGGATGCAGAACTACCTGGGAATTATAGGCTTTGGATAGACTGGGAAGTCAAAACAATTTCTGGAGAAAAAAATAACAGCACTTACATCACCCATGCCACTCGGAGCTGCATAATCTGAGGGAAACTTTACTTTTTACTAATAAAATGAGATTTCTGTCTTGTAAAACTCTCAAAGGTTTCATCATATATCTCAAATATGTGATGCCCATTCTGATACTATAAGAAAAGTGCGTATCACTACTTCTGTCATCCATCCAGTTTAAGAAGTGTAAATAAGAAAACAGAATATCAAAAGTATCATAATTTGGGGCATCATCTTACAGTTTTTGAAGATTTCAAGCATTTTAATCTGATTTGCACATATTAGAGGATCCTTCTAAATAAGCAACTCACTGTACTACCAGTCAACAGAATATTGTACATTAGTTTTAAAATCCTGAAGAGATGTAAAGATATTTAAAAAAACAAGATTAAAGAAATAGTGGGAAAATAACATTGTTTGGAACCTGTATCAAATTTCATGTTTGAGATAAACAACTGCACAATAAAAACATTTTTGGAACCATTCAAAAAAGGAATATCCTATTAGGCAATTTATTACTTTTCTTTTTTCTCTGAGAATGTTGACCAAAATACTGTAGTCGTAGTTATTTTTGTTTTCATTTCTATTTGTCAGGATTGCTTTTAATGAGTAGTGATATAAAAATGTTTTAAACGACTAAATGTTAATTGGATGCTGAAATTATATTGTTATTCTCAGTTAAACCTCCAGAAGGAAGAACATTCTAGAGATGAGTTAGAGGAGAAACTCTATTTTGCTCCTATAGGAGCATGCATCTTGTGTGACAAACATAACATATTTTTATTAATATCCCTGTATTAGATGGCAATTCTACTTATTTCAGCATCTTTATTTACAATAAATTTCTGAATTAATTCAGTTCAAGACCCTTTCCTAGCATCTTTATGCAAATGGACAATAAATATAGCCATGAAAATGAGGTGGTTTTTTTTCTTCTATTCAGTTGTATCCAATTCTCAGAAACTCTCTGTATAAGCCCCTGCAGTTTTCTTGGCAGGGTTTTGAACCACCAGAAGTGATTTGCCATCACCTCTTTCCTAGAGCTGAGAGAAAGTGACTAGTTCAAAATTATCCAGCTGGCTTTGTGAGTAAGGTGGGCCTAGAGCTCAGGGTCTCCCAGTTTCTAGCCTGATGTCTTAACCGCCACTCCGAGCGGAAATGTCATTATCATCTTCTGAACTCCCATTGGCCCATTTTTCCTTTTTTTCTTATTTTTAAGTTCACCTTTCAGCTCAATGCCTCAAAAATGTAAAAATATTTTCCACTTTTCAAATGGCACTGGAATGAATGATTACAAATAAATAATTCAGGTGGTATGGAATCTTGATACCTCATGCATGTCCTTAGTGGATGCGGTCACTGAGGTCTTCCTGCCTAGCATATTATTAAACAAGATGGCTCTGGAATGATAGCTGAGGGTTTCTTTTTTTAAAATAAAAATAAAAATTGGTGCCTATTTCCCTCAAAGCACAGGATTCAGCAAAGTTTGCTGTACTAGTTTTAAGTGAGGTTGCACAGGGCGTAGTGTGAACGCTCCAACTAATATGAAGTTCCAGCCCTGTCCCTTCCAGCTACATTACTGTCTGCATATCTCTGTGTTGAAATTTCTATCTTTCTCCTCATTGCATCATGTTGCTATTTCCCAACTGCAATTCTTTTTTCTATCCTTTCCTTCCTTCTTCTTGTCTTGTTTCTTTCCTTTTTCTTTCCCCCCCTTGAATCCCATAGACATGTCCGACTTTGAGAACAATAATGATAATCGTAGAGTGGCAGATATGAGTCAACGGAATGACAATCTCTCCACAGTGACCAATGCCTTGGTAGGAATGAGCCCATCCTCCTCACTCTCCGCTTTGTCCAGTCGAGCTGCCTCAGTCAATAGTCTACATGAGCGCATCATGTTTGCTCCTGGTAGTGAAGAAGCCATTGAAAGACTCAAGGTAAGAGTCATTATGAAGAAGACCATGTTTGACCTGTAATGATGTGGAGGGAATGTGGCAGAAAGAAGAGCAGAAGCAAGTATTATTAGGTGGCAGCTTGCAATTTATTCCAATTATAATAATTTGAATTATTTTATTCTTTTTAAAATTAAAAAGTGCAGAAAAGAGTACAGTTAAAGAAAAGAGGAAAAAGAAACAACTTCCATTCTTCTTTACAGCAATTACAAACTCATTGTCCCTTTACACTCCTTAACATTATAATAATCCTATTAGCTCCTCATTCAATGTTTTTTCAATCATTAAATCCAGAAATAAGCATTTCAGAATTTTTTCCATTTTTAGCAAGAATCCAATAAAGAATTATTTTATTCCAATATATTCTTTTCTGAGATTATAAGGGAAAACAAAGTAAGGAAACAAAAAATTATTTACAATGCACACCCTCTATATAGTCCAATCACAATAAAAATATAGTTACCGTAAATGCCGGCGTACAAGGTGACCCGGCGTCTAAGACGACCCCCGTCTTTATAGCCGGGCCGCATTCCTAGAACGTCATCTTATACGCCGGAAACTACCAGTATTTCCAGCGTATAAGACAACTCGGTGTATAAGACGACCCCCCGTCTTTGGCGCCGATTTCAGCGCTCGCGGAAGTCGTCTTATACGCCGGCATTTACGGTACATAAAAATTAAGCAGCAGCATTACACAAAAGCATTAAAAATTAATATACAACACAATATATAATCACAATTAAAATAATATTTACCCAATCATAACCACTCAAATCTAACTTTATTGACAGGATTTACGTCAATACAGTCTTGTTGCTAGTCTTTAAAGCCAGTTGTTTATGTATTGACATGCTGTAAAGTGTTGAAGACCTGATTGTACTCCCAGCTCCTAGTTATGAGTGATGGAGTCCTTTGTTCAATATGTTTGTGTATTATTTGGGGCTGATGCCCAGATCCCCCACCTTGTTTTATTTTGTGCTGTGTTTGTATGGTTATATATTGTGAGCCACCCAGAGTTGGTTTGAAGATAGGTAGCTCATAAATTGAATACATACATACAGTTTAAATAGCCTTAGTTTATTTGACTGATTTGAGCTTCTAAATGCATGGCTTCATTTAGAATTTGTATACAATAGAAGTGCAACACCATAATAATATTGTTCCAATTGTTATATCCCCAGCCTACTGATATTAAAATTAGAATTCTCATCCTGACAGAACTCTGTTCTGAGACATCTGGAGAATATTAGATTGCCAAAGTCTTTGTAGAATAACAGTATGATATCTGCCTAATGTATTTTAGGCAAAATATTTTTGGTCCAGTCATATGACAGTCATGAAACACTTCTATTTAACTTGAACTCTGTAGGAAACGGAGAAGATAATTGCAGAGCTGAATGAAACATGGGAAGAAAAACTGCGTAGAACAGAAGCAATTCGTATGGAGAGGTAGGAATAAGGCAGCTATTTTAGTCTAGAGCATTGTTAATGCCACAAGGTTCAACATTTTATCTCATCATCATACCTTTTTCTTTTGTTACCGTTAGAGTTGCAGGCTGAAAGTGCTACATGAAGCATTTATTTTATAAAACAAAAGAGTTTTTGTGGGGCTGAATGAAATACCCTCCAGTTCAACATCATTTCAGGAAGGGTATCCATATCATCCTTTATAACTGTGGCAAGGAAATATCCCATGTGATGGCACAATATCATAATGATTTCTTATTAAAATTCTAATTAGAACACTCATCACATGAACGATATTTCAATTGTAAATTAGCTGTAGTGAGTAGTAAGTGTGGGAAAGTATAAGATGAGATTTCTTTAAACACTAGTTTTCTTATATGAATTAAAAGCATGTCAACCATTGGAGAGAATTGTTGAAGTCTAACGATACCAATGATGGCAAACCTTTTTCAGGCTTGGCATGTCAAAAATTCAGAAAATGCCTTACTTGATTCTGCTGGCTCTTATTTCTATATTATCTCTTACAATGTTATCTAGTTTTAGCAAACTTTTCAAAAATTCATCTTTCTTTCTTTTTCAGAGAAGCTTTGCTGGCAGAAATGGGAGTGGCTATGAGAGAAGATGGTGGTACCTTGGGAGTATTTTCTCCTAAAAAGGTTGGATTTTTTCCCCTAGATATTGATTATAAGCACTTTGAAATATGCCAATTGCTTATAAAAAATATAACAAAAAATATTGAAATAAGGAAAAATAAAGTAGCTGCACCCATTTTTGGAATGTAACACTTAGCATGTCCTTGTGCAGCCCTTGAACTAATCGAAATTTTGATTATCCTTTTTGCTGTCAACTGCACTAAGCAGTTGAGAGGGGCAAGCTCTGTGATATAATTTCCTTCCTTTTTTAAAAAAAAAGTTACTGTGTGAAATCCTATTCGTAGGGGATCATGCTGAGGGGGCAGAGTTAAATCTAATCCTAAACATATGCTTCTTGAGATCTTTAAATGGATCTTTAAAAGGAAGAAAAAATAGGAAAGCAATTGTGACTGTGGGAAGAAGGAGGTTGAATGCTTGGTGTGTTTGATCCGGATTGGAATTTGTCATACTAGTTTCTGTAGATTGTTTTTTTCAGTATCAGTTGCATATTTTGTCTTCAATAAAGTATGTAACTTGACATGACAAGTTAGGGGATGGCTTATTTTCATAACACCCAGAGGATTGGTGCTATGACCCAGGTTGTTTCCAATGAAATGGAGGTGGTAGAAAAATATGGCTACATCTGTCCTTGGCCAGAGATGCAGGGCTAAGTTTGCTCTTCTCCATTGTTTTTGTAGACACCACATCTGGTCAACCTAAATGAGGACCCACTGATGTCTGAGTGCCTTCTGTATTACATTAAAGATGGAATCACCAGGTAACATAGTTAGAAGCAACAGAAACTATGCTAGATCAGTTTGATAGGATAGTCAGTGAGATTTTTTATATAACCATTTTGCTTTTTTATCCTTCCTGCTGAACTTTGTAGACTGGGCTAAGCTTTTTGAAAATTACCTGAAAATCTTTGAAGAAGATCCAGCCCATGATGCTTTGTATCATTTAGCAGTGTCTCTAGGATCGTTAACAAGTAATATCCTAGATTAAGTTTGGTATTTATTCCCTTTGAATATTTATTGACTTTAGAAGTTTTATGTTGCTGTTTTTCATCTTTGGATAATTTTATGGTAAAAAGCAAGTTTACTATCAGATTTCCTGAACTAACTGGCAGCTAATCACAGATCTCCTGATACTTTATGGTTCAGATCAATTCCTCAGCTTGATTTGGCAGAAGATTCACAGACATGGCTTGGCTAGGTTGAAATATTATTGCAGACCAGAAACTGTATGCAACAATTGATTATCTAATGGCAATGAAAAGAGAAGAAGCAGCTGTATTTTTAACTGAAATAGCCAGTCTATAGTTAATCTGTTACATGAAATAAAATATGATGCAAAAGCCAAATAAAGTTGCAAGTACTTCTGATGATTACCATGACTAATTGTAGAGATTCTCTATGCTCTATAAGGGTGCCTAATGTAAAAATTTAGAATCTCAACTCTTGATAGGAGATTGGAGAGACTGAGAAACAACATATCTGTAGCAAGTGACTTTTCAGAACTTTGGCATAACCACAGAATTGGTCCTGATCTTGACGTAGTAATATAATGCAGAAGTAAAATCTTGAACAATTTCAACCACTAATTTCATAATCTTAATAGACATGGAAATTCTTACAGAGGAAGATAACCACCAAGAGATATTCAGTTCAGTTATTCAGGACTTCCCATGTTATAATCATTGCTTTTAATTTGGCTACAAGCAAACTGATCTAGTAATGCAGTAAAATAAGAACTAGTATATTATACAATTGTTTATGTTCCCTGAACTTTTCTATTTGCTTGTTAAGAATACATAACAGACCCTTTGGAATGAACGAGCTATGATAATGCCTTACAGTTTTGGATCACTGGTCCCAGAATAATTGAGATTTATCTTCAACAGGGTTGGTCGAGAAGATGGTGAGAGGAGACAGGACATTGTACTTAGTGGCCACTTCATCAAAGAAGAGCATTGCATATTCCGAAGTGACACTAAATCTGGCAGTGAAGGTATGGAAAAACTCAACATTTGCAGATATTCTTCCCTATTCATGAGTAAGCCATGATCACCATATAGACACTTAGTGTTGTTATAACCATAATTTACAAAGTACAATTATCAGGCTTATGTGTCATGGTAATCTAAATATTTTAGCAGAGTGTTTAAAATCAACCAAAGAATGAATAACACATGATTTTGAATAAAATATTTGGAAATATACTAAGGGAAGAAACCAATGTTCAAAAATTAAGAAGCAGCTTTATGCACAGCCCAGGGAGGTATGTACTGTAGATATTTAGTAATACTCAATCTGTAAGTAATTATCAGCTTCACTTGGTACACATTTATTCTAACTTTTTGAAATTGAAAGGTATCTGTATATGATAATTGTGAGGAGTATCAACTTCCAGATTTTGAAGCTGATCTATGTGGCCCATAAACAACATGGTTAAGTTACTATGATTATCCTTCACTTCCTCATATTTTTTAGAGTTGGAGATGGCTATTAACTACATATTGGAGAATAATTATGTACATATTTCATAAAACATCTTCAATAGTTTTGACTTTCTAAATTCCATTTGTATTTTTTTACAGCTGTTGTGACCCTGGAACCTTGTGAGGGTGCAGATACTTACGTCAATGGAAAGAAAGTAACAGAACCCAGCATCTTAAGATCAGGTAGTTTCACTTTCTAAGAGAACACATTGAGCAGTAGATCCTTAGTATAAAGACCAAGTGCTTCAGCAGATGCCTTGCAACAGATTGATTGCTTGCCAGACCATGACAGATTCATAAGAATTATTTTTGAAGGAAAAACTGTGTTATCCTAAATAAACTGGTGTTTGACCATGATTTGCAGTCACGTTGCATCTTATATGCATGAGAGATGTGAGATAGAAGTCTGCAACAGAGTTATTGTATCATCTTAGTATTGAATTTGATAGATTTTGAAATACAACCCATGTACACCCCTGTTAAATATGTCCCCTCCCCCTTTCTATAGGAAATCGCATCATCATGGGGAAAAGCCACGTATTTCGATTTAACCATCCGGAACAGGCACGGCAAGAGAGGGAACGAACACCTTGTGCAGAGACTCCTGCTGAACCAGTGGATTGGGCTTTTGCCCAGAGGGAATTGCTAGAGAAACAAGGCATTGATATGAAGCAGGAAATGGAACAGAGGTGAGTAAGAATAAAAGTATGAAACAACTCATGAACAAGAATTAAGAGGTCCTGGCTAAATGGTATGTCAAACACTTTACATATAGACATCCAAGGTATAGGGCTAAAGGGAATGGGAAAGATCTCTGTCTGAGACATCCAAACAGGCTCTGCATATCAGGGAACCCATCATTTTTTTGCTTATATATGGGTGGCAAAAATGAAAGGCTATGGACGTTGTCTCTTGATTGTTGGTCCTGTACTGTCGATTTTTTATTCCTGTTTCTAGGCTTCAGGAATTGGAAGATCAATATCGAAAGGAAAGAGAAGAGGCTAATTACCTTCTAGAACAACAAAGACTTGTAAGGATTCCTTTGATTATGCAATTTCCTGAATTTTAGGATGTATGTCTTATTGTAACTATTGTATTCAAAATACAGTTCAAAATCATGTTCATAATGGTATATACAAGGAAATGTACATGCAAATGATTGTGCATTTTTTTCAGAAATTTTGCAGAAATGTAATAAATTATGATGAAATATATGAGCCTAGAATGGGCTAGAAATAGACTGATTTATCTAGTCTTTCCTAGTTATTTGCAAAAGGAATAATGTCTAGAATATGTCATGTCATGATATTTCTGATAAACTTAGTTTCACCAGTCATGTTTATCAAACAACAGAGTCACCAAGTTCTTACAAACTGTTTAACATAAAATTCTATAATTCATTAAAGAATTTACTATTTGGAATAGCTTCATTTCCCACTTTTACAGGCATTCAAACTGCAGTAAATGAAGAGAACACAATAAATTATTTTTTTTCTTTTTTGCAATAATTTTATTAAATGCTACATTAGAAAGATAAAAACTAATGCAAACTAAAAGAAATAAAATAGTAAAAAGAAAAAATAGAAAGTGCAGAAAAAAATAGAAAGAAAAATAAAAAATAAACAATAAGAATATAGTAAAGAAAAAGAAAAAACATATAAAGAAGTAACTTCCTCCTTAGTATAAGTAATAGTATACATATGAACAATTTTAGTAACATCACTTTCTCCTAAACTACAAAGAAAATATATGTTTCCCCATATCTCATTCTTATCTATACACAAAATTTTAAATCTTGTCATTCAGTTCTAGTCAACAGAAATCCATTAAGGGTTACTAGAATAGCAACATACAATATCTATTTTAACATTGATCAAATAAACCGCTTTTATATAATTTTCATTTATTTTTAACAATCTTGATGTTTAATCCTTTCAAATAATGTCCTAGAACTTGATTTCTTTTTCTTTTTTTTTTTTTGCTTCTTCTCACAAAATCCTCTAACAGGCTTCTTTTGTAAATTTAATTTAGGAAAGTTATTCAAATCACTCTTCTGGCTTATTTTGTGTGTGTCCCTTTTAATTATTAAGACATCATGTAGTTTCACTTGTATATCCAATATATCATCTTTTTCCAGATCATTCTTGTAGCGTTCCATTTTAAAATTCATGTTGAAATCAATTTATGTCTAGTTCATAAAGCTTGTTCCTCTTCCATAATTTAATTTACACACAGTCTATGTATAATGAGTCATTATTAAAATTAAGTTCTGAGTTAATTGTTCACAAATATCTTTCAATGCATCCAATATTATTTTGTTCTGTTCTGTATTAACAAGTTGAATATACTTCTTTAGTTGTAATCTTTACTTCCTCCTGATTAATTCTAATGTCCAACTTTCAAAGTCTCATCTTGGTTTTTTTTTCAGACTTCAAAACAGCTATTTCCAACAGGAAGGATTCTTATAATTAATTTCAAAGCTATCTGGAATCTTAGTCCATTTATAACTTTCTAAAAACACTTTAATCACCCTTTTGCCATTTATTCACTCAAAAATGATTTTTCTAAGTCCTTAAACCTGTACTTTAAATTATTTTCATTAAGGATCAAAGGAACCTCGCCCAGTAAATGTCATAAAACCTGCCTTTCCAAAGATTCTTAATATTTGAAAAGCAGTAAAAATAATTCCAAAATGATTAAGAAATGAGGCTCAGCTGAGCTTTATGCTGATATAGGCTACATTACGAGTTTAGTTGGAATCCCTCAGTTCCCAGCTGTTCATCTCTCTCTAGCTGATTGCAAAAACCTCAGTTCCTATAGTCTACTTGGGATGAGCTGGTGTTCAAAATACATGTGAGTGATTTCATGATTCTCCAAAGAGATTTTGCTGGCCAGGCTTTATCTTCTGGCCACTGATTTGTCATCCCTGCTTCTTCAGGGATGCCATATCTTACTGGAAGTGTCAGAACACAATAAATTCTTGGCTGTTTTCCTCTTGTCATTTTAGGATTATGAGAGTAAATTAGAGGCTTTACAGAAGCAAATGGACTCAAAATACTACACTGAAGCTAATGAGGAAGAGGAGGAACCTGAGGATGAAGGTGAGCTTCTAGGAAGTAAAAAAACTGCTGGAGGTAGCTTCTTATAAAACAATATTGTATTCAGTAGAAGAGAATATATGTAGCTCAGGATTGAACTGTGGAGTCTTTGGTATTCTCTGAGCTGGGTTGTTTCCTTGCAGACTTTTCATTACCCAACTAGGTAACATCATCAGTGTTGACCACAAAAAGCTAAGAAGGGAACAAAAACGGCCAGGATATATTCCAACAGCCAATAGCCAGATAAGCAGGGATTAACACAAGAGGCCCCTTTATGGATTACTGCCTTGTCGTGGCGAAGGGGCTTGCGTAACTCAATGAAGCTATAAGCTATGCCGTGCAGGGCCACCCAAGACGGACAGGTTATAGCAGAGAGTTCTGACAAAATGTGATCCACTGGAGAAGGAAATGGCAAACCACTCCAGTATCTTTGCCATGAAAACCCCATGGACAGTACTAAAAGGCAAAAAGATATGACGCTGGAAGATGAGCCCCTCAGGTCGGAAGGTGTCCAATATGCTACTGGGGAAGAGCAGAGGGCTAGTACTAGTAGCGCCAGAAAGAATGAAGCGACTGGGCCAAAGCCGAAAGGACGCTCAGCTGTGGATATATCTGGTGGTGAAAGGAAAGTCCGATGCTGTAAAGATTTTTTCTCCATAGGAACCTGGAATGTAAGATCCATGAATCAAGGCAAGCTAGACATAGTGAAAAAAGAGATGACAAGACTGAACATCGACATCTTAGGAATCAGCGAACTAAAATGGACAGGAATGGGTGAATTTAACTCAGATGACCATCAGGTATACTACTGTGGGCAAGAATCCCTCAGAAGAAATGGAGTAGCCTTCATAGTCAATAAAAGAATAGGAAAAGCAATACTGGGATACAATCCCCAAAATGACAGAATGATCTCAATTCGAATCCAAGGCAAACCATTCAATATCACAGTAGTCCAAATCTATGCCCCAACCACTGGTGCTGAAGAGGATGAAATTGACCGGTTCTATGAAGCCCTACAGCACCTTATAGAATTAACACCAAAAAATGATGTCCTTATCATCATGGGGGATTGGAATGCTAAGGTAGGAAGCCAAAAGATAACCGGAATAACAGGCAAGTTTGGCCTTGGAGTACAAAATGAAGCAGGGCACAGGCTAATAGAATTTTGTCAAGAGAATACGATGGTCATAACAAACACTCTTTTCCAACAACCCAAGAGACGGCTCTACACATGGACATCACCAGACGGTCAACATAGAAATCAGATTGACTATGTGCTCTGCAGCCAAAGATGGAGAAGCTCTATACAGTCAGTAAAAACAAGACCAGGAGCTGACTGTGGCTCAGATCATGAGCTTCTCGTTGCAAAATTTAGGCTTAAATTGAAAAAAGTAGGGAAAAGCACTAGGCCACTCAGGTATGAACTAAATCATATTCCTGATGAATATACAGTAGAGGTGACAAATAGATTTAAGGAACTGGATCTGATAGACAGAGTGCCTGAAGAACTATGGATGGAAGTTCGCAACATTGTACAAGAGGTAGCAACTAAAACCATCCCAAAGAAAAAGAAATGCAAGAAAGCAAAATGGCTGTCTGAGGAAGCTTTGCAAATAGCTGAGGAAAGAAGGGAAGCGAAAGGCAAAGGAGAAAGAGAAAGATACACCCAATTGAATGCAGAATTCCAGAGAGTAGCTAGAAGAGATAAGAATGCCTTCTTAAATGAACAGTGCAAAGAAATAGAAGAAAACAACAGAATAGGGAGGACCAGAGATCTCTTCAAGAAAATTGGAGATATGAAGGGAACGTTTCATGCAAAGATGGGCATGATAAAGGACCAAAATGGCAGAGACCTAACAGAGGCAGAAGAGATTAAGAAGAGATGGCAAAACTACACAGAAGAACTATACAAGAATGAGCTTAACATCCCAGATAACCACAATGAGATGGTCATTGACCTCGAACCAGACATCCTAGAATGTGAAGTGAAATGGGCCTTAGAAAATCTGAGCAACAACAAAGCTAGTGGAGGTGACAGTATTCCAGCTGAGCTATTCAAAATCTTAAAAGACGATGCAGTAAAAGTGCTACACTCAATTTGCCAGCAAATTTGGAAAACTCAACAGTGGCCACAGGATTGGAAAAGGTCAGTTTACATTCCAATTCCAAAGAAAGGCAATGCCAAAGAATGTTCAAACTATCGCACCATTGCACTCATTTCACATGCTAGTAAAGTTATGCTTAAAATCCTACAAGCTAGACTCCAGCAGTATGTGGATCGAGAACTACCAGAAGTACAGGCAGGATTTCGAAGAGGCAGAGGAACTAGAGATCAAATTGCCAACATACGCTGGATCATGGAGAAAGCTAGGGAGTTCCAGAAAAACATCTACTTCTGCTTCATTGACTATGCAAAAGCCTTTGATTGTGTGGATCACAACAAATTGTGGCAAGTTCTTAAAGAGATGGGAGTACCAGACCATCTCATTTGTCTCTTGAGAAACCTATATGCGGGTCAAGAAGCAACAGTGAGAACCGAACACGGAACCACTGATTGGTTCAAAATTGGAAAAGGAGTCCGGCAAGGCTGTATACTGTCGCCCTGCCTATTTAACTTATATGCAGAGCACATCATGAGAAAGGCAGGGCTAGATGAATCAAAGTTGGAATTAAAATTGCCGGGAGAAATATCAACAACCTAAGATATGCAGATGATACCACTCTAATGGCAGAAAGTGAAGAGGAACTAAAGAGCCTCTTGATGCGGGTGAAGAAGGAGAGTGCAAAAGTTGGCTTGAAACTCAACATTAAGAAAACCAAAATCATGGCATCCGGCCCTCTCAATTCCTGGCAAATAGATGGGGAAGAAATGGAGGTAGTGACAGATTTTATTTTTCTGGGCTCCAAGATCACCTCAGATGGGGACTGCAGCCAAGAAATTAAAAGACGCTTGCTCCTGGGGAGGAAAGCTATGGCAAATCTAGACAGCATTCTAAAAAGCAGAGACATCACCCTGCCAACAAAAGTGCGTATAGTCCAGGCCATGGTTTTCCCAGTTGCAATGTATGGCTGTGAAAGTTGGACCATAAGAAAGGCTGAGCGCCAAAGAATTGAGGCCTTTGAACTATGGTGCTGGAGAAGACTCCTGCGAGTCCCTTGGACTGCAAGGCGTTCAAACCGGTCAGTCCTAGAAGAGATCAACCCCGACTGCTCTTTAGAAGGCCAGATCCTGAAGTTGAAACTCAAGTACTTTGGCCACCTAATGAGAAGGAAGGATTCACTGGAGAAGAGCCTAATGCTGGGAAAGATTGAGGGCAATAGAAGAAGGGGACGACAGAGAATGAGATGGCTGGATGGAGTCACTGAAGCAGTAGGCGTGAATTTAAATGGACTCCAGAAGATGGCAGAGGACAGGAAGACCTGGAGGAACGTTGTCCATGGGGTCGCGATGGGTCGGACACGACTTCGCAATTAACAACAACAACACAAGAGGATATATCAAGCATTAAACAATAGTCTAATCAGGAACTATGAAGGAGAAAAACCACACTCACACCAATAGCAGTAGAGAAACTGTTGAAGGTGTATATGTGAACAAACCCCACATTGACTAGCACTAGTTGGGTGATGAATTGTCTGCAACCAAACAACCAAGCTCAGAGAGCACCAAGGACTCTACAATATTGTATTCAACTGCAAATGTCCCAGTAAATGGACAAACAGTCTTTGGTACTCTTCAGAGAAGCAACAGAGAGGAAATGTCTAGCTTCTGCTTAATTGGTAAATTATCCCTGGATTTATTTGTTAACCTGAATCATGTATTGAAATGGGACAATTTTATTTATGTAGTTTTGTGGGTTCAAGAATCGTCATTTACATTCTTACAATTACATTCTTACAATCTTAGCAAATTTTTGGTTCAAATTACAGAAGGAATTTGGCTGTCTTTTCATAATTTTTCATTTATTAGTTTTTTCTTTTTTCCCCAAGCTAAATTAAGAATTCTATTCTTTTTTTCTTTTCTCTTCTTTACCCTTTTCTATAATAAGTTAGGTTTTTTAAAAAGCATATAGTATTTTATACACTATTGATAAATATACCTAGATATGTTGCTATTTAATTTGTATATAATATTATAAATTAATAAACATGGCTTTTAAAAATATTAATTGTAATGTTTTAAACATTTTTAAAGAGCTGTGCTCTACGTTAGAAAACTGACCAAGCAGTGAATAATTCATAGAAATCTTGATTTAGAAGGGACTATTTATGCTTTCAAATCCAGTTCAATGCAGGAATCCAAAATGAAATTTGTAACCGAGAAGTCTTCAACCTCTGCCTGAACACCTCCAAAAATGGAACCCAACTATCATTGCCATATCCTGTTTTTATTCATTTTGTGCTGAGGTGTCTTATGACAGACTTTCTTCTGATTCTGTATACTTTTACAAGAGAAAGGCTCTCCTCATGTATCATTTTGTGAAATTGACCTATATACATGTTTCATATTATCTCGTGAGAGAGGTCAGGCAATATGGGCATACCTGATCAGGCAATACTTGAAAACAAATAGTTGACCTTGCAGAGGTATTTCGTTTTGTTTTGTTTATCTCATTAGTTCAGTGGACAGAGCGAGAGTTTGAGTTGGCACTCTGGGCCTTTAGGAAGTGGAAATGGTATCAGTTTACATCTCTTCGAGACCTACTGTGGGGCAATGCCATTTTCTTGAAGGAGGCCAATGCGATCAGTGTGGAACTGAAGAAAAAGGTGAACAGTTTTTAGAAAATTAATATTTCCTTCCTTTCTTTCTTTCTTCCTTCCTTCCTTCCTTCCTTCCTTCCTTCCTTCCTTCCTTCCTTCCTTCCTTCCTTCCTTTATCCTAAGAGGGTGTTACAAAATAGTTTGAAAAATAAATTTGGTCCAAGGGATGGATTCTTCCCACCCCATCATCTAATAACATCAGGTGGTAGGGCTTCAATAATGGGAAAGCCCCCCCCCCCGCAAACTTTTGCTAAATTTAAGTCCCATCTTTTCTGTAAAATATAGAATTTTAAAAAATGTGGTTGCCTTTGTGACAATGCTAACCAGCCACATTTATATTTCACTTCCAGGTTCAGTTTCAGTTTGTACTCCTCACAGACACCTTATACTCACCTCTGCCTCCAGACCTGCTTCCTCCAGATGCTGCCAAAGACCGGGAGAAACGTCCTTTCCCAAGGACCATTGTGGCAGTAGAGGTGCAGGACCAGAAAAATGGAGCAACCCATTATTGGACTCTGGATAAACTCAGGTAGGTGTAAATTTTTAAAGCCAAGATGGCTGTTGTTGTTAATTGCGAAGTCGTGTCCGACCCATCGCGACCCCATGGACAACGTTCCTCCAGGTCTTCCTGTCCTCTACCATCTTCTGGAGTCCATTTAAGTTCACACCTACTGCTTCAGTGACTCCATCCAGCCATCTCATTCTCTGTCGTCCCTTCTTCTATTGCCCTCAATCTTTCCCAGCATTAGGCCCTTTTCCAGTGAGTCCTTCCTTCTCATTAGGTGGCCAAAGTATTTGAGTTTCAACTTCAAGATGGCTACTAGCTGGCTAAAAGAGGTGATTTTTAATCATGTAGGGGAAAAAAATGGCATGATATTCTTACCTGGAAGCAAAATGAATTAACTTATTTTAAAATACAACAGGAGTTTCTTAGTGAAAAGAATATGATTTAAATTGCCAGGCTAAATCATGTGACTGCCTGTTAAAACAGCCAGTTCAGTGGACAGTGATTTGGGCTGAGAGGGTTGAATGTGGTAAACAGAATTATATTACATAATATGTAAGTCTGCAGAATTATCCAGTCTTTGGTGCAAGATGGCCGTGTTAATTCATAATACTATTTGGTCTGTGATGGAGATCTCACATGCTCCTTTTTACTTATAGAAATAGCAATAGCACTTAGACTTATATACCGCCCCATAGTGTTTTACAGCTCACTGGGTGGTTTACAATGTCAGCATATTGCCCCCAACAATCTGGATCCTTATTTTACGGATCTTGGAAGGATGAAAGGCTCGGGATTGAATGCCACACTTGGGCAGACTTCGCCTGTAATACTGCATTCTAACCACTGCGCCACAAGGGCTCCTTATCTTAATAGGTTCATCACATGGACTGAAATCTGATTTCTATGCATGCCAAAATAATTATAGTTTCCTTTCCTGTTGTTAATTCCCTTCTCTGCTATAATTCATTTTCCTATATATGGGCATTTTATTTTTAAGCATACCAAAGAAGTTATATACCTGTGAATAGCTATGACTTCAATGGCTGCAGTCTTCAAATCTGCAAATATAGTCTCTTATTATAAATTTGGACATCCTCAGAACTTAGAGCTTTTTTTATGTCTGCATATAGTACACAAAAACAGTAATATATACATCAAATCTGACAGAATTCTAATGTTTTGCTCCAAACTGATCAAAATGGCCATTGACAGTCTTCTGTCAATGCAAGGGAAGCTTTTTTAATATAAACATCAGAACAGCCATATATATCTACTAATTCTGAGTATGCTGATGTATGGGTATAGGTCTAATTCTGCAAAATAGGTTCTTTTTCCAGTTTCTTTCCATTTCTTGAAAATCTTTTTATTTACCTGACTTGAGAGCATGCATTTAATATGTCTGAACAAGCAGAACAGGTTCCTATACCAAATTCTTAGTATATCAAGTAAGATAGTGGTATGTACAGGTAAACTGGTTGGGCCACATTTTCTCAACTATTGTTTTGATAGAAAATCTATTTTTTCCACCATTGCAGGCAGAGGTTGGACTTGATGCGGGAGATGTATGATCGGGCAGCTGAAGTGCCCTCTAGTGTTATAGAAGACTGTGATAATGTGGTGACGGGCGGGGACCCCTTTTATGATCGCTTTCCTTGGTTCAGGCTGGTTGGCAGGTGAGAGTTTTGGTTTTCTTTGTCAAAAAATATAGAGCAACCCCCCCCCCCAAAAATCCATAGCTAGGCAAAGCAAATGGTATGTAACGCAAGCGCTCCTTCCACTAAGGATGAATGATCATATTACATTTCAGATCATAGTTCAGGATGTTAAGATCACATCTCACATTTGATAAGAAATCAGGTCAACATCCCCATTCCATGTTGGAGTGGATTGTCCATTCATTTGATGCAGAGCCTTTTAAATATGATCTGCAAATATAGTTGCATCATATACGTTTTTCACAAAACCATACCTAGTATCAAGATGCATGGTGTCCAGAATACTGAGAGCTGAAACTTTATGGTCTGTACGCTCTGTGATTCAGCATGATGCCCTCCTCGCTTCCCAATTCTGTGTAGTTTAGCTCATACAAGCTAAGTTGTAGCCCATCATAACTTTCTGCTAGCTGAATATGATTTCTGAATTGTGAAAACCATCACAATTAGATGTGATGGGAACATGACACCAGTTCATTATCTTATTACCATGTAGATCCTCTTAGAGTATAATGCTTCTAGATGACAATTGTAGCAACCAAAACCAACCAAAATCAAACAAAAACATTGAAGGGTAGCTCAGAAACTCTTTTATAGGATTTTGTACCTTTGTGTAGGTGTGTGTGCTTGATGTATGGAGTGTGATATCTGCCTATATACTGCCTAGTATATATTGTATGTTCTCATGTGCTTCACATGCAACTATTAGAGAAAAAATGGCATACCATCAGTTGAGAGTTGTTTGGAGTCCAAGTAGAAAGGGTTTAGTTGTAGAATTTTAAAAAATCAAAGATATGGTTAAAGAAATATTCCATGCATTTGGGAGGGTTCATGATGGACATCTTTCCCTTATCAAAATCTCAATTTGATGAAATGGACACCAGGAAAGTTTTCATCCCATACATCAAATCTTCACAATTTTCAGCTGATGGCATTTGTGGCTCTTTTGTTAGATGTGTTTGATCTGGGAAGTTTTTCTTTAATGTCCTTCCTTATTAATTCTGCTGCTTGATTTTAAAGAAGGGGCAAAGCAAGCCTAGTCTCTCTCTCTCTGTCTCTCTGTCTTTCTCTCTCTCTGTCTGTCTGTGTACACACGTGCATATGTTAGAATAGCTGGTGTTAACATGTCTCCTATCTTGTTGTACTAACCTTAGTTCAGATATCTCTGGCTGCAACAGCTCTCCTATTTTCAACACATGCATGAGCGAGCGCATGGCTGATCTCACCCCCTCCCCCACCTTCTCGAACCCTGACTCCGACATCACCGAGCCTGCTGACGAGCAGCACGTGGGGAAGGAGGAGGAGGAGGAGGAGGAGGACCTGGAGGAAGACATCTTTCCGGAGTACCCGCTGTATGATGGCCAGGATCCATTTTACGACCGCTCCCCCCTGTTCAGTTTAGTAGGAAGGTTGGTGAGGTCTTAGGAGAGCATGCTGGGAAGGAACTAGCTCTTTCGCATAAGAGACCTGCTTTCCCATCTCAAACACACAGGGGCTTGGGGGGGGCAAAAGACATTTCAGAGGAAAAACCCCTCCCCCAACCCTCCCCACGGGGATGAGTAGTTAAAAGGAAGACCAACTACAGAGTGAAATAACACATGACAAAAGGCAAAGCATCTGTAAATGGGTGTGATATAAGCTGCTGGCAGCATGAGCACTTTGGCAATCGTACATTTCTGAAGGGTGTCTGTGTATGTGCATTAGATTGCCATATCCTAAAGTTCTAGTCTCATAGACTCAAAATTGAGCATAATTTCCTAAGAACTAGCACTGAGAGAAGATTCTTTGTTTTTTCTTAATTAAGTGGGTCAGTAGTTTTTTAAAATGTATATTAATTTATATATGGCAGGATATTCACAGAAAATTAGAATCATAGATTTAATATAGTTATCCATTGATTTGGGACAGTACTAACAGATAACTGTGAAATAAAGGACTACTGAGCAGAACATGGTTAAAGAATATCTGGGATTTCGAAACTTAGAATGCTAAAGGAAAATTCCTGCCACATTACAGTTACCAGAAACACTTATATTCAGAAAGCAAACTGGGTCAGTTACTGCTTTCATATATCTATACTGAAAACTTTGTCCTTGCTGCTTTAGGACAATAAAACTGACTTTGGTTACTATAAATGCCCCAATATATCATTCTGTATAACTGTAACAAGCCTCAATGATGACAAAATAATGGCATATGATTGTAACATCATAATCTAAATGTCACAATTATGTAATAATGGCTAATGCAGATTTGCAAGATACATCATTTGTGTGGTGATGTCATAATACATGTATCATCATTTATTTCTCTATAGCCCAGCTGTGGACCCATGGCATCCTCATCTTCGTTTGGAAAAATAGAAAAATTGTCCTATTTTAGTAATTAGTGCATAATCTGATCCTCTGAGGAAGTATAATCCTAAAAATCAATCAACAGGATTGGACCAATCTATAATGTGCTTTATTTAGTTTTAGTTAAACCATTGCAGCTTATTCAAGAACCATGAATAAAACAAATCATGGTGAAATATAATATGTGAACCCAGCCTTATTGTATGGCAAAATATTGGCTGTGTTTTTTGCAATATCTTTATCAATTTGCACAGCCCAAATTATTTTTGTTTCATTAGACAACAGCCAAACACTGTCCTTCACAGGACTATTGGAATAAGCTTGTAGAAAGATGACTTAGTTGATATTAAACTCATTGGGAACCTTGGATTAACCTAGATAGTCCTCGACATATAAGCAATTGTTTAATGACCAAAGTTACAATGGCACTGAAAAAAATAACTTATGACCATTTTTCATACTTACGATCATTGAGCATCCCCACAGTCACGTGATCAAAATCCAGACACTTGGCAACTGGTTCAAATTTATGACGGTTGCAGTGTCCCGAAGTCAAGTGATCGCCCTTTGCAACCTTCTGACAATCAAAGTCAGTGGGGAAGCCAGATTCACTTAATAACCGTGTTACTAACCTAACGATTGCAGTGGTTCACCTAACAACTGTGGCAAGAAAAGTCGTAAAATGGGGCAAAACTCACTTCACAAATATTTCGCTTAGCGACAGAAATGTTGGGCTCAATTATGTTCATAAGTCAAGGACTACCTGTGTAAGGTTCTTTCTTTGGTATTTAAGCAAGTGATTAAATCTGAAAAAGTATAGAGCTGCTGTGCTTGTAATGACTGGGTAGCAGACGAAATTTCAGCCACCAAAAACCCCTTTTTCTGTGTAAATATTATCAATATAGGCATGGGCAGACAAACCCATGCATCATGATATCATCAAACAAATGGTGTGACTTTTGCACTTCTGCGAGACATCATGAAGTCATTAGATAATTATGTCATTTTTATGATGATGTCATGATGCATCTGTTTTGATATCATCATGGCTTATTATAGCTGCAACAATCTTTGAGAGTTCTGAAGTCTTGCATCTGGGCCATCCTAGTTCAGGCAGGAAATCCTGACCTAGTTTTCTCTGTTAAGTAGTGTTTAGGAAAATGGGAGCAAGTCGAGGAAACCAAGGGGCTTACAAAAGGCAGAGAGGGATAAGGGGGGAAGAGTCCTGCAGTCTCAGACCGAAAGAGCTGGCTTCTTCCCTTTTTTTTTCTCCTCTTGGGGGATTTGAGATTTTAAATCAACAAACAGGCCAAACTACCAAATAGTTCAATGAGGGAATACCCTCTTCCCCCAATCCTGTGAACTGTTCTTGGGGGTCTTTTGAGTCAGTCAAAATTGACTCCTCCCACGCAGCAGCTGTGCCGTTCACATTTCTCGTGAAGTGTGCTTTGATTGGATCTTTGTCTTTGATTTCTATTTATTTTTTCCTTATTTATTTATTTTTAGCTGCTGGCTCTATCTCCAAAGCTTAAGCAAAATTGGGGGGGTGGTTATTTCACTTTTGTCTTCTTTTGAAAGGCTTTTCTTTGGTCTGAGCATGCCATCTTTGCACCTCACCAATCTTGTGGTTAGCGACTCTGTTCCTTTAATGACACACAGCCTCTCTTTTCTGCCTTCCTTTATTCAGCTCTCTTCTACCACCTTTTTCTTCTTCTTTCTTTCTTTCCTCTTCTTGCTGATTCCTCCCCTCAACCTCTCCATCTCCTTATTTTCTTTCCTTCCCTTTGAACAATTGTATGGAAGAGCAATTTCAGCCTTGAAATGCTTAATTATTGGTTTAATTATTTCTGGCCTGCTTCACAATGGTAATGCAACGGATGATCTATCCAGTATCAAACCATCAAATATTAGAATAGATCCAATATAAAGATAGAGATAATGCTGCAGAATGACCGGATGGGTTGATAATTCTTTGTGATCTATAATGTTTTTTTCTCTCATGAAAACAGACACTATGCTATTTGTCATAATCCTTCCAACCATCAGCTTTTGTTGGTTAAATTTTTTAATTTTAATATCAAATTAAACATTTCAGAATAGTAAGGAGTCACCTGAAGATTGGACAAATAGGAAGGGAAAATCATGGTTTCAGGACTCATTGACATGCATTGAGTTTGAAAAATTATATTTTTACAAATCTAGAGAAAATCATCACCTCATGTGTAAACAATCAAAACACGTTGAGCAAAATAGTTTATATGTTAAACAAAGCTTGATATGTATTAGTCACATATGAATAACTTAGCCACTCCGTTCACCATTGTGCCAGGAGAACAGGATAACTATTAGTGCTAAAGCATAATTTTACTATCAGGTAGAAAAAAAAATTCTATAGAATATTTTATATTAGCCCATAATAATTCTAGCATGCCTGTCATGTACCATGAGAAGATTCTCATGAAGTTTGTTAAGAAATGTTTCATCTCATACAGTAAAATTTATTGCACATTTTAATATTGTTGCAGCTGCCAGGTTTTAATGAATTGCTTCTTATTAATTTCTAGGAAGGGAATAGTTAAAATAACAAAAATAATATTAAAGGAACTTGGGTTGATATACAATTGATTTAAATGATCCCAGTTCAATAATATCTTATTTCTATATAATGCTTGTTGGCTATCTTATAGAATCTTAAATTCCCATTTTTATTCCTTATTAATCAACTATATGCATCTATACTCCCTGATTTCCATAACTATATCCATCACTGAGAATGTGACAAAACTGAACATGGAGATTTTAACACATTAAGATAAAAATCTGGGACAGAGAGCGTTAAATAAAAAATCCATCAGTATGACAAATGCTTGCTTTTGTTTCTTTGTATGATGGTATGATACTGAATGAAAATAGCTGAACAGTTCAATCTGGATTTAATGAATAGTTTTTCTATTTCAAAATAATGAATTTAAAGCAGAGATATTGGGGCATTTTCATATGTGAAATATTGTTCTATAACTTTAGTATAAAAACTTATTTTAATTGTAACGTATATCTGATTGCTTTTTCATGTCCCATCCTTAGCAATATTTATAGATGGCACATGAATACGTACACATTTAAATTTTCATAATTTCTGAAGTCTTAGCTTTTCTGGCTTACTGGCATATTGTAATCTGCTGCCAAATGTCTTGTCCTAACTTGCTACAGTGTGTAATTTGATATAGAAGTGGCTCTAATAGAATTCTATTGATGGCTATTTGTTCCATAAGGATAATGCTTCTAATATATAATGGGTTGCTGAAGTATAATAGTAGTATAATTATCCTGCATGGACCTTCCACTTTAGTATATAATATCAAACCAATGGAAAAGATTAAAAATGGGATCCATCAATATATGTTTCCACATGCAAGTCATCAAGAAAATATATCCCAAAAAATAAATAATATGTACACTCACCAACATATTCTTATTACAACAAGAATATGAAGTCTGGGATAAATAGTGTTACTGTTACTCACAGGTGACACTGAAATCAGCTACATTTAGGCAGAATCTGCTATTGTTGATCTCGTGTTTAAAAAGGCAATGAAGATCTTACCTAGCTCTATGTGGGAATGTCATCTAAGCTTCCCATGATAGATATCTTGCATTTAGTAATTTTACTCCTGAGTATATTACAAGGAATCTCCCCATTCTCTACCCATCAATGAGTTGCATGAATCTAGCTAGAACATATAATTTTCTTTTTAAGAATGCTTCTTCCCCCATTGGTTAGCTAATTAATTCTGTCAGCTTGACACAATAACAAATCATTGGAAACAGGCTTGAAATTGAATGTATTATGTCTCTCAAAATTCTCAAAAATGTTCCTCTTTAGAAGGGACTTCCTCTTCATCTTAGTCTCCTTACTCCCCCCCCCCTAATTCTTTCTGTTTTTAGTTCCTCCAGGCTAATTCCCATCTATTTTTTCTGTTTTCTGTCCCTTGAACCCATTGTTATTCAGCAGCAGGACCTTGGACGAATTACAGCACCCAGGGTACTAGTTGCCTAGTCTCTCCGGCCACAGGTCCTTGTTCTAGTTTCCTTCTTGCATCAGCACCATCCCTTTCCCTTCCCTTCCGTCATAAGAGATGCAGAACCAGAGGTACGCTATGCTAGCGCTCACTAACTCACTACATTTTCGCTTCATGCTCAGTACAGGAGCTCTGTTTTAAGCACGCTGATCCCCCCTCTCTGTCCGGCTGGCCATGGCTGCTTTTCTTTAGTTTTGCTTTGCAGCACCAAATTGTGATGTGAGCGGTGAACTGTGGTCCCAGCTACCATCGGCTATGGAGTATGTTTGGAGAAGTTCATACGTGGGACGCAGTGACCGCTGTCCTATGTTACTTTTCCTTCCAGAGCATTTGTGTATCTCAGCAACTTGCTATACCCTGTACCCCTGGTCCACCGTGTTGCCATTGTCAGCGAGAAGGGGGAAGTTAAAGGATTCCTACGGGTAGCAGTTCAGGCCATTTCAGGTAAGAGGTGGGTAAACATAATGAAGGTGGTGCTGGCCCTTCTTCTGGTGAGCAACTTTTTAAAAAATAATATCTGTGGGGAAATATCCTCTTGTATATTTGATTTATATCCCATCTTTTATTTAAAAGAGTAGCCTTTTTTAAACTGTTAAAATGAACAATTAGGGTGCATAATGGGGGGCGGGAATGCTTTAACAAAGCATTTATTGCTAGGAATCCTGGAGAGCAAAAGTTAAAGTGTTTCAACTGATTTATAAGAACGTATTTAATCAAGTCAATTAAGGAGCCATTGTAATCTATAAACATACTAACCTTAGGCAATATTGAAGCACTGTAGGTAGGAGTAATGGATATCTGAGCAGGCAAAGGAAAACAGGACATTTAGAAAGGGCAAATGGTAAGGAAAGGGAAAACTTTCTTTGACTTTCTTGGCATCCTGACAAAAATTTCAATGAAAAAGTGCCCCAAAAGAAAGGTACTTAGGTCTATATGTATTTGCAGGGCTTTTTTTTGTCATAGAATGCCCAGAATGGAGTTCCGGCACCTTTTTTGGATGGAACCTTGTAGGGTAGGCAAGGCAGGTTGTATGACATGTGTGAGTTCCGACACCTTTTTTTTTTTTTTACAAAACACTGTGTATTTGAAATTACTTTTTCCAACATCAAAAAGATCGGTTTTTCAATTGCAGAAACTATGCTGGAACCAATTGCCAGGCAAATCCTTAAGTGTATAACTGATTAAGTTCTTGTCAATTTCAGTCAGCAGCACAAGGGGATGAGAGATTAATTAATTAAGATCACAGAGTGGAGTATGTTAACTTGTAATTAGCACTTATGGAAGTGTTGCACTGCTAGGAGAAAACCTGATCAAGAAGAGATTGTTAGATATTTAAAAGGCCGAACAATATATGAAGTTGTTGATGAGGATTTATCGCAAGCTAGGTGCCTTTTTTAAATGGTGGTAGACATTATAACTGGATATAGTTTATTTGATCAAGGTTAAAATAGTTATTGTCAGGCGTAAACAACCAGACCTGCATGTACAGAGTACGAGCTAACTATTTATTATGTTCTGACTGTAACATAGGAATATTCCCAGTCTGGCATCTCTCCCTTGGGAACAGTTAGAGAAGGAGCCAAGGTGTTCAGGGAGGAGTGATTCTGGCCCTTTTACGGTTGCACAGTGACTCTAGATTAGCTTTGCACTCATCCCTTCTTCCTACCAGACTGGATGCTTCCCTACAGTTTTGTAGTTATTTCGCATAGCTTTTAATGGACTTTGATTGACGAATGAATTACAAGGCCTTAATATTTTGGTAAAAGTTATGAGATGAGTAAAGAAAAGAAGGGTGTATTTGTTGTGTTATCAAGAGATGGTGATATTTTACTAAAATTACTTGTAGCTGTGATGAAGGGGAAAGTTACCTCCTTATTCTTTTTCCCCCTTTCTCCTCTATTTTTCTTTTTTTCCTGCACTTTCTATATTTTTATATATACAGTATATTTTGTAGTTTGTATTAGTTTTGACTTTTTCAACTGTAATATTAATAAAATTATTTTTAAAAAAGTTGGGAAATATTTCATTTAATTCTGCCTGCTGGATGGAGGACATGAAGACAAAAAAGAGAAATGTCCTCTTTCTGCCAGACATCTGGTAATCCTCATGGGCAATTTTAACACTAATATAAATACAGGGAGTTTATTGGGAGAGAAATTTACTTTCTTCTGCTCAGCTATGTTGTATGAAACAGGGGAAAAAAACTGACATCCACGTAGTCCTCTAAAGAAACGAGGCAGAGTAGAGTGCCCTACGTTTTCCATAAAATATGAATTGCTTACATTAGTGTGTTATTTTACTGGGCTGATGGTAGAGTCCCCCTCCCCCCATTATATTGATGCTGAGGAATTAACCTCCATTTCTTGTGGAAGAGGTCAGGATAGGATTCCAAAACTTAAACAACAAGTATAGTTTTATCCCATGTCATCAGTTGATATTTGGGGAACTCCTCAACCATTTGGTTGACTGTTCAGCCACATACCTAATTGACCCTAGAAATACAAATACAATGAAGGTGCTGGATGAATGGCCCTCTCCCAAATGGCCTTTCCCTGATGGTTGATTGAGGGATTCTCCTTATATTTTAAGTATCTTAATCAAACATTTATATTTTAAACCTATTATGGAGAAATGAACAATTCCATGGTTCTAGAAGCCTAATAAGGATATTTGGATGATTCAAGCTGCATGCTGATTGAAAAATTCTGGGAGATAAAGTCCACACATCTTAAAGTTGCCAAAGTTGATCTAGATAATTAATTAACCAGAACCAATTTTTTTATATTTGCCTCATCAAATATCAGTCAATGTTTTTATCACTTCTTTGAATAATAACTATGAGTGGATCGGGCCTCCTTCTGAGGTATTTGAAAATAAAATAAAATTTTCTAGGGAACTTCTGTGGTTTCCAGCTTATTGGAAAATGTGAACTTTGATTATTGCCCACTGCATGTAGACCCTGCTTTAAGATGAGCAGCTATACAAATTGAATAAATAAACTTTCATTTACTTACAATACTCTCTCGCCATAATCCTGCTTCCAGCTGATGAAGAAGCACCAGATTACGGCTCAGGAGTGCGGCAGTCAGGAACAGCTAAAATTTCCTTTGATGATCAGCACTTTGAGAAGGTATGCTGCAAAAACCAGGACTCTTATGAGAATTATTTCAGTGGGGTTGATTTCATGAAGATATTTGTCTCATACCTAATCAATTATTAACAGGTTTCTTACATAGTTTTTAAATAATTCAAACACACAGGACTTCTGAAAGATGGGATATGTCACAACCTAGTACTGTTGCCAGATGTCTGAAATACGTACTGATAAAACTTCCTCACCAACAGCTCTCTGTTTACATTTCTTTACATGTACGGAGATAAAAACCTAAGCAGAGATTCTTCCTGTCTCTGGGTTAATTGAAAACAGACATTAACAACTTTCAGGTTCTAGATTTTATTGGTCTGGTGTTGGAGGGATGAATTTACATTTCATTTTATGGATACTATTCAAAAGCATATGACATTTTTATTGACTCATGTTGACCACCACGAACTCTTTAAAGAAGAAAATGGGATATTAATGAAATTAATAATAAATGTAATACTGCAACAGTCTTTGCATATCCTTCTTTTCTTTATTAGCTTCTGCCTGTTTTCTTTTTGAGCTTTGGCATATATTGTTGTGATGCAATTGTTTAAAAAGAAGAGACAAACTGTTTTGTTGCCCGAGACAATAATATCGATGCTTTTCTTTTTAGTTCCAGTCTGAATCCTGTCCTGCAGTGGGAATGTCTCGCTCTGCAACATCGCAAGAGGAGCTGCGCATAGTAGAAGGACAGGGACAAATTACTGATATAGGGCCATCTGCAGACGAAGTCAACAACAACACTTGTGCAGGTAAAAAAACCTTCCTGTTTGGGGGGGGGGGAGGAAATTTGTATACAGCAATAAAATCACATTGGACCTTCTTATATAGAAAACATAAAATGCTACATTATCAGATATATTTGTATGGTGCTGATGCAATCAAAAAAGTACCGGTAGGTTGAGAAATGAAATAGGTTTATATACTGCACAAAATGTAAGTATTTTAAAATATTAAACATTTGACACATGTGAAAATGAATTAAATGGGAATACTGCTAAATTAAGATGAGGGGGGAAAGTTTAAGCTTCCACAAAATAGGCATTGTCCTATATTTAGATTACTGCAAAGTGCTTTATAACTTCAGCCATAATTAGTTGCTTTCTGATGTGTGGTTTATAGACCTATTATTAGCTATACTGTGTCATTCCCAGGATTTCTGGTATAAAATGGCAAATTGATTGTTATAACTTCCTTTGATGAAGCTTTTCCTCAAATATGGATAACTGATTTCTTCTTACTTTGTTGTACATGTCAGAACAGATATGAAACATGGATAAATAAAATATGAAACTTTATATTTGAGAAGAAAGTGTTTATAGTTGCTATTATGTTTTCTTAGCCACTCCAGAAGATATTCTCTTGGATACGTCAGAGAAATCCACAGTTGATGGACCTTTTGAGGCAGCTCTGGAGCACTTGAAATTGGGCAGCATTTTCACATTCAGAGTTACTGTTCTGCAGGCCTCCAGCATCTCAGCAGAATATGCGGACATTTTCTGCCAATTTAAGTGAGATATACTTCCCATTCCACCATTTGCTATTTATGCAGTTTAGATAAATTTATAAGACTGTGATCACTCTTTGTCATTGATCCACTCTTTTCACATGGAGATCCTGGAGAGAATCTGAGAGAATTTATCAAAATGATTTTAACATGGAGGCTAGAATATAAGTGCATTTAAAAGGTTCTCACTGAGAATAAATGGAAGAACAAAGCTTAATAGCCTGAAGATATCATTTACCCTTATGAGAGAATGTGGAAATACAGAAGAACCCTACAAGATGAGAGGGGAAAGTATTATCTTTCTAATCTTTCCATGTATTGTTGTACTTCTGATTTTTCAGTTTCTGAACTGAAAAATTCTAACAGAGAGTAGAGCTCACCATATAGTGATGACCAACAGACTGCAGTTGAACTTGTGTTTACAATTTGAATGAATGAATGCACACAGGTGCATACACACACCCCATGTATGTATAGGGTTTTGAAATGAATGTGTTCAAGCATAGTAATAAAAGCTCTTTTTTTCACAGCTTTATTCACCGCCATGATGAAGCCTTCTCTACCGAGCCCTTGAAGAACACTGGTCGAGGCCCACCTCTTGGCTTTTATCATGTTCAGAATGTTAGTGTAATTTTCTGCTTCATGTTGTTAATTTTACATATTTTGCATTACTTCTCCTTTAAAATTATGTAAGTCTTTTAAAGATTGGCAGGAAATTAAATCCAGCTTTCTGCTTACTGGCCAATACTGGTTTTAGTGATTTCTATGTATGTTACAGTACTAGAGGTTTATATTGCTAGTTTTAAGACAGTATTTTGTTTCTAAATGACCATGAAAGGGGAGAATTTAATTTATTGTGTACAGTTTTGTCCTTGACATAATTAATGATATTTTATGCCTTGCTTTGTTGATTTCATTTCTGGAAAATCCACTGATGAAGGAATAAAAGCCTAGAATGCCAGAAAATTAATGAAGATAATGACATATATTAACACTGAAGTTTTAAGTTCTGCCTTTTTTTTTAGCTTCAGTGAATGAAAGTTTTAGAACTTCCAGCAAGTTTTACTCAGCTGAATAATTTGGCCATTTTAAGTTGAATATCTTGTTACGTAAAATAAGCTTTTTTATCCTTTTCTGTCTTACAGATTGCAGTTGAGGTCACCAAATCCTTTATTGAATACATTAAAAGCCAACCAATTGTCTTTGAGGTATTTGGCCACTATCAGCAGTATCCTTTCCCCCCTCTCTGCAAGGATGTACTCAGGTAAATTATCATCCATGATCTTTCATTTACCTTTGGTTTATCTGCTTCTTTATAAGAAGTGGAACTTGCCCTACAAAGCACTGAGATATTTGCCTGATTTTCAGCAACAGTTTAACTTTTGCAATGCAGCTACAGTGCAGTCTGTGCCATTATAAAACAAATGAAACATGTCTTAGTATGTTTAGGGAATCATATAAAGGGACACAACACAATTGTATTACATTTAGGTAAACCAACTTGGTTAGTCAATTGAGCAAGAGGAATGAATTTCCAGATATAAACAATGAATCTTTGTTATTTCAAATTCTTACACAGATAAAAATTGTGGTACTGTTTTATATTGTATGTTCAGTTTCCAGTATTTGACCAAGCACAAATTCTTTTTTTGAAAGTTGGTAAGACCTACCCAATATTTCTGCCCTGACTGATTACAGTTTATTTTTACAGTATTCGTTTTAATTAGTTATGCCTTTTTTTATAGCCCCCTAAGACCATCTCGCCGCCATTTTCCTCGGGTCATGCCATTATCAAAACCAGGTAAGAGAGAAAGTAATATTTGTTTAACATGAGCATTAATGAAAATTTAAGAATTTTTAGACATTTAGAAAAAAAATATTAGTGATTAATAACTGTTATTTTGAAAAGCTACCCCAAATCTTTGTAACAGTTAGTATTGTGTTGACTTGAATTGATGGTAAATTGAAATAACACACATCCTACCCAGATTTTCATAAGGAATAGCTGTAACAGCAGCCGGGGGGGGGGGAGAGGGGAGCCGGGCCCTGTGAGTGGTGGGTTGGCATGTGCATATGCAGCTCAACTTCTGCAACTTGTGGGCTGGCATGCATGCATAGTTCAACTTGCACAAGTTGAGCTGTATGTGCGCATGTGTCCCAGCATTGTGCAGCCCAGTTGCAGATGGGCCACAGCCCAGTAGTGGGCCGCGGCCTGGGGGTTGGGGACCCCTGGTCTGTAAATGGTAAAACTTTAGTATAAACCGATTTTCAGCTTTTAACTAACTTCTTCTCCCTTGAATTGAACACTTGCCTGGTTGGAAAGACAGGATATCAACTGAATAAATAAAAATATGTCATTGGTGAGGAACATAGATTAATCAGATTTCTCCTGTTTGAACAGTTCTGATTTCTAGAGTGTAGCTGATCTCCTTGGGGTATCTTAATGTTTGCAGAATAATTGGAATAATTTTTAGGCACCCATTACAGAAAAGTTGCTTCAAGTGCTCGATAACTGCTTATTTAATCACATCAAGTAAGAACCACAATACATGATCCTTATTCTGTTGTTATTATTATTTTCATCCTTGTTAAATGGTCTTAATGGCATTGGATGTAATATGTTTTCCCTTGTGTGCCTTGTATATTGCTTGGTATCTCTCATGAATTTTTTATATCTGGTTCTTGTGAGAAATTGTTCATGGATTCACAGCCTCATCTGTCTTGCTTTTGTACATTTATGTCCAAAGGCCTTCTAGTACCAGCCATTTATCTTTCAATTTAGTTCTTTAGGTATGTTGCAGAAACCTAGCTCCAGTACGAGATAATAGAGTTTCTCAACCTTTATCCTTGGCCAGTTATTCCATTTTGTTATAATTTTTTCAGTGCCTGCAACAAAACTGAGTGCCATGACAAGACCCAGCATTGGCCCATGTCAATGCAAGTATGATCTCATGGTCTTCTTTGAGATCTGTGAGCTGGAAGCTAATGGCGAGTAAGTCACTTTATTTCCTTATGAACAATTACATTTTGCTAACTAATTTGGAAGCCACAATTACCAAGTGAATTACACAGCTGAAATATTTTCATTCTGTTTTAGTACATTTGCTGGAAAAAATAGTTGCCAAACTTTAAAGTGAAATGCAATATAAGTGTTTATAGGACAGATTCAACTTTATTGAAATCTGAATTGGATTGGTTCAATGCATCTGCTTTGTTATATTGTTATATTGAGTTAGACCACTGACTCTATCTCAATATTGTGTATGGTGACTTTCCGACATTGTTTCAGACAGGAATAAGTAAACACTTCCTACTGTACAGATGCAGATAATGAACCTATGAGACTCTGAATGGAAAATATATTCTCATCCTAATTCCAATTGTCCACAAAGCAAATTAAGAGAGATGGAAAAATCTAATGAAATTGAAAAAATGATGATGTATAGTACAAGGTATTATCATCAGAAATAGTGAATTGACCTAGAACAGATGAAGGGCAGGGCTCCTGGGCCATTAACAGTCATGCAAGCAGATACGTTACTATACATGTATAGTTTCCAATTATCGTACTATAAAAATCTTAGAAGTTGGGGCTCCAAATTTTCCTTTTTCTACATGACTATTAATGACCTGATGCAGAATTTTCTAGTATTGCATTTTGCTAAATTTTTCTAAAGAATGATTAGAAAACTTCTGAGATAGATGTAGATCTTTCATCTCATTATGTGAATGTGTACTTGCAAATAAAAACATGTCATTCATATGCAAATTAATGTACAAACAATTTGAAACAAGGAACATATATGTGAAATAGATGGGAAAAGATCATATAAATGCTCTTTAATCATGAATAAATCAACCTGGTCTCCTTATGTCACTTTTGTTTATTATTTTCTCAGAATTGGTTTCTATGGTAACAAACCACTTTTCTTTTATACATCTTGGAGGCCATGAAGATTTTTTTAAAATTAGATTGAATTCTCACACTGTGTACTTCCCAGTGTCTTAAGCCATAGCTGAATAATTCTTGTCACAAAGCAGAACATAAAACTATAAAATATCTTATATCTTAATATCAAAGAATACAGCAGTGCAAACCACCTATTTTTAAAGTCATACAGAAAGAATTGTAACATATGAAGTTGTAAAAATAAACTCCAGTCAATGTGAGCAAATTAATACTCGTGTATGCTTGCTTAATCTGTGCAACATAGATGGGGTTTAATTAAAAAAAAAAAACCCATGTATTTTGTAAAGCTTTACTATTGTACAATTCTCATCATTCTAAGCCAGTGTTTCTCAATCTTGGCTACTTTAAGAAGTGTGAACTCCTAGACTTCCCCAGTTAGTCCATACCTCTAAAAGTTGCCAAGATTGAGCACATTGCTCTAGCCTGTGTGGATATGGATATCTGATTGGGGTGTAATGCTAGGGAACTCCAGCTCCAAATATAATCTTGAAAGCACAAGGTTGGAGAAGATGCTGTCTATTCAGTCTCAATGAAATTATCTTTTCTAGCTATATCCCAGCCGTTGTGGATCATCGTGGAGGAATGCCTTGCCATGGGACTTTCCTACTGCATCAGGTATTTCTTGTATTTTCTTACCAATCCCTATTGATCAGTCTCTAGGGATGTGACATACCATACCAAACATTTAAATACAAAGGTTGGACAATCAAATTTCAAGTGATTTCTGTTTTCTCTTTCTAAGCATAAGGTAACAATAATACAGTTTAATTCTAGAAAATGAATTGCTAAATACAATTTTTGGTGAATGGACGTCTTTGAAGAATATGGGACTCAGATCATTTAAAAACATTTTTGGTGCATTCCCTGCTTCATTGAATAATCCTTCATCTGTCCCACCTGAATGGGAAAACAGGATAGTGTTCACTAATTACCTATAATCTTTTTGGATTCTATAATCTATTATTTTTTGAAATACATTTTTTGTTTTCATTAGGACCATAATTTAGCAATCTACTTTTTTTTTTAAAAAAAGAATATCCTTATAAATATACGTTCTGGAAACATAAAGGGACAGATTTATTTTAAAAAAAATAAACTACCATATTTCTTCAACACAAAGTGGCAAAGTTATAGTCAATTTTCAGGAGACCCACCTAATAATTTTATCCCTTTGTGTTCTTTGTACAGCAGAAATATAAAATATCTGCTGGCTTTTTCTCTCTTTAATTGTATTGCAAACGTCCATTATCCATTTAATACAGGAACTCAGTCCCTTAAAATTACCTGATAAAAGTGTTATTCATTATTTTACAAAAAAGGAAAATCATTAAAAAAAAGAAATACAAATGCCAATTTTTATTTACGATTTGATTTTGTCTTTTCTATCTTTTTCTCTGGTAACCTTTTAGAAATATATGAAATAATTTCAGTATTTCTAATAATTATGTTGCTTTATTCAATAATCTATCCATTATTCATTTCCCATAAAGTTACAAATTGAATGAGAAAGAATTAATTATTTGTATCTCTTTTCCCTTCCTCTAAATATATAATACATTTTCAAAACTGTTTTTTTTAATATACTTCTAATCCTGTTGAGAATTCTTTGCTTTATTACATATTGGTTGTGAGCTGAGTTTGGTACAAGACAGCAAGCTATATAAATGTTTATAGCTATATATATATATTGGGAGGAATTCCTGTCCACTATATAATAAAATTTACAAAAGCTTGTTGAGAAAACTTCCTTCTAATAATACAGGGGTTTGCTCTGTGACCCACTACTGGGCTGTGGCCTATTTTGAATTGGGCCATGCGAAATGGCTGGCCAGAGCGTACACAGCTCAATTTGCACAAGTGATGGGCCAGCGGGCAATTGTACACGTGCGCACTGGCCCACTGCTTGCGCAAGTTGAACTGCACTCGTGTGTGCCAGTCAACTGCTTGTGCAACCCAGTTTCCCTCTCCAACCCCCGCAGCCGGGCCTAATTCTAAATGTAGCTTCAGTTCAAAGAGCACTTTTTCTGTTTCAGTGCAGAAAATCTTTGAAATTTGCTTTCTAGATCCTGTAGTCATGGATGTGCTGCATGTGGTCTTTGAGATATTCTGAACTATAACTCTCAGAAGCTCCAATATTCACATATGCTGGGAGATGTAGTTTAGCGATATTTAGAAGACCACCTCTTGCTCTTCTCAATTTTATATTGTGTGTCCTGAAGACGGCATATAAAGCTTTCAATAAATTCTTTTCTTAAACCACCCCCCTACCATGCCATTTTTGAACTATATTTTTCAACAAAAATATTTTCTATAGTTTTGTTCAATAAAAATATTAATGTATATTTCCTCTGGCCCAACTGTTTACTTTTACCTACCCTGGCTTATGGGAGTTGATGTCCTTCCACTTAGGATAATACTTTGTGTGCACTGTAGAGTTGGGCAAATTCTTTGGGTCTGGAGATTGGCTGTGAGATAACTTTTTCCACATCTGCTCCATCTGGGAGCCATAGTTGGCATGGCTTGTGATATCATCACATCAGTGGGATGGGCAGACCCACAATTTTCAAGATGATGGTTTCTTTTCTTTCTTGGTTTTGTTCTGTGGTTTATTGTAAGCCACCCAGAACAGCAGTGTTCAAGTTTAGATGGCAGCCATATAAATGTCATAAATTCATAAATAAAGTTTATCATCTATGTTGCTTTATCTGGTTACTTCTGAAGGATGGGATATTTGCTTAGCATTTTTAACACAGTTCTTATAAGTGCTAACTTTATTATCTTTCCATGTGATGGATATCAGGGTATCCAGAGGAGGATTACAGTCACCTTGGTGCATGAAACAGGAAGCCTCATCCGCTGGAAGGAAGTGAGGGAACTGGTTGTGGGTAAGCAAAATATTTGTTCTATATCCCAATCAATGTTGAGGCTATACAGTACATCTGAACTAAGCATCACTGATTTTTAGAAAAGCTAATGGATACAATGCTATGTAACAAGACTCAAAATAGAGCTTTCAGTGATCTAGCATTTGAGCATTTTTATTTACTTTTTGTGACAAGTTGTTCATTTTGGTTAAGAAAGCCTATATTTGGATGTTTTACACTGTATCTCCTCTATAGCTCCCAAGGGTCTCTTGGATTACAGTTTGAAGGATAGGCTGGAACTTTGCATAGAAGATTGGATGGTGCATTTGTTTATGTTGACAGAGTTTGAGAAATTGTCAAATTACAATGAAATGATTGATTCACAGCCTCTTTCTTCTAAGAGGAGCATACTTCAGCATGGTAAAAAGTCTGAAAATGTCCCAACAGTGTGATTCCTTTTCAGTCTCATCATGATAAGCGGTGATGAATTTATGACCTAGAGAATAATCTCACTTTATAGACATATTGTATTGAGCAGTCTGCAAGCTACAGGCCTTATGTGACTCTTCAAAATCTTGCATATGGTTAGGACAGATGGCAAGCTGGAGACTTTATAAAGCATAACTACAATGGAAGTATGGCACATATAGATGAATTTTCCAACATTCTGCCTTCTGCCTCTTACAATGTTGAGATAGAGAGCAGGGAGAGAGCTGTGTATGCCTCACTCCAGATCTTCCATTTGTATTTTGGAAAAACCTACCTGATTATGTTCTAGATGTTCAGCAATATACCTGCTCTAATTCTCCTGCAGCAGGATAGGGAAGGTAAAATGTATGCTCTATTCTCTATTTGTAGGTCGAATCCGGAACACCCCAGAAGGAGATGAGTCCCTTATTGACCCCAATATCCTATCTTTGAATATCCTCTCTTCAGGATACATTCGGCCCTCTCAGGATGATCGGTAGGTCTCTTAGAATACTCAGCTAATCTGGGTCAGTCATGATACTTCTATATGTCTGGTACTGTATGTGTCCAGTTGTGTGAAAAGCTTTTTTCCTGAAAGTCCCAATTCTTTATTCTAGCAGAATCAGACAAAGCTAGCAAAAAAGAACATAATGACAAAATTGCACACAGAAAAGGCTAGTGGCTTTCCTCCAGTATTTTTTTAATGGGTAACAATTTAAGGGACTACTGCAGTTACTGCAACATAGGAAGTTGCCTACGGTAGTATCAGGTGAATCAATATCAGATAAATCATTTATTTATCTAGTCTGGTATTATTTTCTCTGGCAGAAAGTTTCTCATATCTGTGGCTGAGGTCCATCTTCCCCAGCACCTGTCTATGTGTTCATTTTATTCACTTAAAAATATTGTTTTAAGAAATATCATTTAATAATAATTGGAAATACTAGGAGCAACCTAGGACCTCCCAAATGGTTAGCAGTTACATGATCTTGGAGGACTGACATCCACATGCAGAATAAATTTGCTCCTAGACTGTGGCTCAATTGCTTTAGCAACAGTCTACAAACATTTCTTTGCCATATATTGTAAAGACTACTTTATCTCATAGCCTAGCAAAAGAAAGCTTGATAACATTTTCATGTACCAGTATTATAAAAGGGAAGCACTGACACATGTATCTTTCTGCAAGGGCTCAGTCATTCTCCAATGGAACAATGTGTGGTAAAATCATTTGGGTGATATAGACGTTCTTTCATCTAAATAATGGCAGATGCTAGAGTTTCCAGATTTAGCACTGCAGTTTGAATGGAACAACCCTTCTCCAAAATTTCAAAAATGGCTCTAGTTATACGTTAGAGATTCTTCCTGTTTTGCAAAACATTTTTTTAAAAAATGATATTGAGAAAATTAAAATTTGGAGGGTGAAGCCCTTTCTTGGTTCCTTGGGTCTGAGTATTGCATTATTATGAGGGGTTAATGGTAAAGAGTAGCACAGTGTCATTAACAAATGGATGGTTTATTATTCCTAAGGTGAAAGACATGGATGAGTGAGTAATGCTATTCTATTAGGAAAATAAAAGTTAGAAGACAATGTGATATCTCATTCATTCATCTTTTTTCTGAAGATTAGTTTCTCTTTCAGTACTTCCTATAGTTGAGACCAAGTATTATGATCAAATAATCCTGAATATATTCAACATTGATCTCAATTCAAATGTTTAAACATGTATAATTTTTACAACCTTTGGAAACAATATATAGGTGAGTTGGGAAATGATGGTGAGTCAAGTGCAGCGCAAATAAATCTCAACAAAACAAAGTGTAAGTATATTCTGAAAAAGAGCAAAGCTGGTGAGGGAATGTGAAAAGGAAAAAGAGGTTGATTAAAGTAATTCCAGTCCAGGTTTTTCCAACCTGATGTCCAGATATGTTAGAACTATAATTTCCTGTCAGCCTGGGCAGAGTTTGGAGGACAAGTGTTCAAGGACAGAGAATAAGCAACCTTTGGGGGCCATGAGACACAATTTAAATTGTTAAGGCATATTAAGGATGATTATGACGGAGGATGGCTGCCCCAGGGAGAATGAAGCCAGTTGCAAAGTATCTCTTCCCTGAGACAAATCAGCTTTCTTTCTTCCCCTTTCTTTATGGAGAAGATCCTCTCTATCACCCCAGCTTTCTTTGTTCCTTTTTTTTTCTGGGCAAATGATCCCATGCCAACAAATACTGTACTACACCCATCTTCCATCACTGTTTTCTCCAAATGCCAATAAAACATATGTGAATGGAGCTCACAGATGTAAATAAAGATGACATTAGAGCTGGTTGAACACAGCACACACCCTCCCATTTAATTAGTTTTTTTAAGATTATCTGGCAGATATCAAGGAAGACATTGATAGGGATACTGGTATCCTGTATATCCTTGAGCATCAATTCCATGTGTTTGGTAATATAAAATATATTCTGTTTGATTTTCCCTTCCAAATAAGCTAGCAATAAATTAACAAGACTAAGAAAAGCAAAACAAGAAAATAAAGCCAAATGAAATACAGCAGTGTTCCTTTTACTGATATTAATCAAGATCTTTACTTTTAATTAAGTTGAAGTAGATACCATTACTATAAAGATGTTTCCAGATGTCAGCTTTTTCAGTGACAATAATAGCTAATCTATAAGCAAAAATAAAAGAAAAAAACTTACAGGAAATTTACCTGTTATCAAGAAAAACGATAATTATTGGAAGTTGCTGTTCCTAGGTTTATTTAGTGGTTGATATTATTCCTAAACTAATCTTGATAGCATACTTGACAAGCAAACCTCTGTTTTACAGGATCCTGGCTTGTCAACATGCAGTAAACTCAATGATTAAAATAATATTAAGGAAGTATTCTTAATTGTATGATGGATTTTACTTTGTAGAATGAAAGCAATTGATCTTGGTCATACAATGATTCCTGAGCTTTCTATCTCAGCCTCCCCTGACCTGGTGCCCTCCAAATGTATTGGAATATAAATCCAGAATTCCTATTCAACATTCCAATTCTATGACTTGTGAAGGAAATCAGGTTAAAAAAGGCCTCTCTGCTACAATATTCTAGAAGTGGTGTTTCTTCTAATGTTTTTCTCAAACGTTGCAGCTCTTGGCAGGAGACCTGAGTGTGATTGTTTTCAGTAAAATGTTTCAGGATTGATTTAATGCATATTGATTTATTTACCATTTGATTTAATTATTTGTAACATTTATTAACCACTATGCCCTGTGTCATATGTTATTGAAAGCAGCAACTTTCATTAAACCAAAATTTAAATTACTAAATTAAACCACAGCATTTAAACCACAGGAAGTCTATCTTTGAGCATTGCCAAAGAAGCAAGAAAGACTAGGAATCACATACCTGTAGGTTTCTGTTGTTCCTTCCTCTTTATGTCTCTTTCTCCTATATGAGCATTATTCTTAGCTGCCTGCATGAATGAAAACAGAATTGATGACTGGTGTCTTAAAGTTATCAGAAAGGCTGGCCAGATTTGGCTGAAAGATCAGAATAACAAAGGGTCTATCTACAAAAGCAGCCTTTCCCAACCTGATGGGTTCCCAATCTGAGACTACAATTGTTGTCATCCCAAGGTAGCATTTTTATTTTAGGGCTGAAGGGTTGTAATCCGACCCCATCTGGATTGCATCAAGTTGCAGAAGGTGGCACTAGAGCAACCATTTTCCAGATTTCCCATCCTTCTTAATTTGCATACATTTTAGGAATTTTCTTCAAATTTTGATAGTACTTAACTAAGAACTTTTTGTTGAGAATCCGGCTCATCCACCCACATGGACACCTGTTTCAGCTCCCAGCTATCATGTATCACCAAGCTATTTTTCCAGTAGGCAGGCAACCATCTCTTTAGACTTTATTCACTGTATCCCAATATCGTTGAGTAACATGATGCAAGAGAACTTCAGACTGGCTTCATGTTCATAGATATGGAGAAGCATTGTAAAAGTCCTCCTTGTGTGTTGGCAAAAAAACCCTTGTAGAACCATATGACAGTATTTATTGGAACTGTTACATTAAAGGTGATGATGAATCAGATTGAATGAAAAGACACAATGACCAAATTCCACACTTGAATTAGGCTGTGTAAAATTCTAGAAGGGCAGTTTTTCCTTGAGGCAAGTCAGCAATAGCAAAACAAAAAAACAAACCTAGTATGGCCTGAATTTGTAAATGAGGATAGTACTTTTCTTACATATCTGTTTATAATCAATGGGTGCAATCTCACATGTGGAATAAAATGTCGTTTTGAGAGGCAGACACTGAGATTCCCAATCCTTCCACTGTCAGATGCAGCTCTTTAAACAAAGATTTACCTTCTCTTCTAAACCTGAAATGGACGCCATTTTGGAATTGGAGGAACCAGCCTTGTAACTTAGACCTGTGATGGTTTAACATTCCAGTTTCTCTAAATGGCAGGTATTTCTGATCTAAATGGTGTAGTAAATACAAATTCCTGATTAACAACTATGTGCAATAGTGGTAAAATGGTAGCAGACCTGGACTTGTCTATCTAACTTTAGGGCTTCTCAATTTCTGCAAACATACCAAAGGCTCTGCATCTTTCACCTCCACAATGCTGAGGGAGCTTAAATTTGCTTTAGGTAGTGATGCACTAACAACAGACTTCATTTGAATTTGAGTGAATTGATTGAATTTAAGACTCTGCAATAAAGGCCCCCAAACTGACCTAAGACATTTCAGTGTATCACATTGTTACTCCATTTACTAATTTATAATGGGTTCATCAGAGGCCCTCGAGCTTTGCCTTCTGCTTGGGACAGAGAGGAGCTGTTTGTAGTGCTTACGCTTTGGAAGACCTGCAGATAAAACTGCTGATGCTACTGCCACCTCCACCACCACTGCCCATATAAACTAACCATGTGATTGTTTGTGTTTTTGCAGGCAGTTTCTTGATTCGGATATGCCTAGGTATTATTTGTGAGCTTCCCCATATATTTTATTTCCCCTCACGCACCTTTTTCAAATCAGCACTGAGGTAGCAATGCTGCAGACTGAACTTACTTCCACCTGCCTGAACACAGCTTCTTTTTTTTTCTTCTTCTGCATCATTGGGCTTCTTTTTGTTCCATTTTGTTCCTTGGTTGTTGCTTTTTGTAACTTTCCTTTTCTTTCAAAAGCCAGTGTTTTTCTTATTTCTCTCTCACCCGTATATGCTTTCTTTGGGGACTGGGGGCTGGGAGATAGTTTTTTTTCCATCTGATTTCCCTGTTTCCTTTTTTCCCCCTCTATCTCTGCCAAAAAAAAAAAAAAGCTTGCCTGGCCTGTCCATACTGAAACTCCTCCATCCCCTGCTTCTGCCTTTGGCAGTGACACAAAAAGAGTTGAACTGATGCAGGCTTCATGAGATGCTGTGCTCTGTGTGACTGGGGGTGAGAAAGGAGATTAGGAGAACCCCAGGATGGTGTGAAAGAGCCATCAATTGGGAGGGGGGGTTAACAGGCTTCCTGGGCAGTTTTCAGTCAGATGTGGGTGCAAAAACTGTTCAAAATCCAGTCTGGGGCAACTGTATGAATTCAAATATCAAATGGATTGCATGAAGTGGACTGTTACAATGATTAGATATTAAAGCATCCCAAGGAGACAATAAATTTGCCAACTCTGCATGCTAGGAAGATTGGAATTACTGAATATAATTATTTAAATACTGAAGAGATCCTGCTGGTCTCACTAGGGACATTAGAGAGACACCATGTTAAGGAGGAAAGCTACGCCAGGTCAGAGAACAGATTCAAAAGAGCTAATTTGTGATGTAAAATGTTAAGTAATTCTTCAAACATTTCTCTATTCCCTATCCTGAGTATAACGATTGACTTCTTTTGTTGAAGAATTTAAAATCAAACAAGGAAAGCTAAAGTGGAAAACGGAAAGAAAAATTGTCTGGTTGATTTAGTTTTCTAACATTTGAATTAGGTTTATTTTGGTCTCTGGAATCTAGACTTAAGACTTAGAATGTGTTTGTTTTAGAGATGTCAGTGATAGAAAATAAGGATAAAATATCCACTTTTTAATTATCCAATTGCAAATCAGTATGCAATTACTATAACTATATTCTTAATGTATGAGGTTGCTGTAAGAATTATAATTTTATTGCAGTGCCTCCTAATTAATCATTCAGATTTAAAAATTTGGTACCAAATTGCCATTAAAGATAATTGGCTAGAAAAACCATGGATGAATCAGACAAGACAGGTATGGCTCAATTATCTAACGTTAGAAGCATTTCCTACCTTGGTGCCAGTATTTTTGTTCCTTCATCTGCAGTTTTCTACCAATTTGAACTGAGTTTCTCTGTTGCCTATTCCAGGCACCTTGATGGAACTAGTTTCCATTAATGGTTTCTTATGTTGTGTGGGTTATACAACAAAGTTTACATCAGACCTTCTATGATGGTCATCTGGAAGATGAAGTTGACATGAATTTTACCTTTTGAAGATTAGAAAGGATTATTTTATAACTATTAGAATGAATATTTCTTTATAATTTGGGACTTCCTTATTCAGAGCCATTTGGATTTCTTTATTGCTATATGTCTTCTCATCTTAGTATAGCACTTTTACATGGAACACCTTGCTTGTCCCTTCTTGATATTAGGACATACTGTAGTTTGATTTGATAAAATAAACTTGCTGAATACTCCTCAATACAGTAATCATTGCTCGGTACAGTTAGGAGAAGCTGTATTTCTTTTTTAGGGAAGTACTATAGACTGAAAGGTTTTTTTTTTCCTATAAATCTCACCTTCATGAAATCATTGTAGCACAGTTTTCCCAAATTTCATGCATTCCAGATATGCTAAGACTACAACTCCATGCTACCAAGTGATTCAAAGAGTTTTAATCCCTACATGTCTTCAAAACAACAGGTTGGGAGAGGCTGAAGCCTGGCTGGAAATCACAATTCTGATAAGAACCTGGTTAATGAAAATTTCCTTGATTTTTAATCTACAGATAATATAGATAAAAAATCTAATTGAATCACCAGGACTATTAGACTTTTATCTAGAAAACATGAGGGAAGTATTCAACACATGAAACAACAGTCTGGGCTTCCTATTATGTACATGTCCTTTTACTAAGAGATTGAAAAGAGAACAGTATTGTATCTAATTATGGCTGTCTTCAAATCTCCATGCATCCCTGTGTAGCTGCCTCTCTGGGTAGCTTTTCTCAGACACCTATAAACAATGCTTTCTGACATTTTAATTTCTCTGTGTATCTGTACGTGTGTTTTTCTTCGGTTGCCTTCCACTTATAGCATTTCACTTGGAAATGACACTAGGTATTTTTGTCTTACTTTTCTCTCATACCCTTGCTTGATCTCTTACTAGTTTCCCTCTTTTTCTCTTCACTTTTGTACTCTTCCTGTCCTAAATATGTTTCCTTCCTTTTGGAATTTGTCTTTGACTTGCTTGTGTCTCAGTGAATTTAGCTCTTTTGGTTTTTTTGCAAAATGCTTCAGGTCTGTGAAAATGTCTGATGTTTAGAATGGGGTAGTAATTGTGCATCAACCAATACTCAGATCCTCTTTACCAAGAGTCAGCTGTTGTTCTTAGTAATAGATCTGTTGTTAATAAATTATCTTCCAACAGGTGGATTGGTGTCTCTTATTATTAAAGAGGCTTCTGACTATGTTGATACTGAATGTTGGTGAGCTGTGACAGTGGAATGCCAGAATATTTTTAAAACTTGAGGATGCTCAGATGGAAATGAGAGAAAGAGAGAGGAGAGAGGGGGAAAGTCCCAGTATTTTGATCATGTTTGGAAAATAATTTCTGAAATGGCCTCTGGTATATAAAAAAAAATTAAAATTGAACCAAATATGCTTCACAAGAGAAAGAGCATCATACGTGAAAATGTGATTGAAAGAAGATAGGTGGAAAATTGGGCATGCGCTCTAATTAGCAGAATTCCACTTCCTTTGGATGTTCCAACATGACCAGAGCAGCTAGTATGCCATGGAATTTATTCTTTATGGAAATCCAGATTTCTGAAGTGGCACAATATTCCACAGCACTATAGGGTGCTATGCTTATGGACTGCCTAAATAAGCTAAGTGTTGGCTTGTCCAAGTAATACAGACAGGAAAGCCTGAAGTACAGTCTGAATGGTCTCCAACTTTCAAGTACAAATGTGATGGCTTGTATAATGAAGGTTGCTATAATAGGCAGATATTCAAATACGGAATGAGAAATGAGAGTGAGTGTCTTAGCTATAACACCCAGACTACAGGAATAATAAGCCAAATTTAAGCAAGCTCACTCTTTTAAATGATCTAACCACTGTTTTTTGGAAGCATTAGTTTTATTCACAGATGAGTCACATGAATTCATTTATCATGAATGGCACAGCAAAATTTGGGAACCTCTGAATTAATATCTATAGAACATATTTTTCACACTAAATAATAATCCACAATTTTGAAAATTGTTATGTGCAAAAACATGGTAAATTAACTGCAAGCACTATGTAACAAACCTCTGCCAAGGTAATACTGAAAATGTTTCTAGCAATGTAGAATTGAAAGCAATACTGAGCATCCTCACTTTTTCTTTGTTTTTTCTGATTATGCTTGCCAAAAATTAGTATCGCCTTCCAATGGATGAAAGATTATTTATTTTAACATATTTGACTGAAGAGATGTGGACTTGGAGTACTTTAGGCAATATTTTAAGATGACCAATTATTTCTACATCAAGGAAGGATCTTTTTCAATTGCTATCTAAGTATATTGCTTCTTGCCCACTTTCTGTTTTAGATGGCATCTTAACTTGCATTTTGGGATGATCTCTGGTGGAAATGGGACGGGGTAGTGCATCTATCCTAGACCTCTCAGTGGCTGCAGATACCATCAACCATGCGGTTGGAAATGGATAGAACTATACTCTGCTGGTTCTCTTCCTTATTTGGGTCTGATACTAGTTGGTGTTGATTGGGAATGAGAGGTCTCACCTCCAATTATGCGGGTGCCATGGATTTTGGTGTCCTCTCCACTCATATTTAACATTTACATAAAATCACTGGGTGAGATCATCTGTCACGATCATCTCATCATCATTGTTGGGGTACTATCAATAGGTGATGATATTCAAATGTACTTCCCTGCTTCTGGCATACTAAGTGATGCTGATGATGTCTTCTGATGCTTAGAGACTGTGGTCCGCCCTGTGGAACATCATTCCCTCTTAAGTGAAGCTAGTCCCAATCCTATGTCCTTCCAGAAAGCCTTCAAAATATGGCGTGTGTTTTTTCATGAAGTCTGAGGATCCCAATAGTAGGGAACCCACACAGTGGCTACATCATAATTAGCATTCTGATTTTAAACCCCCATCTTGATTTTAATAATTGGACTGTTTTAATTCATGTTATAATATATGTAAATAATCAGTTTTATTATATGCTGCCCAGAGTCTCCTTATGTGAAATGGTCAGCTATATAAATAAAAACAGTTCCAAAATAAGAATGAGTCAATAGATCTCACAACGCTTAGAATCATTTAGTCAGAAGTATGGATCAGTGGGTGCTATTTCTGTCTGATAAACCTTCAGTTTATTGTTTAATGCCCCATGTGTATGTAACTCCCTTTTCAAGTGCTGCCTTTCTCTTTCCCTGTTTTTCTGTCACCGTCTCCTTTTTCATAATTTCTATGTAGCCAAAATCATTTCTATCTATATGGGACCATTTTAAAAAAATCATATAACCCAAGACCTTCCTTGAGAATTCCCGGTGATGCTTTCACTTTTGCCTTTCAAACAAGATATTATATTTGGGGCCAGAGTACTCCAGGATGGCTACATCATTCAGACAGATCTCTGTGTGCGTGCGTGCGTGCATTTTGTGCATGTTTGTGTTTTGTTACTATTATTAATATTTTGGAATAGTTTATAGTCTTTTTATTAACCAGGTATTTTGTTTTTTCCTCTGCAGGACTTTTTACCAGTTTGAAGCAGCGTGGGACAGCTCCATGCATAACTCTTTGCTCCTGAATCGTGTTACCCCTTACAGAGAAAAAATCTACCTGACCCTCTCTGCTTATATTGAGGCAAGACATATCAGTGCCTTCATAATACTCCCTGTGCAATTGTCAGATCAACATTGGCATCTGCAGGGCTGTGTTTCAAAATCTGTATGATGCCAAGCATAACCTCATGATCCAAGTCCACCCTTTTCTACATGCATGTAATCAGGAATATAGAATGATTTGAGATAGTGTTTAATACTTTGTTACCAATGATATCCAGCCTTGGCTGATGCTGAGAAAGCTACTGAGGCCAGATCATATTAGGAACTTGATGAACATGAAGCATGTGGGCTAGATTCAATATTCCCTCCAAAATCCCAGAAGAAGACAATAACAAATAAACTTAAGTAGGGATTCAAAAATAATTACACAGATATAGAAATGTAATCACCAGTTTAAGCTTGTTTTTTTTTAAAAAAAAAAAAATATTCACTGTATATGTGAAGGAGAAGCAGAGCCTGGGCTCAGAGTCAAGATAGGAATCAGTCTGGAGTTGTTACATTCTTATAAACGGTCCAAGTCCTGCTCCTCCTGAATTCAATTAACTCTTATCCAGCACCAGTATAGTACTGACCATTAGTTGACTAAATTGTGTATAAATCAACTTAACTGGAGCTTAGTGTGTGGTCCTGATTCTTTAGGCCTGACAGTATAATAAGATTATGCTTTCATTTCAGATGGAGAACTGCACCCAACCCGCTGTGATCACCAAAGATTTTTGCATGGTCTTTTACTCCAGAGATGCCAAACTCCCTGCTTCTCGATCAATCCGCAATCTTTTTGGAAGTGGAAGCCTTCGAGCTTCAGAAAGGTAAGAAAGGCCAGAAGGCAAGCACATCTTATTAGGATAAAAAATATACTCCTGATCAACTGACATGGAAGCTGTATGTGTATATCTTAGTAGACATTAATAGTGTTACGTTCATGATCTTAACTAAGGGCAGTTAGGCATCATATGAAACTTTCAGCTTAACTTTAACATTCTCCAAAAAACAGAGTTTGGTCTCATCTTGAAAGATGTGGTGGAGTAAAATGATTCCTTGAATGTACCATATTCATAAGAATGGTGTATCTTCTATTAGCTTGTTTTGTTTTTCACTTTCTGCTATAGTAACCGTGTGACTGGGGTCTATGAGCTCAGCCTCTGCCGAGTTGCTGATGCTGGAAGTCCAGGTAAGAAGTTTTGTCTTTATGAAAAGATCTCCATGAGGTGTTGGACTTATACTTAAACAAGAGGGATACAGCATTAGAAGGCAAGATTTAATTGTTCCTATAACTTACAAAATATGAATGTGTTGCATGTGCTTATAGATCACAACTAGGCTGAATAAACATTTCCTCTGTAGGTATGCAAAGGAGACGAAGGCGTGTGCTGGACACCTCTGTGGCCTACGTACGAGGAGAAGAGAATTTAGCTGGGTGGCGACCCCGTAGTGACAGTCTCATCTTGGATCATCAGTGGGAACTGGAAAAATTGAGTCTTCTACAAGAAGTAAGACTCTAGCCTGAGGCCTGCCCAACTTAATCCTGCCCAACTAATGGGCAGGTGGCAAGAGTAGATTAATGTAGAGTAAAATACTTAAAATACTCTTCACTATCCTTGATGTATGGATTCTAACTTGCACAATTCTCCACCTGGCATGGCCATTCCTGATAATGGAAGGTATCAATAGCAAACTAGCCTTTCTTTCCATAGGTTGAGAAAACAAGACATTATCTGCTCTTGCGTGAGAAGCTGGAGACAACTCAGCGCTTAGGTCTGGATTCCTTATCCTCAAGCTCAAGTGAAGAGTCTGATTCCCGCAGCACATCTTATGTCTCATCTCCAATCTCTGCAGATGGTACCCCAGAAGGGAGGCCTTTACCTCTTGACATTCCTAGTGAGAGACAGAAAGAACTTGCAGTCAAGGTATAGAACATGGAAGGTGCCTATCGGCTGGGATAGGGCTGGAAAAGTTGACTTCATATTTTCTTTAAGTCTAAGATCTGATGGGTATTTCTGTACCTGCATTCTGAAGGCATCTGAATAGTCTCTGCAAGTTCCAATAATATTTTTTTTTCTGAAAGTAACAGTCATTTCTGAATGAAGAGATAACATTTCTTAGCAGGAAAGCTTTCTCAGCAAAGAGCATTTCCTTAATTTGAAGGCCCATTGAAAATATCTATAGATTTCTTCTGGGGAACTTTTTATGATTGGCTGGAAAGAGAATATGGTTAAAAGATAGTTAATATCAATTTAGATGGAAGAAGAAGGAGCAGATAAGGAGGGAGACCCAGGTGACACAGTATTGAGTAACTGGAGGTTGTATAAATATTTATAAAAGTATATACCAAAAAGGTTAGATAAATAGAAGTATTAATGTAAGAGAAAATTAATCTTATTGTATATAATACAGATAGGGAAATTTGGAGAGAGGAGTTGCTCGGACATTACCCCTGAATTGTATCTGAAGAGGGATGAGAGGGAAGAAAGGAGAGGAGAGAGAAAAGAGTAAAGGAGGGGAGAAGGAAGTAGGAAGGTTGGAGGAGAAGAGAAGTGGGGAGAAGTGGTGAAGGAAAGAGAAGAGGAGAGGAAGAAGAGGGAAGTAGGGAAGAGAAGAAAGGGAGAAAGAAGGTAGAGAAGAAGGAATGTGGATACAGTGAAAGGGGAAATGGGCGAGCAACACCAAAAGTCATGTGTATGTATTTATTTCATTTTATCAAAAGTATCTTATATATGAATGTAAAAAGAATGTATGTTAACATCTGATAAATATCATGGTATATGTATGGGGGAGAGTTTGGAAAAATAAAAAATAAAAAAAATATTAAAGAACATATCTATAGATTTCTACAATACAAGTACATGGTGGTAATTTCCAGCTGCACTAGTTTTTATCATCAGTTATAAATATTTGTTTTGTGCTGTTATAAAAATTATTCCTTTCCTCCACCTCTTCAAAGGATTGAACATTTGAGTGAAGTCCTTATTAATCTTTGCTGCTCTTGGAGAGAAAAAGAGAGAAAGGAGAGAGAGACATGTATGTTGAGAGGCAGACAGAAAGGCAGGAAGACTGTCCATAGGAATAAAAGTTATCCAAACTTGTTTGACTACAGGTTGTCCTCACTTAATTACTGGTCAAGTGGTTTAATGACCATTCAAAGTCATGAGAGTCTTGACGTGTCGCGGAAAGAGTGCTTCACAGCCTGTAAAGCACTTTCGACAGTTGTAAAATGACATGCTGCCCCAACCCCTATGGTCACATGACTGCATTTGAGACACTTGTCATCTTACATTTACAACCAGTTACAGCATCCCGTGGTCATGTGACCATGATTTGCAGGGTTTTTTGCCATTTTTTTTTATAGAAAATGGCAAAAAATGTCCATTGCAGATGTTGGATTTGCTTAATGACCACACAGTTTACTTAATGACAGTGATGACTCACTATATGGTTGCTATAAATGCAATTGTAAAATCAAGTCAGGTCGTGTGGTGTTCCTCTAAGAAACATCCAATTGTGATGGTAAATAGAGGAGTACCTATATAGTTAATTTTTGTTCTCAGAATCAAAACTCAGTTTTCCTTTCTCCACTTTTTTGCAGTGCTTGCGCCTTCTTACACACACTTTCAACAGAGAGTATAGCCATAGCCATGTGTGTGTCAGTGCAAGTGAGAGCAAGGTAAAGTACCTATTTACTCTTTACTATTCACTCTTATTTTCTCCCATATTTTAAAACCTAATCCATTTCAGAATTGACTCCCAGGGTACCAAATAGAGCTAATACATTTAGCTTTGGATATATTAGATTTTTGGGGGAAAAAGGAGACTAATCTATATACAATAAAATATCAAATTCTGATAACTGTGAAATGATGGAATCCCACTGCATCTCAAATGTTCTCATCCTGAATTTCTACTTTGTGTTGTGGAACAAATTACAAGTTACCCTAGAGCAGGGATGTCAAACTCAATTTCATTGAGGGCCATATCAGCATTGTGATGTCCTTGGGGGTGCGGGTGAGCATGGCCGACTGGGTAGGCGTGGCTGCAGTGCTCACAGCTGACTGGGTGGGTGGGGCGTGGTAGGCGTGGCTATCTCAATGTTGCTCAATGGGGGGGACATCTGTGGGGGCCAGGCAGGGTTGGGGGAGATCTAGGTTTCTCTGGTGGGTGGGATGGTGGGCAGGAAGCTTGTCCTGCGGGATGAGGCAAGGCGAGGCAGAGTGAGGGTGCTGTTGCCCTGGGGCAAGGCAAGGTGAGGTTGCTGCCCCCGCACACAGAGGCCCACAACCGCATGGGGGCTGATGGTGTCTGTCAGCAACCACAGTCTGCTGTATCCTCGACCGGCGCACTCTGTGAATACCAGGCCAGCCCTCCAGTAGCATATGGAGTAGGGGAGGTGAGGGGGGAGGCACATGATGCAGACCGCCGGACATGCCTACTCTGTCCCATCTGTTTTTGCTTGCAGTTGGAAAGCAGGTTGCTGCTGGTCATCTCCTTGGCCCCCTTGCAGATCTTGCCCTTGGCCTGTGCATGGAGCCTGTTCCCCTCATGCACCCGATGCACCTTGGCCCCGACTTGGGCCGGCGCCGCCAGCAGCTTGTGCAGATCCATTAGGCCGCCGCCGCCTGGAGCAGCAGGCCTGCCTAGCATAAAGGAGGTGAAGCAGCCAGCTAGAAAGCTCGAGTAGAGGTGGTAGAGCATGCCCATGCCCAGCAAGCAAAAGGCCATCCCGAGTGGGGAAAGCGGAATCCCCATCTGCACCATGGCCACTCAGGCCCAGCCAGGATTGCATGCCTCCCCTCCACCTCTGCTGGTGCTGGGCAGCCATGGTGCCGATGGGGATCCGGCTTTCCCTGCGTGGGGTGGCTTTTTGCCTGCTGGCCCTGGACGTACTCTACCACCTCTACTCAGGGCTTCCTAGCTGACTGCTTTGCCTCCTTCATGCTGGACAGGCCTGCAGGTCTGGGCGGCAGCCTAATGGACCTGCGTGAATGGCTGGCAGCTGTGGTGGGTAGTGAGGTATGTGAGGGGAATGTACTCCACCCGCGGGCCACAGACAAGACCCATGAGGGGGCTGAGATGACCAGTAGCGACCTGCTCTCCAACCAAAAAGAGATGGGACCGAGTAGGCATGTCCAGCAGTCCACATCATATGCCCTGACTCCATTTGCGGCTAATGCCGCTGCAGCATTTCTGCTGGAGGGCCGGGCCGGTATTCACAGTGGGCTATGCAGCTCCTGCTGCCTGATGTCAACCCCCTTGTGCTCACCACCTCCTGTGCACGTGCCTTGGGGGCTCCCGGGCTGGGCAGGGCTGGAGCCAGGGCAGCGGGGACCAGTACCTCGCTGTCTCCAGGACATCTCCGTGGGCCAAATATCAGCCAATCGCGGGCTGGATGCAGCCCGTGGACCTTGTTGACATGTTTGCCCTAGAGGGCTTATTCTAACTTCATTCTGATGTCCTAAACTTATAATATTTTTCTCTTTTACTGCATATATTGCCTTTAGAAGAATAAATGATAAATGCGCATAATTTGTAGACATTAGGATGCCTGTTTTCTGAGAAGATCCTGAATATATACTCTAGTTGCAAAAGTGCTGAAGCATGCAACCAAATTTGGAGATATTTGTTTTCAGACAAGCATACCCAGTAACAGATTCTTTTTATACCCAGCTATCTGAAATGTCAGTGACTTTGCTGAGAGACCCTTCCATGTCAGGCCTTGGTAGTGCTACTTTGACCCCCTCTTCAACTTGTCCATCCCTGATTGAAGGCCATTATAGTGCTACAGAAGCCAGGTAAGAAAGGTAGCAAGGCTAAAAAATGTCGGGGTTGTTTATGTATCAAAGATGCATAGTTTTACCATGAAAAATAAAGACCATTGGTCAAAAGGTAATTGAAACTATAAGCCTGCTTTTCTCCGCAGAACTCTGCAGCTTCCTTCCAGGGCAGAAAGTCCTGAAATTGAGCTCACAGTCGAAGGAGAGAAGAAGAAATCCCCTGCTTGCGGGCCTGAGGATGATAAAGAAATCCAGCGCCTGTTGGTTCCTGATATTCAAGAGATTCGGGTCAGGTAAAAACTATGGGCAAGTGGAAAAATTAGCAACTTGGCCAAAACTGTGAATTTTATTCCAATCATTATGAGCTGGACCAGATTATCAGAGTCATCTCATTCCAATTATATTGACCCATCCCATCCGTCAGTCTTCCAGATGAGCCAGTGACCACAAAATTGCTCCATAGGATTGATTATTGAGTATACATTGTGAAGTTTTTATGTGGTTACTAAGTGGGATGCCAATGTGTCTCCTCCACAGCCCTATTGTCTCCAGAAAAGGCTACCTACACTTTCTGGAACCCCATACAAATGGGTGGGTGAAGCGCTATGTGGTTGTGAGACGCCCCTATGTCTACATCTACAACAGCGACAAAGATTCTGTGGAGAGAGCAGTCCTCAATCTCTCATCAGCTCAGGTGGAGTACAGTGAAGACCAGCAGGCAATGCTAAAAGTAAGAACAAACTTTGTAAAAATAAGTGTCCCTGCAATAAATGCTTTGCCTTTTGAAGATTCTGAGTCAGTTTTCACACATATGTTGAATCATAAACAAGCCAAGGAAATTTTAATTTAATGTATTCAGTGAATTCTGGCTCCATTTTTCATGAAACTATTTTCAAGCTGCCATTTCTTCCCTGGAAGATTATTTTCTTTCCTTCACCTTTCTTTTCTAGGAAATACAATGATAAGGTTGCTTTTGGAATCACTGTAAATGGGACCTAGGTTTAAGGTAGAAAATCACTAGCCAAGATGATTCTTTAGACCAGGGATGTCAAACTCAATTTCATTGAGGGCCGCATCAGCATTGCGGTTGCCCTCGGGGGGGGGACGGGGGTGTGTGGCCAAGGTGGGTGTGGCCTACTGGTAGGTATGGATGGAGTGGGTATGGCCTACTGGGTGGGCATGGCCAGCTCCACATCATTTGTGTCAAGGGTGCTTGTGGGGGCCTGGGCAGGAGTGGGACAGATCTGAGGGTCTCTGGCAGAAGGGGGTGGGACCGGGGCAGGCGCCAAGGCATGGTCCATTTCTTCTTTCCTCACAAAGGGTGACACCTCCCCAGCATGCATCCAGGGGGCGGGGCTGATGCGGCAGGGGCTGGTTCCTCGCTGTTTCTAGATGGCCTTGTGGAGCTAAGACTGAATGCGTTTCAGCATAGATGGCCACCACAAAATTGTACATTGGCTCCCGGCCAGCCTGGGCCAAGGCCAAGACAGCGGGGGCTGTTCCTCACTGTTTCCAGGATGGCTTCGCGGGCCACATGAAACCACTTCGCGGGCCAGATCCGGCCCCCGGGCCTTGTGTTTGACATGTCTGCTTTAGACTGTCAGATAAATATACTGCTAAACTGACAGTAATTATTTTAAGAGCCAGTTTAGCTTAGTGGTTAAGGAACCAGGTTAGAAGGTAGGAGACTGTGAGTTCTAATCCCATGAAAGCTGACTGGGTAACCTTCGGCCAGGCATTCTTTTAGTCCAACTCCCATCACAGGGTAGTTAGTTGTTGTGGGAAAAATAAGAAGAGATCTATTGGATATGTTTGCTGCCTTGAGTTATTTATAAAAACAATAAAGACAAGATATATTTATAATAAATATATCAATAAATAATTTGATGAATGGATTTTTGGGGGATGAGAACAAATAACCAAACTCATTCTGATTAATGTAGGTTGCAAGTCCCATATTAGCAAAAGAACATGTGCATCAAATATTTCAAAACCAGGGCTGTTGCAATATGGATTGTTAAGACTGTATGCAAGCAAAATATGGGTTTGGGATCACATGGCTTGATTTCTGTAATTTGTAGTCATTATAGTTGCAGTCACTATATACCGTAGCCATCCTGTTCTTCTATTAATGAGTCTAACTAGCAACTTTTTATTTGTTTAGACCCCTAACACCTTTGCAGTGTGCACTGAACATCGTGGAATTCTGTTGCAAGCAAGCAATGATAAGGACATGCATGACTGGCTGTATGCATTTAACCCTCTCCTGGCTGGATCAATAAGGTAACTGAATGCTTTAAAAGGCTCCTCTTCACAAAGGCTTTCCCAAGATGTCTTGCTTAAGATGTCTTGCACAACAGCTCCCATTGCTGGATAGCTGACTTAAAATTATGGAAGGAACCAATTGAAAAGAAGAGTAAAGCATTTACACTACCATTACAGATGTGCAACCTCTGATTCAGTTGAGATTCCTACACCTGGATGGAAGTCTGAAGCGTATAATGCCTCTTTGTTTTTTTCTCAAGCCTTTACATTTGTTCTATCTTGGCTTCTCCAACAGATCCAAATTGTCAAGACGAACAACAACCCAGGCAAGAATTTAACTTAAAAGAGCTGCTCACCTCAAAAAAACAGAAAAGTGAAATAATGGGTGCTGTTGGAAGATCCCCATCTGAAATTTGGACTTTTCCTGTCATTCATCTCCTCAGATGCCTGTGCCACAGAGTGATCCATCATGAGTTACAGCTTCATTGGGCAAACTCATTTCCCTTATGTAATTTTAAAAGGGTAATATTCCCTGGAATTCTTGCACATATGTGATCTTCCACTCTTCTCATTATTGGGTGGCTTATGACTACTAACAAAGCAAGAGCTTTTTTCTTTTGTTTTTTTTAAAAATTCCTAAATCAGTTGTTCAATTTAAAGAGAGGAATTTGCAAGAGTGAAAATTAATGCTATTTAAAGAGATAAAAGTGATAGAATTATGTGCTGCTAATTCATAACTTACTGTTGACATTTTACAAATTACTTGATAGAGAAAGAGTAGTATGAGATTATATTTATAAATTATTTATTTCTATTTACTTCACTGAAAATAATATGCATTCTGTTAATCATATGTTTTGGGGTCTCCCTTAACTTATGCATATACCTGATGCCGGACTGCATTTTTGGTAAAGGAAGAGATACCCAAGGGAGCCAGGGTGGTGATGCAAAAGAATCCATCTCTGTTTTATGTGGCTATCTATTTTCTTTTCAAGCTGCATTTGCTGTCTGGACATTCCTTTCTTCTATTTGTTTAATTAACAACATTCTCCCTCCTAACTCCCTCCTGTCCATCAATACACAGTTTTTATTTTTTAAATGCTGTGATTGAAGGCAAAGGAAGTATGGGTTTTTTTCCTTTCTGCTTTTTTTTTTTTTTTTGGTAGAGTGGCTTATATTTTTCCCTGTTGGATAAAATGAAGCTGTAAATACATACCAGAGCATAAGCAGTGACCCGCTGGATTGGACCGCTGGCCAATCTAGACCAGTAGCTTGTTCTCACAGTGGTTAACCAACTGCACAAGGAAGCCCACTAGTCTCCCAGCAGATGGCCTTCTGAGGCAGTCACCCTGCCATCAAGGCTAATAGCCGTCAATCCCCACTGTTTCTATGAATTGGTCCAACCCTTTTTGTAGCCAGTCAAGCTGGAAGCCAGCACCACATAATTTGTGAAGGAAAAGTTTAAGCAGGTCCCCCTCCCAAGTATTATTTTGCTCCCAGAAGTAGCTTCTATATATTGCTTTTCATTAATTAAAAAAGAGCCAATGAAGAGGGAAGTATAGCAAGCACGGATCTTTCATCTTAATAAGGATGAACAGCTGGCACTCAAAATGTGCTGTTCCTAAAAAGAAAATGCTGGTAGAGGACTGCTTGACCCTTTCCCTGTTGCCAAATATTATTCATGGCATGCAACAGTTTTTCTCCTGCCCTTTCACCGAATTAGGGCTGTAGTTCCCAGATTTCTCTGTCAACATGAGCATAGTAGTTCTACATGCATGGAAGATAACAGATGAAAGAAAGCTAGCAGGACCTGGAGAAGTCGGAATGCTTCTCATTAGCAATGTCATAGATAATATTTAATTATGGCATAATATAGCCATTTGAAAGTGTATGGCTGCACTCTTTGAGAAGGAAGGATAGACAGTGCAATCTCTAGAGATGGGGTCTAGTCTTCCCACAGCAAAGAAATAACTACTATTTGTTGGTTGCACTTAAAACTGATTGTCTGAAAAAGATAGTTTGTTGTTTTCTTTTCTGAGAAAAGTAGATTTGGAGAATACAGTGGGAATATAGCAAAGATGAAAAGAATCTTTACACAGGAAAGGGTATGCCCTTATTTCTGTCACTATGGGAAGTGAAGCTGTTAAAAATTCAAAATATACTTGTTATCTCACTTTTTTTTCTTTTTCAAGTGTTAGAGTTCCAAGTGGAATGGACCAATTGGAAAATGAAATTGACCAAAGCATAGACACTGAGAATTAAATTAATCCCTAGCACTAAGCAGTCAAGGAAGATATTTGCATTTTTTTTATTTTTAATCTTAAAAGCAAAAGTGTTCTATCTCAGTTCTTGTTTTTGGTGTTTTTTTTAAATAAAATGGGTATCTATGTAAGCCAACTTTTGGCAAGCCTCTGAAGATCCCTAGCTCTTTTAATATATGTTCCTAGGAATATGGCATACTTCACTAATAGTGAATCTTGATTTGCACAGCATGGATACACTTTGGTTTCACTGTCTCCCATTTTTTTGTTGCATCCATTGGTCCTCTGTGTGATGCCCAGATGAAAGTCTGTTTAAGGATATACTGTTTGAATTCCATGTGCATGTGATGTGAGATGTGTGAATATAAAGACAAGAATGTCACAATCCCTTCTGCATAGATTCAGTGGATTGGCAAAAGTGTCCTGTTTCAGCAGGAATAATTCTACTAGACTAGAGAAAAATTCCAGAATCCTTTAATAATGCTATAGTCTCTGGCTGGAAAATACTTGCTGGGTTCACACAACATTATCAAGCTTACACTGTTATGTGAATCCAGAAGATGTGGATCATTAGTAATGTTTTATGATTTGGTGTGTTATATAAAATTAGTTAACTGTGATTTATTCTGTAAACCATGACTTAATGGTGTGTGAACACAGCCACTATATAACTGAGAGATTTTCTACATATTTCCTTCTGATTAGCTCTCTTAAGATAGCATTTCTTTCCTTCAAGAAATTCCATTCTTATCTAAAGGACAAAGCCTAGTAGATCTAATATCTTACTGATCTGGGGTCAAATTGAGAATTATGGACCCCTCCAGACATTGCTGAACTGCAGCACCAACTGCTGCCTGAAGCATAGATGATGATGAAAGATGTTGGAAGCTGTAGTTCAGCAAATCTATGAGGAATCCAGGTTTCCATTCTTTTACCTAACATAAACACTTGTCTTTCTCTTTTAAGAATTATTCTTAGCACTAGTGCTTAATTCTGATCAGTCAAATATTAATTAGGTTGAGGCAACTGTTAGGGCAGAATATGTTTTCAGAATGTGCTACCCTGATTTAAATGCACAAGTAAGGTATTTTTATTGCCCATTCAGTGAGAAGATTTAAGAGATTGTCAAGTGATTTATTTACTTTAATCTTCATTATTTACTCTTTGTGTTTGCAAAATAGCAAAGAATTATAATCATGACTTTAAAAACAGCCTTGACAGGCAATTTTATTCATTTCAGCTTTCCAGCCTGAACCTGCTTCCAGACAACGTGTTTACACTGAAATTGTATATGTCTTGTTCGTTCCTATTTAATGAGGAATTAACACCACAAAGTCATCCTCCAGTAACCCTTGTGTTTTCTAGTAGTGCTCCTGCCTTTTTTTTTTAAACTAAAGAAAATCACACTTTAGGGAAAGGAATAAATAAGCAGCAATATCTATTTGAAGCTGTGCTGGCTGGGAAAATTAGGACAGTTAGGAAGATTTGTCACTGAGGTAGAAGAATGACATTTGGGAATGCCTTTCATTTTTGTGTTCCTTGCCATGAATTTCTCACTGCAAGGCCATTTCATGTTTTATAGTGCAGTTCCTTTTCTCAAAAATTCTGTCATTTAACACGTGATTCATTTGGTTGTTTTTAAAAAATACCCAAGGCAGATTAAGGCATATGTTTGATTTAAAACAATAGTTCCCAATATTTTCTTTTACATAGATACTACATTATCAGCAATGGTTTTGTGGAGCACCACATAAGCCACTGACTAGCATTGTAATGCTTGTGAGTATCAGAAGATATGACCCTTAAAGCGTCCAGAAAACTTCAAAATTAAATGTTTTTCTTTTTTAAAAAAATAAATGGCTGAAATCATACTATGAAGTTTGGAATAAATGTGCCAAAATTTGGTGATCTAGTTAACTTTTCGCTATTATGTTTCAAGAATTTTCATTTTGGTATTCCATGCCCTGTATCACCTAACATTCCCTAAGCTACATTGGGAACCATTGATCTCTAAAGCAATTCTGCTCTTGGTTATTCCATTTGCAACAACTTCTCAAAGGAAGCTGTGAGATACTTGTTCCCTCTCTATGGAAGTTTTATTAAAATCTACAACACAGAGATTAGCTATTTAATTAGAAGATTTGCATACTTTGTTATGTATTTAAATAGTTGCATTACATCATTTTTGTAGCAAGTAATTGAAAGTTTTAGAAATAATCCCATATTCTGATCCTGAGATTATGGTGATGATGATGATTGATGGTAAAGATAGATGATACAGTCAGATTGACAGAGAAAATAGACAAGATAGGTAAGACAGATGATCAGTGAATGGAATATAGTAGCTTTTTGTTATAGAAAAAGTGGAATTTCAATGTAGAAAGTCTACTTTGCTTCAGGTTATAATTTATAGTGAGAAACAATGATTTGCTGGCACTATATATCATCCTAATTCTGGAAGCATGCTAAATCTAAACAGTATTTCATGGAAATTAGATGGTTAGTTTTTCATTTAATAGTGATTCTTGGTCTCTTATTAATATCCAGCCTATCACCCACCAAACTAAATATTTAATTAGACCAAATAAAACCTAATTGGTAAAAAGCAAATGAGCTCTGTTGAAATTTAGTTTTACTATATCTCTAGCTGCTGGAAGCCAACTTGAGGAAAACATTTTAGTACAACCTGCAAATGATTACTAGTTAGCAAGTTTCACAGTGTCCAATGGGGCTTTGTCCTGGGTAAGTGTGCAGAAGACTGCAGGCTTAGAGATCTTAATGCACTCCTTTAAATAAAGGAGAAACTTACAGAAGTTAGGAAAGTTTGTTCTTTTTGACCATATATTCTGTATCAAAACCTCTATAAATGGTAGCCATTATGAATACTGTATTGCACTATAGAGCTGATATTATTCCCACCCAGCAGTTCATGAGATGCAAAAATCAAAAGGATTAGAATGATATCATTATTGAGACAAAATCAGGTAACTGAAGTATTTTAGTTACTTGTATAAATCTGAAATTGTCAGATATTTTATTATTGTAACAATAAGTTATGTCAGTATTCTTGCTTGTATATATTTAGCTTTTCAAATTAAGCAATCAATAACTATGTACTATCAAGTGCACTGGAAATGAAAAAGAGAAAAAATGCTCAAGTGGATTGTGGACAGATTAACGGTGGAACATGCCTTAGGTCAGCCAACCTGAAGAGCATGTACTTACATAGTGGGATGGTTGGGTTAAAGCTTGATCTCATGCTGTATTTCATGTTTTTTAGGCCAGCAAACCTACAAAGAACATGAAAGTGTTGAGTTAAGAGATCAAAGGTTTGACCCAAAGCCCTTTGATCAGCAGAAATATTTTGATCAGAATGTAAAAGTAATGAATAGAAATGAGTTGGTGAATTCTGATCTCAACAAATTGACTGTAACTTATCATATATCAAGCAAGATAAAGCTTTCTGCTGGAGTGAATATCCTCAAATGATTGTTATTTATAATAGGGTAGTGAAGACCTAATTGCCAGCACATCATGTTTCTTGGCCCCTGTATTACTAAGGATGCTGTTTCATTTATTGCTGAAAAAAATCAAGCTGGTAAGAAATGCTATCCAGACTTCAGCTGAAATAGAAGAATCTCTATTGATTTATTGTAATCCTTTTGACTTTGTTTGAATGTAAATTTTTAAAATGTTTTTGCAAAGTGCCTAGTTCCAGTAACAACAAGGCCTTGGCTAAAAAGAAATTTCTTATTCGCTTTCCCCCCACTATGTTCATATTTTGGGAGTCTTATCAATAGGAAACCTCTTAACATGAAATGCAACAGGGTAAATTTTCAACTCTTTCTTATACTCCAACACCCTAAGTGGCAATCTCAAGAGGGAAGTTAGTTATTATAACATGATGTAATAGAACAAAATTATGTATTGTACTAACTCACATTTCCATAAAATATACATGCTAGAAGTTGATGTTTATTTACTGAGTGGCAGTTTTCAGTTTCTTCAGCTGCACACACTAAATTAAGGGAGGCATTTATCCCATACAGAAGTTCTTTCTATCCCTTTCCAGTAGATTAATCCAGGATAATAGACTTAAATATTATCATAAAGCAACAGAAATGAAAGGAACACAATTAGCCAAGAACAACAAAAATACCATAAGGAAATTGCATACCTCTGGTAACCTGCGGCTATAACACAAGACGTTTAACTGTTTAATATGCTATTACTGTCTCTTTTTCTGTCGTGTATTCAATTGCGTATACAGTATGGAGGATTTCTAACATTCATAAGCTGAGATTCAGTATCAAGATTTTCTGTATAATAACAGAGGTTATAGTTACTTATTTTAATTTTTCTTATTGTTTTGCCTGTGCTTCCATTATCTAGTTTGTCTACATGAGTTCTTCCTGTGATACCATCTCCAAATGCTGGGAGACTATTTCTCTTGCTTTGTACAGTATATATGTGATTGCTGTGGGAACACCCTTTACCACTGTATAAATAACAATACCGAAGTAATGTTTTCTTGATGTCTTAAATTATGAGTGTTGGAAATTAGGGTCTTAAACTGTTTGTGTACACTTCAGGCACTGTTCAGTTAAAGAAATAAATGTGGCATTTATGCAAATACTAGGCTGTGTTTTTGACTGTTTTTTTAATCAAAAGTTGCTATATTATAAAAATTATCTGAATGCTAGAAGTAACCAGAATTAAATGTGTTGCAAAATAATCCCTTCAATTCATAAGGGACAACTTCATGAAATGATTAACACTGATACAGTAAAGCATACTGTGGTTTGAAACAACATGCTGTCCAAAGCATGAATAGTCCAGACTGTGGCTACATCTCTCCCAATTGACCTAATAATTGATTCAGATTACATAATAATTGATTATGCCTCCACATATCATCTGAATTTGGTTTGATAAATTAATTCTTCATTCCCAATCCTCACTTCTAGTAGTAAAAGCAGAGGCAAACATCCATTCCTGCAGCGGCATTTCTGCAAGTTCTTTTTCCATTTTCATCTGCAGCCATGCAGGCTTTTTTTCCCTGCCATATAATAGGGTTGAGGAAATGTTAGCTTTTCCTAATTGAGCTAAAGAATCTATCACAACTAGGTGCACTATACACAGAAAAGTGCTGGATAGCTGGATAGCCAGTATTGGCAAAAAATGATTTTGGTATCAATTTGGTAGAGGCACAATCAGCAAACTATTTCCTACTATAGATGTCATGGAACTTTGATGTAATCAAGTGAAACTTAGCACATTGTACAAAATTTTCCACAGGCCTCGCTGCCTTCCAGATATATTAGACTACAAATCCCATCTCCCAAACTAAGAGACTGGGGATATCAACACTCTATGCTGTTATGGAAATACAAGAAGGTCATTTTATCTTTCTTATAATCAGACCAGCTGTGCAATTTTCTTGCCTTCTAATTTTCAAAAGTAATGAGAATAATCTTTTATATGTAATATTTTAATAAATATATTATAAAATAATTATTTTTTAATTTTTATTTCAAAAACAACTAAGATCTGAAATATATTGTAGTACAAAGAAAATCAGGAAGCAATGAATAAACTGAAATTGTTCACCAAGCTAATATTTATATTACAAATATGGTTGTATCATTTGTTAAAAAATTTAGCAATTGTTGTTAGATTAGGGGAGATAAGCTTTTATATGATGCTTAAAAAATACAACCAAGTGCACATTTTCCAAGAGTGTTTAGGGGAATCTAATAAAAGGGCCCTGGCAGTGGCTAATTTTGATAAATTAACCCAGTTTCCTTTAGCCCTGAATTATTTTTTCTACTTCACATGTCATTTGTCATCAAATTCATGTATTGTATAATTGTAAAAGCCTTATTGTGAACTTAAGGGTTGTTCGACAATGATCTACTACTAGAGCACTCTGCTGCAGACTGGAAGTAATCTATAATTTCCATAAATTTCTACTAATCTTTTTTAAAGAGTTCCTCATCATATCGTAGCAAAAATCTGTATGTAATGTAATTAAAATGCTGAAATAGAATTGCAGCCCTCACATTACATCTTAATAACAGTGTTACTCAAATTATGTCTAAGTAAAAACTTAAAAAAAAAATCTTAGCAAACGGTTTCCAGAGGTGGTATTTTCCTCTTTTTCTTTTCAACTTGCTGCTGTCAACCGTCCATGCTTCACTACTGTCACTTTGTTAAAAATTATGCTTATCGCATCTCGGCTGCAAAAATCTGAAAAAGTACTAAACTACTTTCAGGATTTTTGCAGTCCAAATATGGACACTCCGGCTATTAAATAACGGTGTTTGCTGTTTAAACCGCAACCCTTTGCGGGCCGACAGAAAGGTCTGGTGACATTGTCACCTGCTGCGATGTCTCTGTTGCTACAACCAACCAGCGAGGAGTGCTGAGTGCTACTCGTTCTACCCCCCCCCCCCGACCTCCGGGAAACACGGGGTACTCGGGCAGCAGCTGTGGCACTTCCGTCCTCGAGTTTTTAATCTATGAATTATAAGATATCTAGATGTAATCTAATCACTCTCCTTGGGGCTTAGATGCACGAGATGATCCACCTTCGGAGCCACCGCGATCACAACCCGTGGACTGCAAACGCCAGAAGCTGCAGCGCCTGCCCAAGCGGAAGAAGGCCGAGCTCTGGCGAGAACCAAATCACCGAAGGCATCCCGACCCAGGTTTTCTTCCAGGGCAAAGCCCTGGAAGGAGCTCGCCGAGGACCCGCCCCGGAAGTATCGAGAACGGCTGGTCCACCCCCGCCATCCTTTGTTGGGGGCCACAGAGGCGGAAAACAATTCAAAAAAGTCTTCGGACTCGGGCCCTTCCGACCAGTTTAAGGTGCCTTTTCGCTGGTTTTAACCTCGCCCATCTTTACAGCAAGACAGCCGCGGTCACGCCCCTTCCTGGCGTGACCATCGCATTGAGGGCTTGAGTGCGAAGGGCGGCGCTTGAGTCATCCTGAGCCAATGATTGACAGCTAGGCCGGCCTTTGCGGGGGGAGGAGGAGGAGGAGGAGGAGGAAGCGGCTCGCGGTGGCCGGCGCCGCGGCTGCCTCGTTAGAGCTGGATGGATCTGTTCGGGGACCTTCCGGAGCCAACTCCTCCGGCAGTGGCAGCAGTAGGTGAGTGGCGGATCCCTTTTGGAGGAGGAGCGGGCCTGAGTCTGCAGGGAACAGGCGAGCTGGGCCAGCTTCTCTCTCTCCCAGGAGCAGCCTTAGGTTTGTTTGTCTTAGGCTGCCGCTTGCATGTCTGCACTGAAGAGGCCTTTACACGATCTCGCCCCCTTCCCAAGGAAGTAGGAAAGGCTCTAGGACCCCAGGAGGCTTGTGACGTTTTGAGTACGGAATTGTAATGCTTAGAATTAACCCCGCTCTGCCAAGCACGATTCAAGGCGCATGCGCTTGTGACCCCACTGGGAAATACACGCGTCTCTTATTGACACTCGGGGGTGACCTCTGGCGGACACAGGTAATACACGAGTATTATCCAGACCCTGAGGAACAGTTATTCCCATCCGTTTATAGCTGGAAGGGGGAAGCAATTAGTTGATGATAGGGTTGCTCTTGCCATAATAATTTTAAACTTGTAAAAAGTAATCTGTAAAAAACTGGACACCCATTAAATGACGACAAGGAGGTGCCGAAAACTATTAACTATTTGGTATCACCTGGCAGTCTTTCAATCATTTTTTGCAACCCTATTTGGCAGCACTAGTCATATTTTTGAATACTGTATGTTAATAGATTACTCTGTATTTGGTTTGGTTTTGTTTAGAGAAAGAGGGACAGAAAGAATCTTTGCTTTTTGATGATCTTCCTTCAATCAGCAACAGTGATTTAGGTATGATTGTTGTCTATGTCTTGTGTTACTCTGAATTCTCTTGCTTTCTCTCAGCTAGTTGAATCCTTGTGCAAAGTTCCCCTTGGCAGATGTGGGAATTCAGTAGATTTATCTGGCCTGAATGACTAGGAATTTGCAGACTTGTTCCCCTGGTTGCTAGTAAACATACAGCAACGGCTCTGTAGGGTTTTTCTGTTGGCTAGTTCCAACTTTTTTCACTTGCTTTATTCTGTATGGACTTCTTGTTTGCATCATCTTGGTGCAAAGAGGCATTTGACCCAGTCTTTTTTACTTTTTACATTTCTACAAGCTTAAGTTTGCTGTCCTTAAGCAAGACTCCATTCTATTATGCATTTACATTTGACTAAGATTATTTTCCAGCAATGGAACTATAAATAATAGAAAGGCTGGTAATAGAAAAGCAAAAGCTGAATCTTATGTTTTGTGTTCTCCATTCTTTTGTTTGAGTCTATCTTTGTACCGTAATTGAACAGCTAGCATTGTACAGAAATACCAACTGTAACTACTCCATAGTTATTTAACTCTGAAGTTTTTTCCTGAAAGGGAACATTTTTAGATGGATATATATAAATAGGTAGCCAATTTTAAAAAATACATATTTTTGTGGGAGAGTCATTAGTTACTGGAGTGGTGGCTGGTACAAATTCGGCCTAGAGGGCTCCTACTTACATCTTATATTATTACCAATAACATTTGACACGTCCGGTTTCTTTTGAAGCACAACATTTCTAAACACATGGCCAATTTTTAATTTACTTTTTAAGAAATGTTACTATGACTTAAATTAGCAATTCGACTGAAATAAATTTCTGTCTACCTCTAGTTATGCCTCCTTTTATAAGCTATATTTTAATATGAATAATGAACATAATCTTTTTCATGTCTATTTAAAAACTATATCTGTAAGGCCTACTTCTAAGTAAGTATAGGATTGTAGTCCTAGTGCTTTCCCCCTCATTTTTATGAATTGGATTTAGTGCCTTTTGTGAAATGGATAAAATTTTAAGTAGCTCTTAAGCTTGGCAGAGTTTTTGTAGATGAAACTGTTCAAAAGTATACTTACTGTGGGATCTGACTAGGGATATGTATTTTCTTGTTTGGTTGGATTTTTTTTTAGGAGCAGGAGGTTCTTTGCTATTTGATGACCTCCCACCTGCCAGCAGTGGCAACTCAGGTGAGCCATGACTAGATTTATTTTGCTGTTTATTACACTACTCTTAATAGAGTTATACTTAAGTGTTACCTGTTTAAGTACCTGTGATTCATACCAAAAGCACATGGGTAATGTGTCTAAAATGATACTAGAAGAAAGAGTAAAATGTCTCCTGTCATTTTCCCTTTTTTCAGGTTAGAGAATATCTATGCTGTTCATGTTTTTGTTATGATATTAATCAGGTGCTTGAATAGAGTGAGATTACTACTCTGCTGTTGCTGAGGCCGCAAATATCTACACAAATTTACCTGAGATCAATATTTGTGGAGAAGTAGCAGTCAGGAAATGGGTTCAGCATGTTCCCTGATGCATTTTGTCCAAATTCATCTTCTAAAGCAGCTGTTCTTTTATTGACCTGCATTTCCATGTAGTGTACAGTTAGGTCTGTTTACTTCAATTTTAAATTTCAAAATGTGTGACAGCCTTGGTTTTTGATTTCAAAATATTAAAGCCAATCTAAGCTAAAGGAAAAAAAAACAAGCATAAATAGGAGACAGAATAATGGTAGTCTAGAATGTGGCAGCCTATGCCATTTGGGGCACGTCACAGTATGCCCACAGAACGCTGCTGCTATTTGAATTGAACTGGCTCCCAATAGGCTTTCCAAGTGGAGTTTGAGATGCTGGCTTCCACTTTTAAAGCCTTTCATGGCCCTCTTAGTCTTTTGGAAAACTTGATGTGTTTTTTCCCTCTGGCTCTCAGTTTTTAGTGGAACCCAGTTAATGTATTTGATGTGTGCTGTGAACCAGTTTGCAAAACATCTCATTGTCTTAATTATGTGTAGCCTTGTGGCTTTTACAAAGTGTTGTTTTATGAACTGATTTTATTAGTTGCCCAGAATTCTTTGACTAAGATGGGTGGCCTTATAAAGTCTATAAATAAATAACAAAATTTTGTTTTTCATCTTCTCATCCCACAGAGCAAGTTTCTCTTCCTGTGAGCTATGGGAAGGGAGAAAAGAGGAAGTCCACTGAAGGAGAGAAGAATGGGAGTGAAGAACTTGTGGAAAAGAAAGTTTGTAAAGGTTTTCAGACACTCTGAAGCCAAATATTTTGTTCTATTCTAGTGCTGCTTTAAATAATAAAAAAGTGAAATTGTTTTCCTAAGACGGTGTTGCTTGTAGCCACTCATAGAAATGGGAAGAGTTGCTGTATCCTTCCTGAGTATCTCTACCTTAGAGGAATTTGTGTTTCTCCCTCCTTAATGGTACCAAGGCAAATTATAATTGTAATCATGCTGCTGTCATACATTCTGGCTGTGTTCCCCTCACGGAACTAAGGACAGTCAGCATTAAATATTACCTTTTTTTCTCACAGCTGCCACTTTTAGAGTTCTTATGTTTAAAAAATTAAGCATACAGAGTGCTTTTTAACCTGCATGGGTTCTGTTTGCTAAAACAATATGATGCATAATTAAGATTAGTCATCTAATGTGATTAGTACAAATTTGAAGGCTGTCCCAAATTTTTCAATATACCACATATACTTGTGTGTTGCCAAATTTATATTAGTTGGCGCAACATGACTTAGTTTCTCCTGTATTGGGTGCATCCTGATGCCATCCTGCCTAGGACATAGTGTCACATCATAGTTTTAACCATGGCTTGCTATCTAAATTGTTGGCTCAATACATAATTTATTAGCTACAGTGAATAGGTCCAAACATCAAACTCAAACCAAAATATTAGATATGGGTTATGCAGTGTGAGAAGCCTGTCCTTATTTATCCTCTTAGCAATGTAGGGAGCATCATAGCTAACTTGTCCCAGGTTAGATACAGAAACCCAAACATGGTTTCTGAATTTTTCACCTGAATTATAATGTGATGGCAGTTGGATAAGCTTTTCTTAGCCTCATCTGCATATGCACATTTTCAGCCAGAGATAACATACAGGGCCTATTTACATTTTCGGTATGGATTATAATGAAGAGATGGTTAGAATTTTGATCTTTAATTTTGCTACGTAACTGTAGTACTTTTACACAGGAAACTTGCTGAAGGATTAAATATGGGTGTATCTTTGCTCTATTTTTCTTTAGATTCTGCAGGTATTCTTGTTGTGAAGGGTTATGTAGCAGAGAGGAAAGGTGAGCGAGAAGAAATGCAAGATGCCCATGTTATTTTGAATGACATCACAGAAGAGTGCAGTCCTTCGTCCTCTCAAATGTGAGTCAAATAGTTATATTATTATTGGATTTCTGTGTTTTCTGCCTGCTTAGCCCAGGATGGGTTTAATTGCTTGTCTGGATGGTAACTTCAGCTGCTTGATTTTTTTTCAACCTTCTATAATGCTATAATGATGCAAAAAGTATATTTTCTTTTAAATGTCACTGATTTTAGGAAGCCTAACAAAAAAGAGAATCAAAGACATCCAAAAATCTCATCAGAAAGATGTCGTTCACTCTGAAACTTTCTCATTTTTAAATTTTATTTTTTTTCAGAATAAAATGATAAAATGCAAACAAAGGAAGAAAAAACAGTAACTCCCCCAAAACTGAATTTAAAATATTGATAAGTAATTATGTATACACAGTATATGTATATGCTCTTTTTTAATAGACCCATTTTAAAATTATGTACCTTTTGAGTTTTTAGCTTATTCCAGACTAGCATTTCCGTTTAATTATTTACATTTTTAGCATGATCTTCTGTTTTTATTTTTCATATTAACCAGGAAAGAAAAGATTCTTCCCACATGGAACATAAAGTTAAACTTGTGTATAAAGTAATTTGACATCACCATCTTCGTGCCTATACAAGGCATTGATTATAGTAATGCCATATTATTTAACAAGCACTTATATCTAAGTGTGGCATAAGTAAAACAAATATAATGTAGCATAAACTAATATCAGCAAGAATCAGTAATAATATTTCTAAATATCAGTACAACTATTATTTAAATCTTTGTTGGATAGAATTCTTTATTGGCCAAGTGTGATTGGACACACAAAGAATTTGTCTCCGGTGCATAAGTTCACCGTGTACATATAAACAGCAAGTAATAGGTCATAGATCATAACTCATAGTTACAATTATTAATCATAAATTACAAACAATTGATAAACCATAAGAAACCAGTAGGAGAAGATACTAGGAAAGATGAGAAAAGATGAGAAATGAGACAGTGCTATGGGAATTAAGTGTTCAGCAGAATGACGGCACAGGGAAAAAACTATCTTTGTGTCTGGTTGTTTTGGCATGCAGTGCTCTTTAGCAGCATCCTGAGGGGAGAAGTTGAAATAGATTAGGTCCAGGATATGAGGTACCTCTAATATTTTCTCAGCCCTCTTTCTAGTTTGTGCAGTATACAGATCCTCAATGGAAGGCAGGCTGTTTGCGATTGTTTTTTCTGCAGTCCTAACTATCCATTGAAGCAAAGAAATCTTCCCATATAAAGGTCGTGAGAAAACAGATATTTAAGAGTTTTTTCAAACTTCAAGAGGTCAAACTACTATCAAAAGGAATGTCTGTGCACTTGCATTGAAGACAAGGAAAAAAATTCGTAGAAGTGAAATGTAGAATTTTCTTGTAAAGGTACTGGAATCTTTTCATAGCTGAACTCTTAAGACAAGGTCCCCAACCCCCGGTCTGTGGATCAATATTGGTCTGCGCAAACCAGTGAAGCCCCATCTGCGGGATGCAAGGAGCATGCAAATCTACACCCCCTCCGGTCTGTGGAAAAACCACTCTCCATGGAACCGGTCCCTGGTGCCCAAAGGTTGGGGACCTCTGTCTTAAGGGAAGTTTTGAAATTGGAAAATTTAAAACAGATCATTTTTGCTTTGCTGAGGCTAGGAAACATTCCTGTGTATAGATTGCTGAAAAGATTAATTTTTTTCTGGATCCCATGTTCCATTTTCTGCAGCTTCGTTGATCAATACAAATTCAGTATCATGGCCAACTTCAGAGTAAGAACAGTCTGTATCTGTATTTTTTTTATAGAACTCGTGTCTCATATTTTGCTGTTTTTGATGGCCATGGAGGAGTGAGAGCTTCAACATACGCTGCACAGAATCTGCATCAAAACCTAATAAGAAAATTTCCTAAAGGTCAGCAAAATATGTATTCTTTGAGTTCTACTTCTGTTGAAAGCCACATACTTTAGATCTGTTGATAGGATATACTTATATAACACTCCTTGGAAAGATACACACTGATTTAAGAGTGTGAGGTAATTAAACCTTATCGGAGCAGTTATCTGAAGGATAACTTGGGTAAAACTGAAATTAAATCATTAATCTGATGTGTAGACTTTCTTAATCCCACAGTCATGCAGGATTAAGCAAAATAATTTTTCTTTTCACCGTGCATGCTGAATGTTCTGTTTTCTCTGGAAGCTACAAAGAATGGCTGGGGTGTATAATTCTGGAGTGGGAGGTGCCAATTCTTTCTAATATTTTCTCCATTAACCTCCAGATTAGGTGTCTAATTGTTCCCTTTGGCTCTATAAAACAGGAGAGGTACCCAGTGTGGAGAAAGCAATAAGGAGATGCATTTTGGATACTTTCAAATACACAGATGAGGAATTCCTCAAACAGGCTTCCAGCCAGTAAGTATATACCTTATCAGGGATATAATATGTCAAGGTATTTGAAGTTGAATCTCTGTAGAAAGATGGAGGGGACGCAGCTTTGAATGTTTTTCTTCTATCAAGCAGTTCCTGCATATGGAAAGGTAGCCATATGAGAAGAATGTTACCAGATATTTCTTTACTTTTAGAATGTGGATAGGAGAGGAAGGTATTCCAACATGTATCTGGAATGTTGGATTTGAAAATACCAGCAAGGCTATATTATATGTGTGGGGTTCCATAAGGCCTAAGATTTCCATCTTTGTAGTGGGGTACTTGGTATCTTAAGTAGTATAAGAATCACTTTGAGTAACTGGATGCATCTTTGTTTTTCCCCCAATTTCGGAAACCTGCAGGAAACCTGCTTGGAAAGACGGTTCCACGGCAACCTGTGTGCTGGTGATTGATAATACTCTGTACATTGCCAATCTTGGCGACAGTAGAGTAAGTCACACTGAAAATTGTGGATCCAGACTATATGTGTTTTATAGTATTACGGGTAATTGTTTTGCTTCAGTGATAATACACAACTATCCTTTAGTTCAGTAACTGTTTTACAGTTTCTTTACTAAGGGACCAGGAGATTGACACAGACTCTTCTTATAATAAGCACCTTGTAGTAGCTGGAGAGGGGTGTTCTTAGTGTCCTCTCTGTTGGATGATGATCTTTCTCTCTCTTTTTTTTTTTTCCTTGAATATGGGTGTAGGTAAGCACTGGTTTCTTTTGCTACCTAAGTAGAATGTTTGATAATTTCAATACAGTAGGGGCTGGCAACCTTTCAGCATCCAGCACCATTACATGAAATCAAGGGATTCCCAGATTTCTCAAAATAAACAATGTTCAGAATTTTGGCAATCTTACCCTGAGTTCACGAGATCTCAACCTTATTGTTTGTTGGAGGAGGTGTGTGGTTATTTTGCTAAAAAAAAAATGTTCTAGCTTCATTTGAGGGGGTTGGCAGTGCTGCTTTGAGGACAATGGGGCCTTTGTTTCCCAATATAATTTGTTAAGGACTACAATATAATGTGCCGCTTAGATCCTCCTAGCGGAGACTTTATGCTTATAGCCCTTGCACTTGCTTACAAGAGTTATTTTGTCAATACAGGCAATTCTTTGCCGTTACAATGAAGAGACTCAGAAGTACACAGCTTTGAGTCTTAGTAAAGAACATAATCCAACTCAGTATGATGAGCGGATGAGGATCCAAAAGGCTGGAGGCAATGTCAGGTAACAAACAAGAAGCAATAAAGGGAAATGATGGGAAGGAATTTCAGAGTTGCTAAAAATTTCAGCAATGTCTTGGAGAATTTATGTGGTACAGAGCTTAAATTGTTGGTGTTAAATCGAGGTTGAAAGCCCAATGGATCTCACTGGCTGATTTAGGGACGCTCACTCTCTAAACTCAATTTTCCTTTTGTTATGAGAATAAAGTTAGGAAATGCATCTATTTCATGTTGAGGCCTCAGAAAAAAAGATTGAAAATGTAATAAATGTTGGGTACTTAATAATGGATATTATACATACATACATGCACGAACTCTGTAAAAATTGTGATATGGCAAATATATTTTAATTGGTATTTAACATAACAGCAAGGTTCTAACAAACGTGAACAAAAATGAAAAACAGATTTTCCCAGCTTGACCCCCATCACACGTATTGGGTTGCCAATCCTAGCTGTTTTAGACCATGCTGTTACTGATTTCATTATATGATAAGAGTAATAATTTCATGTAATACAGAGTACTTCCAGATAATTGTTTAGAGAAACTAATGACTTTGAGTATTGATTTCTGTTTTAAATGTAAAGAAAATATTTGTGTGTTGCTTTTAGTAACATTCTAAAATTAGAGATTGAAGCTGCAAAAGGAATTGTATTACCCATTGGTGAACTCTGTAGGTAGATAAATTGAAAGATTCTAGATTTTCTTTTCTTTGGCCAGCTGAGTCTCTAGATAGTCTTGGCCTACAACTGCCCTCATTCTGGAAGAGTGACTATGTTTGGTAGAGATTATGAATGTTGTAAACCAGAGTTTCTGTGGATCTACAGTTCAGAATTACAATCCATATTTTAAGGACTTAATTTAATGACGTAATTATAAATCCATCACCCTCCTTTCTCTGTTTAGAGAAGGACGTGTTCTGGGTGTCCTGGAGGTCTCCCGCTCCATTGGGGATGGACAATACAAGCGATTTGGAGTTATCTCTGTGCCAGATGTCAAACGCTGTCAACTTACACACAATGACAGGTAAAACTGAAACAGAACCCAGGTAAGGAAATATATGTGGTGACTCTTCATAAGTGGCTTCAAAAGTATAAGTATATGCTTTTTTTCTTTTTTGTATTTGGGTCCATCTTACTGTCAGTTACTTTTGCAGATTTATCCTATTGGCCTGTGATGGTCTCTTTAAAGTCTTTTCACCAGAAGAAGCTGTGAACTTCATCATGTGTTGTTTGGAGGTGAGAGGAGGAAGGTTGAGTTGAGAAATCAAGAAGAGGATAGTGAGAAAGAAATTACATGTCATTTATTTCAATTGGGTTTTTATTTCTTTTCCACTTTTTTGTCACTTCATCACTGAACTTTTTGTTACTGTTTGCTAAAGGATTATAAAGCATTATTGCAAACAATGTTTGAGAGGCAATGTAGTTTTTTTATTCTTTTCTGCTTGCTACTATGCAAGGCTGTATTTCAGAACAAACTTTGATTATTCCATGAAGTGACAAGATTATTGCCCAAATGTTGCTTTCTCTATCAGATTAGGAATCCTAGATAACCAGTTTATTTTGTCATAGCAACACAGTCCTGTATTAAAGAGGGCAGCAGTACTGAGACTGCAGAGTGGGTGATTTTGTTTCCTGCAGAAAAGGTACATAGGAGTATTATGTGAGGTTATTTTTGTGGGAAAATAAAGAGGCTAATATATGTAATATTTTATGGACTTCAATCCATTCTGATGTATGTAATATCAGAGTCAAGGCAAGATACTGCTTTGTTACCTATTGGGATTTATTTCTGCAAATGAGGTTATTTCTCTCTTTTTAAAAAAGTCTATTCTGTTGAAGAGAATATGCAAATAACTATGTTCAAGTCTAGGTTATTACCTCTAAACCAAGAGATATGATGAAGATTCAAGATGTCACATGAGACATGACTATATAAAATTATCTCATTGGAGTGAAAGGAAATTACCCTGACTTGTGTGATCTACTTCTCAGCAGGATAAAACTGTTCCAACAAGAGATGCCAAATCTGTCACTGATGCAAAGTACGAAGCAGCATGTAACAGGCTGGCCAACAAAGCAGTGCAGCGAGGATCAGCAGATAATGTCACTGTGGTGGTGGCCCGGATTGAACAATGATGGGACGAATATGTGCAAGGAAGATCCATAACAGCATGCAGCAAATTTAATAGAACACGATAGTGTGTTTGTGAAATGTGCGCGTGTGTAGAATTTTATGGATTTCTCCCCATATGCTTATTTGTAAATAAAGGGATTTTTATAAGCATTCAGGTCAGTTCATTGTTTCATAAATTATAAGTAATTGAGTCTTCTGTTTTCCTCCTTGAATGGGCTACATGCAGTAATCTAACAAAACTTCCTGCAGATATAGTCATATTGTTTGCTGTCTTACAAGATGCTTCAGGTTCCAGTATCCTAGTTTAAAAAAGACAGGCACAAAGGGCACTGATATATTTAATTGGCAACTTGTTATAACTGAGCATGGGTTATAATCCCTTCTTGGTTGTTTCTTGAATATATTTTGGAGACAGGAACAATTTTTGTGGTTGCCATGCAGAGAGGATTATACTCCTCATCCTGTTGAATAGGGTAAAACTTAACAAATCCAGCAAATGAGATTTTCCAGTTTCCTTGGTAAATTAGTTTTTTATCTAGTGGAAAAAAAATGAGTAAGGATTTTTGTGATAATTTTGAAGAATGCCAATTTTAATAATGCCTGACCATAAAACTGTAATAATTAATATATATATTTCGATTCAGGCTGCATGGATACTACCCCAAGTAGTATTTTTTATAGCTGTATGCAAAATAGACTAAATTTCCAATGAACCTGAGCAAGAAAGTGTGGTTAGATTAGATTTTAAATGCATGGAATAGTGCAATATGGCATTGTTAAGATTCTTTAGGCTGAAGTTTTGGAAGAAAATATATCAAAATAAGTTTATCTTATGAATAGGATTGAGCTGTCATTGAGATGATCATATTTACAGTGACTGAAATCAATGGGACTTTTCTGTCTGAATTTAAGTTGAGAAATAGAATGGGCTGGCATTGACACGCCAATGTAGCTTGAGAGAACTAGCTAACGTTGAATTATAGTTTATTGATGGTTGATACAAATTGTGGTTTGCACATAAACATTCAGGAAAAATTTTAAGGTATGAATTCATATGTGAGGACAACCTTTATAAGAGCACTGTTCTCTCTCTTTTTTTTTTTTGGTGAAATAGCATTCTCATCTCTTATAGATGCATAAAAGATGTCCACTTCTAATATGTCAGCTTTAGATGTACTTTCTAAGTACCATTATTCTGATGATTTAATTAATAGGAATAGAATCAAGCTATTATGGGTGAGATGATAATGGTGACAAGTGTAAGGGAAAATTAGGGGGAAAAGAGATTGGGAGAGTAGGAATAGAATGCACCAATTCAGTGTGAGCAAACAGAAAAAAGGACAGGTAAATTTTGGGCTGCATTAAATGAAGCTTTGTAGCTCATGGGAAGTAATAATTACAGCTATTCTGCACTTGGGATCCTATGCCCATTCTGGACATCCTGCTTAAACAGCACATGAAGGAGCCAGAGTGGATTTAGAGGAAAGCTACTAGGATGAGGCATACTGAACCCATGAAGAACAACTAAAAACTGGGCAGATTTAACTTGCAATAGAGAAAGGTAAGGAAAGTACAATAGTGGCCTGTACTACGTATAAACAGCTACAATGTGCTACATACAAAACAGGATGGACCTGTTCTCAGTTGACATTGAAAGAACAAGAATCAGTGAGCTGGATTAAATGTAAGATTCAGGCTTCAAGTAAGGACTAGTTAAGCTGGTTATTGAGAAAGACTTAATGGATTCTTGTATTGAGCAATGAAATGTTAGATGAGCTGCATGGTCCTTCCAACTCGGAGCTTTTGTGTTTCTAAGTGACATTGGGGTGGAGATCAACAAATAATAATTTGGCTCATGCATGGATGTCAGCAGCTGAGGTTATCAAGTAATAAAGTATTTGCTAATCAGCCCTTACGTTCTCAGTTTAGTTTTCAGTATCCTTTGCAAGTAATACCATACTGTTAACTATTTGATAGAAGGTGTTCAACAAATGGAATTCAAACCAGGAAAGAATATTTTTCAATTTAAAAGTACATCTTCAGTCAAACATTTTTCAATATACGTTCTGAGTTGAAGTTAAGCCTACCCATTTGACTGGTAAAGACAGGTAGAATTTCAAAAGTACCTGTAAATAATTAAACATAAAATTGATATCCATGAATTGGTGCTCTCTGTTGAAATTACTATCAGAACTAGCTCCATGGTTATTTTATATAATAAATCTACTAAAGAGTCATTTTTTTTCCTGTGCTTCAGCTTCATTGTTCGGCATATTTCTTTTGTAACTAAATAAAACACATTTAAAAGTGGGTGCATGTGTTCATTCACTATTTCTTTTAATATAGCAAACTATAGTTGCTGTAAAAATATACTTTATAGTGCATGCATGCGTGCATGCATCCCCCCCCCATATACAAGTAAATACATAAGCATATAAAAAAGCTGCAATTTGCAGATGATCGATTATGCTGCAGGGCGGGGCATTGCCTAGGCCTTATCAAGCCAGTAGCATTTCCAGAATGAGAAGGGTGGATGCACAACTTACTGAGAATATGTTTTCGCTAAAATAGAGCTATTATACCGCTCAACTTAATCAGTTTGATGCCTAGAATTCTAAATGTTGTGCAGATGCTTCTGCCCTCTAGTGGTCTTTAAAAGTGAAATTGAATTTTGACTTTCCAATCCTTGCATTCTTTTCAAATTTTCAAATTCTGAGCAGACAAGTAGCTTATTAGAAATTTCTCTGTATGGAAAAGAAAACAAAATCCTTTTGAATGTGGAAAACTGGGTATCAACCCTCCCCCCCCTTTTCTGGGTCTCATATCTTCTTTTACTTTTAAGAGTGTTTTTGGGAAAAGGAAGATCCCAAAATGCCTTCATTATAGAGTTTCCTGAATATTTGACAGGAGTTAAACTAGAACTTGCTGATACATGATTACTGTGGGCCTATAAACCAACCTGTGTTTGAACTGAGTTGATGTCTGCCTGCTGCTATAACTCCCAATCTGTTTGCTAAAAAATATTATGTATTTGCTTATAGAAAGCGATTATGAAAAAAAAACAGCAGTTAAAGAAGTGGCTTTCAGGCTGAAATAGATAAGGATGTGCCCTCTGCATTTCTCTGATACATAAATTAGAGAAATGGCTTAAAAATTTGCCTACGTGCCAGTGGTGTTGTAGGACTAGAGGGTGGTGCTGTGTTGGTTTTGTTGGATATCATACTACATTTCTGATAGCTACAGGGAAAATAAAGACTATTACTCTGAAAGAAAAGTTCCATTATTGTAATCGGTGGATGCCTGAGTACATAACTTTATAAACTTGCTCTGATACAATTAGGAATTAAATTCAAAATGCACTTCCCCTTCCTCCATTCATTGGATTTACTGCACCGAAACAATGTAATCTGATAGGTGTAAGGCAACAGTTTATGGGGTTAGCAACATTTATAAGCAAGCCAGTACTATTGTAATTATCTGTGTCAATGTGGTTGATAATAATGTATATAGTGTCACCAGGTTAGGGCCATAGAGCACCATATAAAAGGTCATTTCAGATTGGTTAATGTAGGGCAATGATTTAGATATGGGACTTTAGGCCTGACATGATCTTATCAACCCAACCAAGATATTGGTGGGGGAAATTATTGGAGGAGAGAGTTCACCATCATGAGCTCTTAGAAGAAAAATAAGATACAAATGAACAAAAGTTAAAACACTGGAGATTTCTGTAAGTACATATATGCAGAGTAGTAGAAGTGTTTGATACCCTTAATGAAAGACTGTGAGCTGATAAGACAGCATCTTCAGGAAATGCCAATGTTTTACAAACATTACAACATTCTGTCGTGGAGGGAACAGCAAGTAATGTATATTCTTGGGATTAAAGTAGGGTTGAGAACCAGCTCCAAAGGTAAACTAGGAAACTGAAGGGTGAAATTTCAAACTTTTAGTGCTAGAGGAAAATATAAATTGTCTTCAGTCAAATGTCATGTATGAGCTTGCTTCCTCTGAATATTTTGCCACATGCTGAACTCTTTCTACAATCAATTTTTTTCACTTTGGGATGTTTAATCAAGGGTTTGTGCTTCCTTCTAGTGTTTCCAATTCCACTTGAGCAAAAGACAGAAGCTAAGCTTAGAGCTGATTAAAGGCAGGATTTCAGCTTAAAAATAGGCAGTTGTGGGTCACTTAGATACCCAAGAGGATGCCCCTGAAGTCTGACCCACTTCGTACAATGAAGGAGGATCCCGTTGCATTATCTATGAAAACTGAAGCATATTGGCCAGCCTATAACAGAGAAGTTCAGAGTTAGTAACTGGGTTCACACCGTGCTAAATCATATGGTGTTTTAATTATGCCATATTAAAGAACTAAATTGACTAGCTTCACCTAATATACTAAGCCAAATATAGGCAAGCCACATTATGGCCAATATGTTGTGTAATAACTTCAGACATTGAATTGAGCACAAACCTTGGATTTAATTGGCTTTACCTAGTTTTGAAAGCACATTCCGAAAAAATAGGTAAATTTTATTAGAGTTTGGCCTCTATTGTCCTCATGTCATGAAATGTATTCTTTAAAATAAAATCAACTTAAAGTTGGATATTCCTGAAATCATACAGATTTTTAGCATGCTTGCTTGCTCTCTGTCTGAAGACTCACCTGCAGAAAGAGAATTCCACTGACTGAAATAGTGAAATATCCACTGGCTTTGTCCAAACTGCTGACTGTTTCCAGAGAACTGAAAGTAAGATAACAGGATCTTTAGTAATGGATGCCAGAACACAAAGTGACCCCTTTGTAATTAAACAGTTTGCTCTAAAAATCACATCCAATCTTGCTTCCCACTATCTTACTTTTATAAACCTGTTTAGCTGTAGATAAGAGATTAAGTGAATTAACTACATAGGTAATTAATGATTACCTATAGTGGGATACATAGGCAGGCCAGGATGCAGCAGAACCGAAAAATAGTTAGAGTGCAGTACTGCAGGCCACTTTAGTTGACTGTGTTCAGCAGATCAGCGGTTCAAATCTCACCGGCTCAAAGTTGACTCAGCCTTCCATCCTTCCGAGGTAGGTAAAATGAGGACCCAGATTGTTGGGGGCAATGTAAATATATATATACATTGCTTACTGGTGTACTTAAAGCGGTATATAAGTCTCATAAATAAATAAATAAATAAAATTTATATCCCAATCAATCACCTTTTCTGGCGGCAGAGTGACTCGACACAGATCAGCAAGCGCAGGCGATCTCGGGCCCGTGACTGGTACTTTGTGGGATGGATTTGAGGAACTGCAAAAGGTAAGAAATAATCAGGCTGGGCTGCAAAGAGTGCCAGTAACTAGGAAATGACTCCAGATGCTGGACGTTATTAAGGGCATTGCTTTATATGCTTATTACTGTGTTTCCCCAAAAGTAAGACTTACCCCCAAAATAAGCCCTAGCTTGATTTTGGGGGTGGGCCTAATATAAGCCCCACCCTAAAAATAAACCCTAGTTTCGGGGCGAGGCTCATGTCTAAAAATCAAGCTAGGGTAGGAGGGGGGTGGCGATTACCATTGCAGCCAGGCCTCCCATGGATAGATACTATGGATTCCATAGCTCGGTTCTCGGCTGCAGAGGCCTTCCGGAAAGGCCTTTGATTGCAAAATGCAGGCTGAGCTCCATTCTCAGCTGCAGAATGAAGCAGTTCCTTCGGCCGCAGAAGAAGTGTGCCAGCTGGGTGGGGCTGTCAGTGCCACTGCTGCGAGGTGAGTGGAAAAGACACCTCCCCCCCAAAAAAATAAGACCTGGTGCCTCTTTTGGAGGCAAAAAAATAATAAGACCAGGTCTTATTTTTGGGAAAACAGTAGTCCAGTGCCCATCACTCTTTCAGAGATGAGTCAAATAGCATGATCCACAAACTAGACTTTTGTAGTTCCCGCCTGCTTTTGTTGCCTGAAAGAACACTAACAGATCTAAACAAACCGATCAGCCCATTTCATCCCTGAGTTAGCAAGTATGTATGTTTCTATGACTTTGATAATAATCTGTATATCATCCATTACTGCCAATTTTCTCCCTGATGCTAAATCTCCTTGGGATTTAGTATTACTAATTTTTACAAAATTCAAGTGAGCTCAGATTTCATCCTTCTATGGGCAGGGCAGAATTACAGTTTGTTTTTATAGAAAAGTTCTTTGATTAAATAAAAACAACTTATCAGTTCTTGATTTTTAGCTTGTACAATGAATAAGCTAATATTTATTTCAACTTAAACACTTACCAACATACAGTCTGGCACTGAAGATGTAGTATCCACTGACAGGGGCCATATATTGACCATTGTTTAGGTTTAGACCTAGGCCACGATGGAACAGCTCCTCTTTCTTAGGCTAGGACCAAGCAAACAAGAAGGTTTCATTTAGTTAAATTTATTTACAAAGTTCAAAATATTAAACATATTCCAAAATAGTCAACTAAAAGCACAAGGTAAATGGGATGGAAAAGTCAAAGTCCATTCAGGCACAAATACTGTAAATCAGGCAGCTGTGATGTTCAATGTTAAGTCCATTGCTATCTGCTGGCAATCAAAATCAAACAAAATTTGACAACCCTGTCATGAAAATTACAGCATGCTCCGTTATTAGACTGGCTCCAAGCAGGAGGTTAATAGGGGCTTACTTGGTAGAAAAGGCAGTTGCATGCCAGAAATAGTCCTAATTCATGTTTTTCAAACTTGACAACTTTAAAATGTGTGGACTTTAACTCTCAGAATTCCCTACTAGCAGGCCAGCTGCCAAATTTTGGGAATTGAAGTCCACACATCTCAAAGTTGCAAAATTTGAAAAACACTGGTCTTAATTGTCCCATCTGGTTGTGCCACAATATTTGATCTTTCCTCTAAAATAATCAATGACAAGACGTTGAGACTGGCTAATGAAAATTCCCTTCTATGTGTCCAGGACAGAGAAGATATTATAATGAGAATTAGATAAGGAGAAAAGTTATTACAAAGACTGTTAGAGTCATAAGAAAAAATATTATTCTTTTCTGCTTCTTTGTTCTGTATGGGGAGTGTTCTGTATAAAGAGTGTTGCAGAGAACAGGGACCAAGTATTACTTATTTGTGAACATATATTTGTTAGTATAACCATGGTTGGGCATAGCAGGTTGGACCCAGATTTATTTTGAGAACATTCTTAGGAATTAATGGGACTTTAAATCAGTAATGATTAACATAAATGCAAATAATGTACCAAAGCAGGTCAAATGACAAGTTTAGTAATCAAAAATCTCTCCATCAGCAAAGTGGACATTTAAGGCTTTCGGGGATTTTTTCCAATCAGGGAGTTCTTTAGCTTTAGTTATAGCAAGGTAATCTTTACTTGTTAGCTCTTTTCAGTGGAAAGACTTATTCATTTAGCATGAAGGGTAAAAAAACCAAATCTTGCTGCTAAATTTAAAGGTGCAATCTTATGGTGCTAATGGGCCACCAAGGGGTGGGGGAGGTGTAATATGCAGCCCATGGATTCCCTGTCTTAATTTAGAAACACTGAGGTAAAAACTATCTAACCATCAAATCATATTTTTTGCTAGCTGAACTCTGTACAGTATGCTCTGATCTGATAGGACTAACCGGGAAGTGTGCTAAGTGTAAAATAAACTAGATATTACCCACAGTAATTTTCCAACAAGCATATTGGTGAGATGGCAGCTATATACATTTGAGAAATAAATAAATAAACTAAGGCTAACCCACCATCATTTAATGTTGTAGACATCATGGACAGGCTAATCCAGTAACCTGGCCCAAAATGTCAGGGTTGTATGAAAAGTCAACATCCTTGGGACCATCTACATCTCAGAGGTATGTACAGATAGTCCTTGACTTATGACCACAATTGAGCTCAAAATTTCTGTAAGCAAGTCATGTGTTAAGTGAGCTTTGCCACAGTTGTTAAGTGAATCACTGCAGTTGTTAAGTTAGTAAGAAGGGGTTGTTAAGTGAATCTGATTTCCCCATTTACTTTGTTTGTCAGAAGGTTAGAAAAGCTGATCACATGACCCAAGGATACTGCAACCATCATAAATATGAACCAGTTGCCAAGCATCTGAATTTTTATCATGTGACCATGGGGATACTGCAACAATCATAAGTATGAAAAATGGTCATAAGTCACTTTTTTAAGTGCTGTTGTAACTTCAGTCACTAAACAAACTGTTGTAAATCAAAGACTACCTGTAATACGAAAAAGCAGATGCCATGACAGAGAAGGGTACAATGGGAGAACAGTATTTTAAGGAAGGAGCCTGGAGCATGCTGTTGAATATTATAAAGATAATTGAAAATAAATGGTCTCACAAATAACCCAGGCCTATGTGATGAAAAGCTTTGTAGATGTACTTGAATTGCATCCGGAGACTCTCTGGGACCCAGTGCAGGTCACAGAGCAATAGTGCTACATAGGCATACCTTGATGAGACTGTGCCAATCAGGAATCAGAATCAATATAGAGCTGGAAGGGACCTTGGAGGACTTTGAGTCCAGCCTCCTGCTCAAGCAGGAGATCCTATACCATTTCAGACAAGTGACTGTCCAATTTCTTCTTAAAAACCTCCAGTGATGAAGCACCCACTGTTTATATAACCAAGGATTGTATTAGCTTTTTTGGCTGTTGCCACACATACACTGCTGGCTCATATTTAAGTGATTGTCCACTAGGACTCCAAGGTCCCTCTCACAGTTAATGTTTTTGAGCCAGGTTTTTGAGCCAGAGGGAAGAATGAGAAACAATGGTTGGAAACTGATCAAAGATCGAAGCAACCTGGGATTAAGGAGAAACTTCCTGACAGTGAGGACAATCAACCAGTGGAACACCTTGCCTCCAGAAATCGTGGGCGCTCCATCACTGGAGACAATCACCTGTCTGAGACGGTAAGATTCTCCTGCTTGAGCAGGGGGCTGGACTAGAAGACCTCCAAGGTCCCTTCCAGCTCTATTCTATTGTATTCTATTTTAAACCTATGCTGGCAACTATTATAACTTTGTTTCTAGATGTTCACAGATCTGTTTTTTGATTATTGAACAAAGGTTGAGTGACTGTGAACAGAACTTCTGAAACCAGGAATGGCTACAATTGGCGCACAAGATGGATTTGTACAAAGGCCTTTCTCACTATATTGCTACCTGCTCTTGAAGCAGGAGTTATGAAAGAATGAAGATACCTTTTTTGTTCTGATGATTCTTAACTGCATATATTTGGGTGACCCATTCAGCAGATTTATATAGATGTTAAAAAAGAGTGGAGAGTGAAAAGCCCTGAGTAACCCTACAAAGTAGGAATGTAGGACTAGATATTTTCTGTCCTAACAATACCAACTGGAACTGGCTCTGGAGAAATAGAACCACTGCAACTTTGTGTCCCCCCCCCACACACAACTGTCAAAGCTAGTCCATAAGGACACCATGATCAATTGAATCAAAAACTTCTAAGAGATCAAGAAAGAACAGGGAGATGCCACATTACCATCCCAACCTCACTAGATATCATCCACAAATGCAATTAATGTCATCTCATTACTATACTCTGGCCTGAAAACAGTTGAAAAGGATCCAGACAATTTCTTCCAGGTTCCTCTGAAGCCAACCACTTTCTCAATTGGAGGCAGGACAAAAATGGGATACAGCAGTTGATTCTTGTGGAGGGGATGATCTATTGCTTCTAAGAATTGGCAAAACCACCTTATCTGTCAAGGATGCATTTACCATTGCCTGGATTCAATGACCCATCATCTCCTATGGGGCCTTAACTAGCCAGGAGGGTTATGAATCTAATACCCAAGTGGGCTCATTTAGAGCTCAATTATTGTCTCTACTTCTTCAGAGTAGCAAACGTGAACACTTTCCAGGGAATTAAGCAGGGCTCTCCAGAATCTACATGCAGAAAGAGTCCACACAGATGCAATTTGATCTAAGACTGTTACCATCCTTTCATTCCAGGCAACAAGTAAGGCCTCATTTGAACTGTGCATTAGAAGCAGAGCTATCCAACTTCTTTCCTTTTGCTACTCACTATATAATAAAGTTGAAGTTCTTGAAGGGACCGTCGATCCACTGAAATGTTCTTCTGGGTCTGGCAGTGGAATGCTGCTTCTATTCGTTCCCTGCTTTTTATCAGTGGGACTCTATTTTGGGGAAAGAAATTCTCTTCTTTTCCATCTCTAGCTTCTCCATGCTGGCACTTTTTGCTGCTGGTTTTCATATTGATCCTTTCTTGCTTCCTAATTATTCCTGAGCAGTCAAAAATACGAAGATTTATAACAAATTTGCCCCATTATATCTTATTCTCAAAACATGGTTGACTTGATTTTGATTTTTGATTTTTTTTTATTACCAGAGTATAATTTGTTTGTGAGGCAAAAACTGATGGGAGCCCTCTTCAGGCAATAGCTTCCCAATCTCTTCCCACCAGGAGAGATCTATACAGTCATTCCCTTCTCCAACTCAAGCTGGTTACCTTGCTGAAAAGCCAATGTGACTATCTGCAGCAAAGCATCTGAATAGAGCTATGCCTTTCAGGAATTTCCATGAATCCAATTCAAACCCTGTGCTCTCCGGATTCCAACTTTGGATGGATGGATGGATATACTAGGTGTATGTATGTATGTATTCATGCAAAGATACCTCTTACGCAAAATACAGACAACTGCACTGTATTCAGGGAAACTGGTTCTTTAGTGATGTCATCATTACAGTTTGGAAGTAGGAAGGGCTCTCACTGCTTCCTGTTGAATTCTACACAGGAAGGTATTGCCTATATAGGGTTTTGGATCTCTGCTACCTTGGGCTACAATATTTTTCAGAGATATACAGTAGATACTTTATTTATTATGCTCTATTGTCTTCATCAATCTGGTTACTTTTAGGCATGCTGGAACTACAATAGCCAGATTTCCTAACCAGAGAGTTGCAGTTTCACAACATCTAGTGAGATCAGATTAAAAATAAAACATCACTCCCAGAATAGTAACCACACGCTATTATGAATTTTGTTCTGTTCAAAGCTCACAATTTAAGAATAAGAGCACCGGTGTCTTTTTCTGTGTTCTAAAATTCCTAGGAATTTATAGCACACTCCCCTTGTAACTGACCAGCCATGCTACTCTTTATTAATTGTGACTAGGCCTCCAAAAGCCTGAATGATGAATGAATGAAAAGCTTCCTTACTCCAGCTGTCATCTACTCTAGCCATTCCATTATATCATTTGTCCTTGTAAAAGGAATTTTAAAAAGTTTATTCCTAGAATGTCAATTGAGACAATCATACTGTCAACACATAAAATCAACTTATTCACATTCAATATATTTTAATTTAATTGCACCATAATATATTTGCTGGGAGTGTAGTAATTTTTGTTCCCTACCTTTGAGCAGCAGCTGGAACTCCCTCAGCAATTTCTCCTGAATAATAGTACTGGCATCTGGATGAGGTTGTGCTGACTCTGCAGACTCTAATAAGCTTGGAATGCCAAACTAGAACCCAAATTCACCACAATAATTAGGTTCTACTCCTTCAGGTCCAAAAATAAAATCTTTTATCTCCTATTGTCCATATCTATGGCGCCCATTTAATTAATTTGTGTTTGTTCCTTTCTTAATTATCAGTCTCAAAACATTTTGTAATCCCTCTGACAAGGAACAGTGTTACAAATTGAACACAATATCACCTGTAATATCTGAACTATTATTCTTGGACCCCTCACCTACGTACGAATCAACTAGTGCAAATCCTAAATATTTCACAGGCTATTCTGGTAAAATCCAGTGAGAGGAGATTAAAAAAAAGCAGATATGCTTAATTATGGTCCAGAGTATATAATAATAATAATAATAATAATAATAATAATAATAATAATAATAATAATAATAATAATAATAATAATAATAAAGTTGGAAGGGACCTTGGAGATCATCAAGTCCAATCCCCTGCTCAGGCAGGTAACCCTATACCATTTCGGACAAATGGCTGTCCAGTTTGTTCTTAAAAACTTCTAGCATTGGAGCATTCATCGCTTCTGGAGGCAGCTCATTCCACTGGTTAATTGTTCTGTCAGGAAGTTTCTCCTTAGTTCTAGATTGCTTCTCTCCTTGATTAGTTTCCATCCGTTGCTTCTTGTCCTGCCCTCAGGCGCTTTAGAAAACAGCCTGACTCCCTCATCTCTGTGGCAGCCCCTGAGATATTGGAACACTGCTATCATGTCCTCCCTCGTCCTTCTCTTCATTAAGCTAGACATACCCAATTCCATTAACCTTTCCTTATATGTTTTAACCTCCAGTCCCCTAATCATTTTTGTTGCTCTTCTCTGTACTCTTTCTAGAGTCTCAACATCTTTTTTACATCGTGGTGACCAAAACTGGATGCAGTATTCCAAGTGTGGCCTTACCGAGGCATTGTAGAGTGGTATTAACACTTCACGTGATCTTGATTCTATCCCTCTGTTAATGCAGCCTAGCACTGTGTTGGCTTTTTTGGCAGCTGCAGCACGCTGCTGGCTCATATTTAAATGATTGTCCACTAGGACTCCGAGATCCCTCTCACAGTTACTACTATTGAGCAAGGTACCCCCGATACTATACCTATACATTTGGTTTTCTTGCCTAAATGTAGAACCTTACTTTTTTCACCATTGAATTTCATTTTGTTAGATAGCACCCAGTGTTCAAGTCTGTCCAGATCTTCCTGTATCCTAAGCCTGTCTTCTGGGTGTTGCTATTCCTGCCAGCTTGGTGTCGTCTGCAAATTTGATGAGTTCCCCATCTAGCCCCTCGTCCAAAACACTGATGAAGATGTTGAAGAGCACTGGGCCCAGAACAGAGCCCTGGGGCACCCCACTACACACTTCCCTCCATGTAGATGTGGTTCTATTGAGGACCACATGCTGAGTTTGGCTTGTCAGCCAGTTACAGATCTATCTGGTGGTGATGCTGTCTAACCCACATTTTTCTATCTTATCAAGTAGTAGGTTGTGATCTACTTTGTCAAATGCCTTACTGAAGTCCAAGTAAATTATATCCACAGCATTCCTCTGATCCACTAATTTTGTCACTTGGTCAAAGAATGCAATAAGGTTTGCCTGGCATGATCTATTTTTGACAAACCCATGTTGGCTTTTAGTAATGACTTTGTTTGCCTCTAGGTGTTCGTTGATTCATTGTTTGATTATCTTTTCCAGGATCTTCCCAGATATTGAGGTCAGGCTGATAGGTCTGTAATTTCCTGGATCCATTTTTCCCCCTTTTTTGAAGATGGGAACTACATCAGTTCTTTTCCAGTCCTCGGGTAGTTCCCCAGGTAGTCATAGCCCCCATGGGATGGAACTTTGATACAGAGCTTACTGGAATGGGTTGTCTGCTGTCATCTCTCTGGGGTTCCCTGTCTGAAAGAAGGGGCCCAAGGTCTTTCTTTGTCTAGGGTTATTTTTCAGTATTCCTATATATTCTTTGATTGCTGTCTCATGTTATGTGATTATGTCATTTCTTTGTACTGCTTTGGAATAAATCCTTAAGTATCCATATTCTTGTGGTCAAACCTGCTGTGTTGGGAACAGAGCAATACAGTCAGGCACACAATTAAGTAACTTTCCTTGGATTTGTTGTGGAATACCTGTCAATTGTCTCATTTATCATAGTCAACTATCCAAGAAAAAAGGTGAAGAGTAAGTGAAGAAACTGAACTAGAATTCACTACCAAACTTGGCCAGCACAGAATACATGCTCTAAACACTGATTAGCTGCAGTAACCCAACCACACCTATTTCTGTTTGTCTGGCTAATAGAGAAGGAACCAATGTAGCCTTGTGGTAATCTTGTGGTTCATATGCTTATGCAATTCTAGGAAAAATGACCAGTACTCTATATTTTAAAAAGGATGACTTTTGACTGTGTGTTACCAGAACCAGTTAGGAGATTTGGCTGAGCTAGTGACTGAGTTTGTGAGAACAGGACTTCAAAAATAGGGAATATCAAAACATAGATAGCATGGTTAAAATTGCTTACCTTAATCTTTCTTGACTTGTTTTTATTCATTTTTTTGCTCCTCACTTCATTGTTCATGAGGAGCATCCAAGCATTTCGGGAATCAGAGCTATGAATTTTTTGCGGAGTATTTTCCTTTGCATAATAAGAAAAAAGTTAAAAAAAGAAAAAAGTAAAGCAACTATACAGGTTGATGACAAAATGTAGACCTGGGAAAACAACAATATCTCCAAAAACACTGAGAATTACCAATATCTTTATAACCTGCTGTTCCAGATATGAGTCAGAAAATTATTTGCTATTTGGACTAGTTTTTCTAGAGTAATATACTCATGTTCGTTGGAATATAATTCTTCAACATTTCTAACCAGTTGGCCATGGCTGAAAATTGTGGAAACTGTAATTCATCAAACCTAGTAGTCACTAAATTGGGGAAGACTAATATGAATTTTCTGTTTAAATTGCTGCTTCTCATTATTTAAAAGAGAATTTGCAAGTTCCTGCCATAAGGATTATTGATCAGATTGGGTTTTGCACTGTTTTGTCTCTCAAAACATATACACCACTGTCATCTTTGAGGATACTTCCCATCTACATTTTAATTGATTTTTTTCTATTTTCTTGTTAATAGGTTGTCTAAAATATTCCTAATAAACTTATCAGATAAATACAGATTCAGTGAGATTCTTTAAACCATCTTATCTTTTATAATTCTCAGAATGACTTACTATTGATACAAAACTCTCCCTATTTCTTTTTTCCTAAACATATTCATATTTCCTGATCCATAAATTCTAAGTGTTGTAGTCAGGAAAGAATCATATTTCAGAATGACTCCAATTTCCTCACAGACAAAAAAAAAATTACATCAAGTATCTTCTAGTTTTGAGTTGAGATTGAAGTCTGGTGATTTCAGGTTACTGCCACATAGCTGTCTTGTTAACAGCAAAAGCTGTTCCCCTGTAACTTCTAGTTACAACTAATAATGTCTAAACAAGACCAGCCAGGCACAAAACTGAAGTGCCTTTTTTCCAACAATTTTCAGTGCAGTGTTAATAAAAAGATTCCATCACGCTTAACAGAACTTATTTCCAAGTAAATATGTATAAATTCCTATAAGAATCAATTATGACTATGACAAGATAGATTAAAACGCATACTTTTATATGCAAATTGTTCACCACCCAACATCTAAAAGCAAAATCCATTTTGATAATTGAGCACTGTTTTGTTTTCTCTAATGTTCTATTCCAATGCTATTTCTATGCCATATCCATTGTAAGGGAATTCTTCATCAAGGAAGAATTTTCAATTTTTACTAAGAGGTGAGGTGGAAGAAGCCTTCAGTTAGTAAGAAGGAAGTAGCATATGAAATGTTCTTACTGAGTCCTGGGATGATGGCATGGGAAGACTGCTCGTTTCATTCCACCGGGGTGCCTTTTCCTGGTTCCTTCTGTCTTCCTGTTTCTCATTTTCCACAGTGCTAGCACAAAAAAGCATTGCTAGTAGACCCAGAGCCAATAATTGAAGTGGGCAGCCAGAAAGGAAAGGCTTAGCCATATTCTGGCACATAATTGATCCCTTGGTTTATACAGAGAACTAGAGTTAGATATGACTGTCGGGACCTTCTCAGGAACACAAAGACAAAGTTTATCTGTGGTCTTTCAAAAAATATACAGTAGTCTGTATATCTGTGAAAATTCCACAAAGGAATATTAACTGCAAGCAAAAGTTATCCAATGTATCTTCAATAAAAATTTTCATGGAAGACATTCAAGAATATCAACATTTTTCTTAAAAAAAAAAAGCTTGTAAAAAAGTAACTGCGTGAGTACACACACATCAGTTGCACCTGATCGTCAGATCAGAAAGAGCATTTCAGTTTCTTCTTCAGGGTCAAAGATGGGGAAGAGGTTATCATAGGACTACTTCAAAAGCAGTTCAGTAGCAGAAATCAGGAGTTTCAGGCTGCCCCTAAAGAAATGAGCTAATCCAGATGGTACAAAAGTGGTTTGCTCTCTTTCTCCTGGATCCTTAGTCAGAGTCTAGATAAAATTCTATCAAAACCACAGAAGTGCCATGATGCTTCCATTCACAGCTTTGGCTGCCTGGGAGTGCTTGGCCCAACCTCTTTTCAGTGCTCTCTTTTTCAAACCAGGGACTCTATACTTGTCTGATTACATCCCTACTGCCACTCTGCTCCTGTCTGAATATCTTTGCCCAGCTTCCCTTCTTTTAATAAGCTTGAATTCCCCGCCTCACCAGAAAGGTCCCTTGTCCTAGAGAGCCACCTCTTGGCACCAGGAACAAATTACAAAAGCAGAATTCGTGCGGAAGCTCATCAGCATCTGGTAGCAGCAGAACAAAGAGAGACGTTTGCACTAAAAGTGGCTCTATGAAATTTCAGTGGCTTGCAGGTTAACATGAAATGCAGATGGTTGTATTGGCTTTGTTTCTCCCTTACAGAGAATTTATTTAAGGGCTGAGAGAACGGGGACTTAATCTGGGGGATCTGATGGTTGAAAGGATTCTAGAGCATGACGCATCCCATACTGCATTTCTTTGGACACATCTTAATGCTGTTTTGTTTTGTTTTGAATCCAAAATCTATGTTTGTTTCATGTGTGGTGTTATAATTAAAATAATTGTCTCATTTCTTAAATTTTCTCAGTCCTACGTCGTTTAGCATGTAATACACTGAAGAAAATAAAGAAAATGGAACCAATCATTAAGAAACACAGGTGTAGGTAAAAACTATAGCAAAAAGTAGTAATAACAAAATAATAGAAATACAATAAAAGTTGTTCCATAATTCAGAAGATTCTAATAATTTTTTTCTGTTCTTTTTTTTTCAGAAATATTACATTTTTCATTTTAAATCACAAGTTTAGTTTACTTAAAGAACTGAATGGAAGAGAAATTTTCCAGTCAAACATCTGACCTGAGGCAATCCTTTGAATAGGTTTTGTAAAATGACTGAAGATGCACTTATATGAGATAGAATGGAGACCATAGACAGAGAGAAATTGCCCTCACTCAGTGTGCATTTGCATAATTGCAGGAAATGCTTTTCCTCCTAATACTCCATGTTACATGTTTGAGTGTCTCCTCTGAGGCTTTTCTATGGAATACAGTGGGAAAGAGAAATGCAGTCATAGCCCATATGGTTTCTTTGGGGGCGGGGTGTCAAAATAAAATTGGCAAAAAGTATTTTGAATTTTTCAGAATTATAATGTCTCTAAGCATACCTGCCAGTGGCCATATTATGCTTGAGCACTTACGTTCTGAGGAAAGAGAAAATTCAACTTCAGAGGCCTGATGCAATCACAGAGACCCCTCTCTTTAATTACAGAAGATGGCTCTTGCCTCCCAGTCAAGTCAGATTTCCAGTATTACTAAAAGTATTAAAAGTGATGGTTAGGATCTGTCCATGGGTCTGTCAAAGGAGGATTAGAATATATACAGCCTTCCCATTCCCCAGAAAATTCAAAGGGACCTTCCATATGTGGATCTGATACATCATTCTTCATGGGAAGCTATTTGAACACAGCCAGACAGCCACTTTAAAGGACTCATCCTCATCTCCAATGATACAGCCATGCCCTGATTCTATCAGGTTGTTGTCTTCATATAATTCCCCACTCACAGCTAGGATAACTTAGTTATCTTTAACTGTTCCGGTTTTCTGTCTTCTCCCAACACAATTTATACTCTGGGCACAATCTAGTACACTTCATGAACAATGTGGTCAAAAAGAACATGTCCCTTCTGCTCCAACCCTTGCCTTTCCCTCACAGGTTGTCTTAGACTGCCATAGAGATCGGAGTAGCTACATTTGGAGTTCTCTAGCAGATTTCACAGGAGACTACATCAGCAAATAATAAGGAGGAATATGCTACACCTTTTCCAATAACACATTTTAGTGATCAATGTGACAAAATGAAATTGTGTGGTCCAAATTTGATGAAATGAGCTGCAGCTCATAAAAGCTTATGCCTTTTAGTAAAACATTATTTGGAAAAGGTGCTATTAGACTCCTGATCTTCCTAGGGGTTTTTTTGTGGGGGGGGGGGGGCAGTAAGGACTAACAAAGTGTCCTCTCTACAATATCAACAAATGTGATTTTAATACTTTTGCTCAATTTCTACTCAATTTTACAGTTGCAGTAAAAAAAAAAAAAAAACAGCTTGATTTTCCCTGCTCATATTAACAGCTTGTTCCAGATTCTTGTCTCAAAGTTTCATGATAGCCCAGCCTCTGAGCTTAATGCCCCCCCCCACGTCTTTCTGTCTCTCACACACACTCTGATTACTCTGATACACAGAGATTCCACACTGCAACTCACAACCTTGATTGCAGCTGTTGGGAAAAACTGAAAAATTACAGTATTGTGTCATCATGACAGTTTTAAATGAAAATTCATATGCAGGAACAATGAAGTCTTGATTACAATGCAACTTTATCCTCATACTAGCAGTTTACTTTTTTTTTTTCAGTTCATAGCATGAATTGAAAACCCTGGGGGAAAGGAAAATACTTTTATTACTCCAGGAGTTACCATAATTTAGAGAAGAGGCAGCAATTGAATGGTAGGAATTCCCCCCCCCCATTCTTTTCTTGATTTAATCAATTGACTCCTGGTGTTCCCTTTTCTCATCCTGAGATTAGCAGGGATGAGTATGAACGTACTACTGCCTTCAAAATACTGTGGCTCAATTAAACCATAGAGATGTTGCAATGTAGTAGTACTCATCTGATTTCTATTTGTACAGCAATGACTCAGATTGAAGGAGATATGCATTAGTTCTAAGTTTCATTCACATTAGCCCAGATACAATAGAAATAGTTTAAAAACAGAAAATATTTTAAAGGGAGTAACAGAAAGAAATCTACTCTTTTCTGCACTGCAATGCACTGCACTTTGGAATGCATTTTTTCCCCCAGCCGCATAAACAACATGATTATTGTTGCTTTGATTCTCAGTTGTCAGTTGTAAAATTGTTTACTCTGCCCACCAGGCTATTCCCACCAGTCTTCAGAGCCTCAATAAAGGCCTTTTTTGCTTCCCAAAGCTCCTCCTATTAATTTTCTTAGTAAAGAAGGAAAGCATAGTCTTCTGGGTAAAACTGGAAAGAGTAATGGGGCTCTTATGCATGGTAGCCATAAACTGCTTGTTTCCTATGCTGAAATATACCGAAAATGAAGTCAGCTTAAGAAATTGCTGTCTCAATTTCAATCCATTCTTGAGCTTTGGTAACAATACTGGTTAGGGATTCTGTCCAGACTACGGTTATTGTGATCCTTGATTAGTGGATATTCCTGGTCCTTGCTGGAATAGTAAGTACAAGTTGTTCTCCTTTCTGTGGGAGGGTCTTTAAAGACATGTGGCTTCCTGTGATGGATCTTTGGCATAAGCATTTTCTCCACCATCTTTCTCTTTCTATCCAGTAAACTGGTGGGGAACCCTTTCTCCAGTTTCATGAGTCTTACAATCATTTAACCAGGACTTTTTAACTGGTGGTATGCATACCACTGGTGGTACTTCAGCACCTGGCAGGTGGTGCACGACCTAGACAAGTGTAGCGGGTGGGGGATGAGTTGAAGTGGCGGCAGCACCAGAGAGGCCTGGGGGAGAGTTAGCTGGACCTGCAGTGTTAGTGGGCTCCAGCTGATCGGCTCCAGCTGATCAGCACTTCTAGTGGCGTCTGCTATCACCGGGAGCAGCAGACAGGCCTTAGGATGACAGAGTCAGCTAGAGCTCGAGGGCTGCCGGGCCTCTAGAGAGGCCCCAGGATCGGTGCGTGCAGCTCCAGCTGATCAGCGCTGTGTGCAATGACCAGCAGGGGAGTGGGTGACTGTGTGGGGGAGTGAGACTGCGGTAGTGTCCAATGCTGGAGCTCTCCCTGAGCCCCAGAGAGAGGTGCATCTGGAAGAGAAAGGGAGGAGGAGGGGAGAGAGAGAGGAGGATATAAAAGGAGGAGGTTTTGGCAGGAGAGGGAGAGAAAAAAAGATGATGGGGAAAGAGAAGGGGATGGAGAAAGAGAGAGGGAAAAGAGGAGAGGCTTCTGTGAGACAAGCAGAGGGATCAAATGAAGGAGCAGAGGCTGTGGAAGGAGAATCCAGCAGGTAGTGAGGAGAAAGAGAGAAGAGAGGGAGAGAGGAAAAAGGGCTGACCAGCCATCTGACTACCAAGGTAGTGGTGTATATTAATAAATATGGATAAATTCATTATAAGTTTATCAGTGCAAAAAGAAAGTGATTCAGCAAAGGAACCACCACTGAAGAAATTAAAACTGGTACTTTTTTCCTTTTTCTTTTTTTTTTTTTTTGGTCATCAAGGTTTTGACCCCTTGCTAAGCACTGGTGGTACTCGACTATTGTCATGTCCTAAAAGTAGTATAATCTGTGAAAAGGTTGAAAAGCATTTAACCTAAAAAGGAAGAACATAATTCTTCTCAGTTTCAGCCCGTAAACACACACACACACACACACACACACACACACACACACATGCTCACAGAAACACACAAACACAGATTTCACTGGCAAAGTTACTGGGGAACATCCTTTTTTTTAACCAATCCACCAGTGAATCTGCAAATAGAGAGGGGAGGGCAACCTTTCTCCAGTCCACCATGGGAAGGTCCTTTGAAAGAAGGCGGGCAGCCCAGCAGCTTAAATGAAACATCTGTGGAGGGCAGTGACCAGTAATTGGAGGGGAGGAAGTGTTTCTGTCACAGGTCATTGTGGGACATTGGAGTAGAACCTTGACTACAACAAAATGAAATGCCATAGGCAGGCCACACCACACCACATATATTGGCAGAAGGTAGAAAACACTACTTGTGGTGCTAGGTTGCCTTTACAGTGGGCTGGGACAGGTTGAGGATGATAGGGTACATTCTGGTCTTCAAGAAATGGTTAATGGGCTGTTCTGCACGAGGCTGAGAAGAACATGTGAATGTGCCTATAGTTATGAGCACCACAAGTAGTGTTTTCTACCTTCTGCCAATATATGTGGTGTGGTGTGGCCTGCCTATGGCATTTCATTTTGTTGTAGACAATGTTCTATAACTGAACCACTCAAGAATATAGCTGAGCTTCCTCATATCTCCCTTTATTATTTGGCCATCTTGTATTTTCCTTTATAATTCTGAATATTTCACATCATGTCTACCAAAAGCACATTCAGAGAAAGGAACAAAAAGAAGAGATACAAAAAGGTTGCACAGAAATTCCTATATTGGCTTTCTTCATTTTGGGACCC